TGGTTGTGGTTGTGGTTGTGGTTGTGGTTGTGGTTGTGGTTGTGGTTGTGGTTGTGGTTGTGGTTGTGGTTGTGGTTGTGGTTGTGGTTGTCGTTGTCGTTGTGGTTGTGGTTGTCGTTGTGGTCGTGGCCGTCTTCCCCTACCAACTGTCGATCAGTCTGGTTGATATTTGGCTCCATCACGACGACATCATTGCTCTTGGGGGTATCAGAATGGTGCGCGCCATTGGCCGATCGACGACGACATCATGCCTTTAAATCGATCGACGCCATTCGCCGGTGAAGAGTCGACGACAAATGCGGCGGCCGCTGGCCACACCGCGTCTAATTATTTTGTCAACGACAAGCGACACTCCCGAATTTTCTCTTTAGACAACGATGGACAGACTGACGGCCGCCATGAAGTCTCCCACCAAGGCTGGGAGCATGGCTCCAGACACCTCTGTGTGAGTATCCTGCTTACCTTTAATGTGCTGTCTGATGCTGATACCTTGAAACCAGTCGCCCAAAGTCCTGTGCGTCGCCGCGGCCCTCAACGCCGCAAAACCGCCTTCTTGGTCGTGGCTCTCTCGGGTCGCTTCGGCGCCTGAGGAGCAGGTTGAGCCTGGGGAGCCTTCGCAAGAGCTCGCCAGAAAGAAAGGATGTCACGAGGCTGAGTGGCCACGTGACCGGAGGTTCGCCAGTTCACAGCCGGCCCTCATTTCGCCCTTTGTCGATTGTCAATACGGCCTTACATCCGTTTAACTTCGATGTCACTGCGGCCATGCATGCCGTGCAAGACCAGACCCTTTCTCCCTCCCACAAGGCCAACAGCACGGCAGAGTGTGCTCCTGGTGACAGCATGGCATCAGGACAGGAAAGCAGCGAGCCGCTGGCTCAATTCGCACGTCTCTCAAATGAAGAGCGTGACGATGATGAGAAGACAATCAAACCAGCTGGTCGATCTGACGAAGACCTGCCCGCCCAAGCCTTCCCTCCATCTCCCTCTCCCTCTCCCGCTCCCGCTCCCGCCAACGATGCTCAAGAACGAGCCAACAATCCGGTCTTCACTGGCAATTTTCGGTCCCTGATCAATCTACCTGCGCCAGACATCAGCCAGCACCCGGCCTTCCAGAGTGACCCGGCGACCTCAACCAGCGACGCCCCTCTGCTGGTCACGACCTCTACGGCGGCAGAGATTCGACAATGGGCTAAAGAGAGGGGCCAAGTCCATGCGGAGCATGGCAACGGAGTCAACGCGGCTGCAGGCACACCAAACAGCGGCGCAGGGGGAGCGAACCCCGCCAACGACCAAGCATCTGGCGCGGCAGGTGCGATGACACCCCGTCGTGCAGTCCGTTTTGTGACTCCAACCGGCCCTCGTCGTCGAGAAGGGCGAAGAAGCTCCGAGGCTAGGACGCCAGGAGTTTTCTCTCTTCGACACAACTTTTCCCGTCTCCGACTCGACTCTGACAATGCCGAAACTGAAACCAGTGACGCACTGACCGGAGGTGCTGCAATGACTTCGCCAACAGCGCAGCCCAAGACACCAGTCGACAGCGACAAGCGAGCCAAGGCGTCAGGCTCACAGGAAGTCGAACCAAAGAGGACCGGTCTACGAAAGGTTACTGGTTTGTTCAAATCGAAGTCCGACAAGACCCAGCCTGACCCGACGTCCCCGCTCCCAGACCGTCCCAATTACCGCCGACCAAGAGAGGATCTCGTACGTAGCTTCTCTACTTGAATGACAACGAAAAGACTTACTGACATCTCCACAGGAACGTTACCTGCGCACCACAAGCAATTGTCGCTCGTATGATTACGACCCAGGACAGGCGTACCCACGCCATCCGAATACTGGACGCGCTTGGCACTCTCGCAACCTGAAGTGCACTAACTGCCTCGATGTCTGCTGTGCCGTCTGCGGACGCACCTGCTGCGCTTACAAAGCTGCCTCTGAAGCACTGAAGAACCACAAGGACAATCCACCATCTCTCATGGCTGCACAAGATCGCCTCGCTGATATCTCCAACCTCTTCCCGTTCGGTCGTGAGGTTTCCACGTTTCTTCAATGCACCCATGGTGGTGGCTGTGGCAAGATGGTCTGTCCGGACTGCTGTGGAATGTGTCCAAATCCAATCTGTTGTGACCTTCAGTGCAGAAAGTGCAAGAAGGACCCATGGGCTGAGTGCGACTGGCATGAACATATGGATACACACGCTTTGTAAAGCTTCGACAACCCTGAACGCCGGCAAACTTGAGAAGATATGATTCAAGACGGAAAGCTCTCAACATTGTGACTGGTGGTGGAACTCTGGAAACCCTCAAAATTCGGCGTCGATGGTTCCTGTGTATGATGAAATGAGAATGACGGACATGAGCTTCTGATACCCAGCCTCGAGATGCACATTCCTCGGCTACTGACCATAGGATGGTCGGAAATAAAAGACACTGATTCAAAAGTTCGTGACACGGCGAAAGTGTACAAAACATGTTCTCCCATAATAGCCCAAAGCCTTTTGCAAGAAATTGAGGAGATCACTCTCGACAGCAAGGCGGCAGGACTCCACACCGTACTCCGTACTCCGTACCAATGCGAGCTTTGGTTCATCCCGAAATTCTCCCCCCTGGACTGCGCTGCCCATACTGCGCGCAGTCCGTCTATGATTCGCCGTATTACATTTCATCGGGCACTTGCGCCAACGGATTAGTCGCACATCACTCTTGGCAAATGCCAAGCGCACAACTCGGCGCGAGATTTGACCCCGATGCCACTTCGAAGCCTGGACGAGCGACTGCGCCTAATTGATTTCATTCCATCAACCACCATCAAAGACAGGTACAGCATCGGGCAAACCGACCGACCAAGATGCGTACCTACGACGACACTTTCAGCGGGACAAAGATCTACCCGGGCAAGGTCAGTCCAGTCGACCGCGATACATTCCGCCTTCGCCTTATTCCACACCCTACCTACTTCAGATTGAGACGAGGCACCTTGGAGAGTTGTACAGTGGCTGACCTGAGACGGGAAATATAGGGCAAGCTCTATGTCCGCGGTGACAGCAAGATCTTTCGATTCCAGAATGGCAAGACCGAATCCCTCTTCCTCCAGCGCAAGAACCCGCGAAGAATAGCCTGGACCACACTCTACCGAAGAATGCACAAGAAGGGTATCTCGGAGGTTAGTTTGACACTCTACAGCCCCCCCGCCCCCAAGTTCTTAACACGGAGGTTTGGTCCAAGCAAGAGCATTCCGTCACTTCTCAAGTTGGAAAAAGGACGAGCTCTAACCCGAAATACTACCACAATTACTTGATATCCAGTGCAACACGCACAGAGATTCCGACAGGCCAAGGACAATCACTGACTAGAGTCTACTGCAAATAGGAAGTCGCCAAGAAACGATCTCGCCGCACGGTCAAGCATCAACGAGCCATCGTGGGCGCCTCGCTCGACGTGATCAAGGAGCGCCGAACGCAGCGACCTGAGACTCGCGCGGCTGCTCGCCAGGCAGCGATCAAGGACGCCAAAGACAAGAAGGCGGCCCAGGAGAGCAAGAAGAAGCTCGAGAAGGCAAAGAGCGCCGCTGGTGCCGCCAGAGGCCAGGCCCGCGGTGGCAACATCAGCAAGCTGCAGGCCAAGGGTGCACCCACCAAAGTCCAAGCCACTACCAGATAAATGCTCGATCCGGCTTGAATGCGTCCTGCAAGTGAGTGTTCGACGGGACAGGTTTTTGTGGACCCTGGGGTTTCGAAAATGGGTCATCGGGCATGGCATGGAATGGTATGGCACGGTGCTTGCTGGGGAGACCGATGAGCGAGGAATCCTATTCAAGTACGGCTTGCACGACAATCGGATGAGGAACCAAAAATGACAGAAAAGACCTGGTGTCAATGCAGGTCTTCGCTGCATGGCACGCCGTTCATGGCATCCTGAGTGCTACGCGTGCAATAAAGACGATTCGATACAGTTACATGAATCGATGAATATTGAAAGCAATCCGCTTGCCTAGGACGACCAACCACTATTGCGTCTGGCCAATTGTGGGCTCCATCTATTAAAGTGACCCATTCGGCTGCCGAAGATCCCTGTTCTAGATACTCAGGTCAATGCCCATCTGTCTGTGACACGGTCATGCGCAACGTATTTGTGACTTTGTCAAGATCCATTGATTAGCCTCGCTTTCTTAGACCACCGTATAGCCGGCGATCAAAACCCGTTCCATCCGTGTGTACTGGGCCTCTGGTGGTCGGGCACCTACGGTCAACTTAGGCACCTGCAGAGCCTCTTGGGTTGGTAGCCAGATTCTTCCAGCTTCCAACATTCTGCGGCCATGACTGATTATCAACCCCTTTCACAGCCTCAGAGGTCCATATGGATGAGAGCATGGCTGTAGCCAGTACGTAGTCGCGACTTAAGTGCGACTGTGTCGACTGACCGGGTCTTCTGTGGGCAGCATCTTCGGACTCTGAAAGCCACTGCCGGAAGCTCTATAGTTTGAGAATCGCTGTTCCTTCAGCCATTCTTGTGATATATCCGCCAACTCAATCGCCCAGAGAAGTGCCAAAGCGATCAACGAAAAAGTCCTCTGCCTTCTTCAGGACCTTTGCATCCCTCCTGGCGTCTGCCTCAGTTTGGACAGGCGTCTTCCAATTATTGACTCCCCACCACCATTTCCTTAGCCGGGCACCAAGTGTTCTTCCCTTGAATTTACTGCCGCGGTTCCAATGCCGCCAACCGAACATGAGCAGGTTCCAGAGAACGCCCTGAGCGAGCGGCAGGAAGACCTGGTCCCGGATTGTGATGAAAGCGACTTTCCACGCCGAGTCTGCGTTCTTGATGCTCGCCAGATAGGACTGCTCGAAGCGGAAGTCGGGGATGGGAGGGAATGATTTTCGACGCTGGCGAGGACGGATAATCTCGCTCGGGATGGTCGATGCCGACTCGGAAGTGGTTGCTGAGTCGAGGGACTGGGAGCGAGAGAGAGGAGGAGAGTGGTGTGTGGACGATTCCAAGACAGCGGGGATCTTCTCAGATGCCGCGGTTGACGGGTTTAAGTCATGCTCCGGCGAAGGGTCGTGCTTGATTGAGACGGATTGAATCGTCGAAGCCAGTTCCGACGCTATATTGGAAGACATTCTGTGTTTTCAACCACAGGCGTCAACAGCTGATTGTATCGTAGGTGTACGGCGTATCCGATCGGGAGACCTAGGTAAGGTCTTTCGAGTGACACCGAGAGGTTAAAGTGGCAGAAATGGCGAGCGGTGAGTGGTGGGTGGTATGGTGAAGGCCTAGCCTAGAGGGACCATTTCTTTCAACGAACCCTATTGATGCAGCATGCAGCATGCAGCATGCAGCCAGATTGGAGCGGAATTGTCGAAAGGTAGGGGGAAGAAAGATGCTGGTGTGGAAGACGAGGTACTCTGGAGGGAGTATGTACTACGCTCCGTACACTGACGGCGAGCTCACCCTGTTTGGGGTAGAGGGTGACGCCGCCCTATGAGAATCAGGTGACCTATGTCGAATAGAACTGGGATTCTTTTATATGCGCAATGTCTAATTTCAATCTGCAAAGTTGACTCTACTTGTTGCGCCGCTTATCTACCGCAGGAGCCACCCTTATCATCTCAGTGTCCACGTATTCCTCTCTGTCAACCAAGTTAACTATATATAATATAGCCGACTCGGCAAAGCGGCTGCAACTCTTGTCCTATGTGCTGCTGTGCGTCATGATAACAAGCTCTCGCTCTTTCAGCGCTCTGAGCTGTCTTGTATATCCTCGGTCTGATGAGTGAGGGCCGACACGGGCCTAGAAGTCGAAGTGGTAGGGCCTCTTCTCGTGTTCTAGCCTACTACTACTCCTCTACTCCTACTACTCAAGTTCACCATGTGTGATCAAGGTCATCATGAAACGCACTGACGCACGCTTTTTCTTCAGGCTGCTGGACTTGCCGAGCTCGAAAGGTCAAGTGTGACGAGACTCGGCCAGAATGTAACAACTGCTGCCTCCGTCGCATCAGTTGCGATTATACCCCTCGTCCACGTCGCCCCAGACGCCGGGCACGGACAACGACGCACAGGGTGCAAGTACTGCGGCCACTACAACAGCAGATCGGTCATGCCTCGCCTGCAACGGCTTCTCCAAGTCTAGACAGCGTGGCAGGGTCTGACCGAACGATCGAATTGCCTCTCGGCCTCGGCGTGACTGATTGGCCTTTTCCTCTGCATGAGACGGACCGGACGGCTCTTGCACACTATGCCGAGAACTTTGTGCCTCGTATGGTGCTGAGGACTCCTCGTTGGTCGTCCTACGCATACCTTCTCCGGATCTGTACCAAGCACCGCCTGCTCGCCCACTTACTCTTATCAGTTTCCGTGCGGGACATGGCCGAGGAGGATGACAACGAACTGATCATGGTTGCAATTCAGCATTATCAGACAGCACTCGGACTATTCATCGAACATCTTGGCTCCCCGGAGAAGCAGGGATGGATTACGTTTCCCGCCTTGTGGCTCTTCATCCACTATGAACAACAGTATGGAGATGATCCAAGCGTGCTCCAGAAACATTTGCAAGGACTCCGCGATGTCATTGCCTTCCACGGCGCCGCAATCCTTCCTTATGCGATCGGTGGTCAGGATCCGTTGGACCACTGTGATGACACGGACGTCGCCTGGCACATGATTGACAGGACTGCGCTGTGGACGATTGATCACGATGCTTGTGCGGCCTTTTTCGGATTCGGGGGCAGCTTAGTGCGATTGGTGATTGAGCAGTATCCCGGGTCACTATCTAGGCTCATAAAGAGCTCAAGAAATGCTCTCAGCCAAGCTTTTGGTCCCGACTATCCGGCAGAGGGGCAGCTGTGGGATACTCAACACAGTCAGATAGAGATGTTTCAATACAGTCTCATCACCCTGAGATTCGGCATCAGCAACTTGGACGGTTCTTCAGAGGCCAGTGATCTTCTAGATTTCGCGAGGAAGCTAAAGCAAGTCGAGGAGGTAGGGGATCCAATCACCCAGCCAGTTGCAGCGGTTTCAAGACTCACCGTCCGGCCCAGGAATTCTCCTCCCTATTATGCGTTGCGCTATCGCCGCAGGCCTCCGACGGGGGCATCTCGTCCAACATGTGCATTCCAACCGCCCAGTTCTACGCAATCGTGGCGCTGTACGAGAGACAGATGTACCGCACCCAGCCGGTTGCCGCCATCGCCAAGGTCCTATACGCTTGCGCCAAACTGGCGGAAGTTGCGCCCTCGAACTACTTGTGGCGTGTCGCGTGGCCCATGTTCGTGGCCGCGCTGGAGACAGACGACTTGATCCACCAGCAATGGGTGCTAGGCCGATTCAAGGAGATGCAAGTCTGCGGTGAGAACCTGCGTCGCGCCCGGATTTTCCTGGAGGTGGCGCTTAAGGAGCAGAGGAGGACGGGGCAGCGGGTGCCGTATCTCTCCTGGCTCAAGGAGGGGCCCTTCGAGAAGTTTGTGCTGTAGACAAAGGTTCAGGTTAGATGATCTGAAATGGTTGCAAAACACAATCCAGTTGTGGGCCGAATATCCGGACAACAATTGACTTCTCACTAAACACACACTGGTAGCTCGGACATTCCAAAGCTGTCTGTCTTATGTAAATTGACCTGGGTTTGAGGCTCTCCCTCTCCCTCTCCCTCTCCCTCTCCCTCTCCCTTCCATCTGTATCTATATCAGATCAAGCCAGATAGATGTTTCTTCAGAGATTCTTCCCAATCCCCCCTCACTCTTTTAAAGAGGGCATCATTGGTCAACAGCTCCAAGCCCAAGAGTGCCAACAGACCGCCCGCCTGCTGAGACTTGTCGAAGGCATCGTCGGTGCCCACTGCAGCAGTGAAATCGTGTGTATGTACGCTTACGCTGTCAGGCGTGTCGATGACGAAATTGGTGTGTAGGGCTGGTGCGTGGTAGGAGACGTTTCCTACGGGGTTGAGGGTCTGATTAGTCTAACAAAGGATGGGAAGACAGGGCGGTGCTGGTGGGAAGGAGGACGAGGGGGGGAGAAGAGAAGGAGGAATAGTAAAGAGGAGACGGGGAGACCAGACCGATATCTGAGGAGCCTTTCCCATCCCGATCATCCCAGGCGAGTGCCTTGGTACCAAGGCCATTCGCAATCTGCGCGAAGCGATTGCAGAACACCTTGGACTCGACAAAGTCGTTGTATTCCTGTACCCTATACTCTCATGGCCGTCAGTTCTGTTTCGCATTCTCTCTCTCTCTCTCTCTCTTTTAATCATGACAACATCAAAACAAAAGACGCAAGCCACGTACTCTGTGATTTTGATCTGGCATCCCGTTGACAGGGCCGCCGCCTCAAAACAGGCTCTCACACGGCTAGCCAGCAGGTCGGCGGACTTCTTGGTCCGGCTCCTCGCCACGTAGTACACCTGGGCGTACTCGCCGATGACGTTGGCATATTGGGGAGCTTCCTGCAGGCAGCCGTGGATTCGCTCGTAGGGGAGGATCTGCTGGCGCAGAAGGCCGATGTTGGTGTGTGCGGCGACGGCGGCGTCGTAGGCGTTCACGCCCTCCCAAGGGGTCACGGCCGCGTGGGTCGCCTTGCCGAAGAACTCGACGCGCATTCTTCGATCCGAGAGGAAGCGCGTGCCGCCGACCGCCGTGTGGTCCGGGTGACCGTCCGGAAGCATGCTGGCCGGCCAGGGGTGCCTGTCCGAGCTCCAAACGTCAGCGGCAGGCCTCTCACTCATTCAAATTCTCCTGCTCAGGGCTGGGCCTGGTTTCGGGACGGATCGAGGAGGGCAACGAACGTCATGAGGACCGCATCCACGCCATTGTAGGCGCCTCCCTTCAGCAGCACCGCCTTCCCGCCAAGGTTCTCCTCGGCCGGCGTCCCAAGCAGCTGCACGCGTCCGGGGAGGCCGCGTTTCTGGAGCGTGTAGTGCAAGCCAAAGAAGGCTGCGACGCCCGCAACCGCGATCAGGCTGTGTCCGCACGCATGCCCAACATGGGGAAGAGCATCGTATTCCGCGTTGATGCTGATCAGCCTCCCGCCCTTCCCGCTGCCGCTACTGACGACCTCGAAGGACGTCTCGACACCGTACGCATGGCGTGTTACCTGAAACCCTTGGCTTTCCATGTAGTCGCAGATGGTATCGTGAGCGATGTGCTCCTTCATAGCCAGCTCGGGGTTGTTATGGATCTGTCGCACCGCGTTAGGTGCTGAGCATGAGCATCAAATGATATCCAGCCTAGTATCACCGGGGGAACGCCGTCGAATGAAATGATGAGAACTCACGTGAGAGAATACGTCTCGGAGACGCTCAGAGAGTTTCCCAATTGCTTCATCGACATCTTGCTTGACCTCGTTGACAAAGTCAAGGCTGAACTCGAGATCTCCTTTTTGGGGGGCCATCATGTATTGCGAATGTTGACGGGGGATACCGTTGTAAAGAACAATGTTTGAAGATTCGTGGACGGAGCTTAACCGTATCGTAGTCAGACCGGGGAAAGGAGCAGAACAAGACAGGAGAGCAGAGACACTGAGCAGCTGCAGCATTCATGACGGCAATTCCATGCTTATATATGCAAGAAGCGTACAGCATGGTGTCTGGATCAGTGATTACGCCGACTATCCGTACTGTACTTCAAGGATCGTCTACTCGTATCAAGTCGCGGTTCAAGCACCGCGAGGCTGGCATTGACGGTCAAATGCAGGTCCGGCATCGACAAAAGGGCGGGGGATAGGCAAGTAGCCGAACAGACGAATAGGCGAATAGGCGAATAGACGAATAGACGAACGAATCGGCGAATAGACGAATAGAGACGGAGGGAGGAGGAGACCAATAGCCGAGAGGAGGCGAGATAGGGGTGATAAGGCTCTGCTCCACATCTGTTCTGATAGGAGAGAGCACAAATCGTGTCTGCCGAGCTGTGTGAGCTGGCCACCAATACAACAATCTCGCCTGCTTCGGCAAGCTGTGATGGTCAATGATCGAAACATATATGCTACCGACAGAGGATCAAGGAAATGTCTCAGGGCATACATTCGACACTGACACTTCGTACCGCCTCCACCGTCGTACAGTATCAACTACCCAGCATAGCCGATAGCTCCGAAGGGTCTGCGTGTACAAAGTGTGTGTCCAAGTGTACTGAGTATGCCCTGAGACATTCCCAGCATAAAGAGAAGCCATTTCTAGAAGTCAGTTTAATGCTGATCATTCGGTACTGACAATGAGACGCTTAATCTATCTCCCTTGACTCGACGACCACGCATCCATCTCGAAGAAGAGTTGGCCGTTTTCAGTCGCAGACGAATCAATCCGTACCCTAACAACTATGGCGATCCAGGAGCATCGTCAGGCCTTGGATGCCAATACTGACACTGATACTCCCTGGACGGCAACGCCGTGTGTCCTCTCCAGGTCGCTCTCTGCTGCCGCTGGCTGGTGAGTCAACCAAGCGTCAGATAGCAGTGCATACTACTTCATCTTCATATAATCCCGTCGCCCGTCACCCCGTCACCCGCTGACTGACGGCCACTTGAATGACCATTTCCACAGCAAGGTATACATGAAGCTAGAGAATCTTCAGCCATCAGGATCATTCAAATCACGGTACGTGATCGATCCCCCTCCCCAGACCATCACCCTGCCCACCTCCCACCTCCCTTATATCCGGCCAGCAGAACAGATCCATGATCCGATCCAATTCTTACTCAGCATCATGTTAAAGAGGAGTTGGCAATCTCGTCCGGAACTGCGTCCAACGTCGACGAACCTCTGCCACTGCCAGTCATGGGCCCAAGATCCATTTCATCTCCAGTTCCGGGGGCAATGCCGGACTGGCGGCCACCACGGCGGCAAGACAACTCGATCAGGACGTCACGGTGGTGGTGCCGAAGACGACGGGGCGGGCCATGAGAGACAAGCTTGTCGCCGCAGGAGCACGAGTCCTCGTCCACGGCGCCACGGTGTCAGACGCGGACGAGTACGTGAAGCACATGGTCGCCGACGATCCGAAGAGTGTCTACGTGCCTCCCTTCGATCACGAAGATATCTGGCAAGGTATGTTTTCACCTAAACCTCAGCCAAAGTAAAGGCTACCCTGACCCCCACCGTCTCCCAACTGCCAACTTCTTTGTTCTTTCGGTGGCTGACGCTCATGCATGTTTTGATCTCCCCAACAGGCAACTCGACCATCATCGACGAACTCCACGCCCAACTGGACGGCCATCCTCCCACCGCAATCATCTGCAGTGTCGGCGGCGGGGGCCTGTTCAACGGCATCATGCAGGGCCTCGAGCGACACGGCTGGACCTCACACGTCCAAGTGCTCGCCGTCGAGACCTCCGGCGCCGACTCGCTGGCCCAGTCGCTGCAGGCAGGGGAGCTGATTACGCTGCCGTGCATCACGAGCATCGCCCGCTCGCTGGGCGTGACCCGCGTCAGCGAGCGGACCTTGGCATATGCAGATGCCCGCCCGGACCTGGTCCACAGCTTGGTCTTGAGCGACGCCGCCGCCGCCATGGCGTGCGTGAGGTTCGCCGATCAGGAGAAGATCATGGTCGAGGCCGCCTGTGGCGCAGCGGTTGCCGCGTGCGATCAGGCCGTGTTGAGGGCCGCTGTACATGGATTTGGGACAGATTCCACCATCGTGGTGGTTGTTTGTGGTGGTAAGTCCAAGTCTTGCCCTATGCCTTATTTCTCATGGTTGCGTGTGAATGAGCAAGCCGCTCTAGCCATTGACCTTGACCTTCATTGACTAATCATCCTCTGTTCCACGCCTTAGGATCGAATGTTTCGCCAGAGATCCTGGTTGAGTATCGAGAGAAATACTCGAATATCGAGTAACCCGTTGATGGGTCGCGAACCTTGAAACTTGCCGAAAAAGAAATATATATACCAACCATCTAGATTGAGACTACGGAGTAAAATGGACCAAGACTGGAGCCGACGTGTTGATGGAAAGCCTATCAGATCAGTTCTTCTTCCAAACAGGGCCCTGAGGCCTGGCAGGTCATCATGAGAGGCTTCCATACAATTCCTCGACCAAGTCAATTCTAAAGCTCCTTCAAGAGTTGAGCATGCTATGCTTTGTTACATTTCCTTCGACCTGGAAAAGATCAAGTATGGCGAAGGAAAAGTCAAGTATATTTATATCTCTCTCTCACAAACCTGACTTGGTCTAATTACCAATATATTGTCATAGGCGTCGGTAGGAATCATGACCAGACCAGTTTCCACGTAACTTCAGAATATCTTAATCCCCAAGCGACTTTTTGATTTTACCATGCCAATCGAGTCGGAACACCTCCTTGATTTTTCCTTCACTTTTCCACCAGAAGCAGATCCTCCTTCCCTCCGGCTCACGAATACTTGTACTTGTATTCTAGTACAAGTACACAAAATTCTTCATCTCCTTATCGGTTCGATCCGCATTCACGTCTCTTATATTATCGTCACTGGCACCAATATGCTCATCCCCTTCCCCTTCCCCTTCCCCTTGCGTACTTGCTCCATGTCCAGCCCTTTGGTAGTTCTTCCACTGAAGGTAAAATCTCAGAGCAATGGCGGCAACTACACTGAGCGCCAATCCCGCCATGCAGACCTTGAAGCCGGTCTATTTCAAATCCAAGGCACAAAGGTCAGTAAGGTGGGGCGCCGAAATTAGAATAGAAAGAAAAGAAAAGAAAAGGAAAGGAAAGGAAAGGGGAAGACCGAGAGCTTTACCGGGTATCTTGGAGCCTCCTTTGTCAGGAAAGCCTGTGGGCTAATGATGTTGCCCACGCAGTAAGCGACGAACAGCATGGATCCCGCCGTAGCCTTTTTGGTCGCGCCAGCAATGTTGGATGAGATCAGCGACATGGAAATGGGAATGTTGCATGCGAAGGCACCCATCAGGTAAACCCCGATGAGTTTACCGACTTTGTGCTCATCGCTCAGGGTGTAGACGACGATGGATCCTATCAGACTGGAGGGGCCAAGAGGCTTGGATTCAGCAATCTCGTTTGACAAGGGGGTCCGGGAGGGAAGGGATCACGGGGTTGGGGTTGCGAGAGAGCAGCTTACGCGATCGTGGAGAAACCGATCAGCATGAAGATTCGGCTTCCTTTCACAAAGCTGGCGCAGATGGAGGATAGTGTCACCAGAATAATCTGAACAGCTCCACCGGGCATCTGCAGCAGAAGCGCTTCGAGCCCGGCATAGCCTAATCCTTTGATGACGATGGATTGAAACTAAAGAAGGGTGAGCAGGAGCAGGCGAGGCCCAACATACATGGGACTTGAAAGATCAGATGGAGTTCCGAGACTTACGGCAATCAGACCCGAGTTCACAAGCATCGAGCCCAGCATGTTCAGGCACAAAAGCCAGACTTGGATATCGCACAGAGCCTCCCACATTTGAGACCACTTGAAAGTCCAATCGGAAACGGCGGTCCGGTTGCCCTTGACCCGCTCGATGGCCACCGTTCTTTCATCCTGGGTTAGAAATCGGGCATTGGTGATCGTATCCGGGAGAACGTAGAGCATGACGACGCCCCACGCGCTCGTCAAGGCTCCCAGGATGAGGAAGAGGTACTGCCATTTAGCGAGGCTCCCGTTAAGGTGCCCAATTCCCCAGGCTACCAGGCCTCCGAAGGTCGCGGCTGTGGAGTTTCCCTGTCTGTTCATTAGAGTTTAAATTCCCCCTTCCCCGTGGTGCGGTTAGATGGTTGTGGGGCCATACCAAGAACCAAAGTCCATGTCTAACATAGGCGGTCAGCCTCGTGCCAAAGAAAGGGAGATGGAGACATAGGTACTCACCTCAAAGGCTGCTCCTCTCGTTTGTAAAACATGCCCGTCATCAGGCTGAAGCCAGGGGCTACACAAGCTTCCGCGCACCCGAGCAGGAATCGGGTGACCATCAAGCCGGCAAAGCTGTGGCAGCCTGCGTGAGCCATCAGCAGCCCACCCCACACAATCCTGACAAGAGGTTCAGCATAGTCTGTTGGGGTTGGGCATGAAGATGCTTACACCGTTCCAGAAAGGTATTTCCCGATCGGCAGACGAACGGTCAGGAACGAATTCGGGTACGACATGAAAAAGTATCCGAAGTAGAAGATGGAGTTGATCCATGAATACTCAGTGCCGTGGAGGTTCTGAGAGAAGAAGCGAGTCAGCACAAAAGCTTAACGCCCATCTTCGTGGTGCGCCCGTACCGCATCCGTGATGATACCCAGGAGTGTTGCATAACCAAGAGTTGCCTTGTCCATGAATTGGAACATATAGCAAACGGCCAAGACCGGCAGAAGACTGTTGGAGTGAACGTCAACCAGTTGGAACGTGGTGTGCTTGAAGCAAATCATTACCATAAGTCGAGTTTCCACACAATCTTTCGAACGTACGTTGGTGGAATATCGGTCTCCCCGGCCTCTTGCACATTGGTGTCTCCACCTGGAATGCTGATGCTTGACTTCTTCATGTCGGCCATAACCACTTGTCGTGTGCTGAAGGGCTTCAGTGGGTGAGGGATGCCGGTACTGTCCGTTGACAACGAAACTTGACCTGTTCTACTGCCGAGTATGGAGGGTCGAGCGTTGATGCGTGCAGAGTCTCGGATTTCCGTGTTCGCATTCTCGAGCACGTGTCCTTTAAGTAGTTGATCAGAAGGTGGTCTAGATTCCTATCAGACCCGCTGCCATGGCCCTGTTGATGTTCTTATCTCTGTGGGTTGACTGTCCGACCGGCTCGATGGCTTGCTCGTAAGACCTGGTAACTGAACATTGGGAATCGATGGCCTGCTGGACAGCATTCTGGCCTGTCATGAAGAGAGATGAAGTTTGGTCGTTATCAGTAGACGCGACTTCTGGAGACTGTGGGTGTATTATCTTTCGGCTATTGTGCTTTCTGTCCATTCTGTTGTGGCTCCGTTCCTGATTGGTCAGTTCGAGCCGACAGAGAGAGTCGAACGCTCAACTTGATCATCACATAAATGAATGGGGTGAACAGTCGACTCCCTTGTCAGGCTGCTTATCAGCCTTCGATCTGATGCTTATCTCGGCAGCAATCAAGAGAAAGCTTCTCCACATGCCTGTTTGTCCATGTTTACTGTTGTAACCGGTGAGGATATCAGGGAGAGAACCATCTGACTACCACCTATATTACTAAAGTGTATTTCTGGTGTTTCGCCACGAAGGATGCCAACTTGAACTTCGTCGTATCTTTAGGCCATGTCGATGCCTAACTCACTTACCTGACCCCCTATTGATCATGTCTGCCGCGTGATGATGATGACGCCTCGCCGTCCTTTGTGAACATTGTCAAAGCGGCGGGAAGCATTGATGATACTCTGATTGGCAACACATTGTTCCTAGCGTGCACGGCTACTAAGATAGTGGCTCGATCTCGCAAAGATATTCAACAGCCAGGCCATCGATGGATTGACGGTCTTCACATATACATCTCAGAGGTAAGGTCGTCGCCGACAGGGATGCGATGGAGTTGGAGTTGTGTTGGTTCGCGGGGGGTTAAAGCGGCGTGGCCGAGACCCGTGTGAAGGAACTCCCACGTGACCTCGCCAGTCCTCAGATCTGCTTCCACCCTCCCCACTTCAATCTGCGCCATTGCATTGACCACTACTGCATGAAATATTTCCACGACACCAGTTTCAACCCTTTGGAATAATTACCCAGATCTAGAGCCCATACGAGTAGCATTCATCTCCGCCACTATCTTCTCCTTGATTCTACCGCGAACTTTTGCTCCCATCCCCAACTACGCAGCTCTTCCCAACTAGGTGTGGTCGTCGTCTCCAAAATGTCGGACAAGCATTGGAAACTTCTCTGCTTAGAGAACCCCCTGCTCGACATCCAGGGTAAAGGGTATGTCTAGATTCCTACAGAGATCCTCTGCCTCACATGATTTGGTTGGAGCCTGAATCTGACGAACACTGTTTTCCCTTCCAGCGACGAGGCTATGCTGGAGCAATATGGCCTGAAACTCGACGACACTCTCCTCGCCGAACCCCATCAAATGGGTCTCTACGATGACCTGATCAAGAACCGCAATGCGAAACTCATTCCGGGCGGGGCGGCCCAGAACACTGCAAGAGGTGCTCAGTATATGCTCCCTCCGGAGTCAGTGTGGTACATTGGTTGTGTTGGAGACGATGAGTACGCGAGCATCCTCCGAGAGAAATGCGCCGAGCAAGGTTCGCGGACCACCCTGATCACAGTATGTATTTCAAGACCAGATAACTGACCAGGTGCTCCAGGCTTGCACGTCGAGTACCGTGTCGACCCGAAAGTCCCGACAGGAAAATGCGGTGTTGTCATCACAGGCCATCACCGCACAATGTGCACACACCTGGCAGCGGCCAACGAGTATAAATTAGACCACTTGCTCGACACGCGTATCTGGTCTATGGTCGAAAAGACTGACGTCTTCTATGTGGGCGGTTACCATTTGACTGTCTGTCCTCCGGCTGCGATGGCTCTCGCCAAACATGCGGCCGAGACCAACAAGATCTTTATGCTCTCCCTGTCCGCAGGCTTCATCCCACAGTTCTTCAAGGAGCCTTTGGCTGAGATCCTGCCGTACTGTGACTATGTCTTCGGAAACGAGAACGAGGCAAAGACTTGGGCCGAAACCCAAGGCCATAGCAACATTTCCATGCAAGAATGCGCAAAACTAATGGCCAAGCTGCCCAAAGTCAACACCAAGAGACCGAGAGTTGTCATTGTTACACAAGGCACGGATCCCACCATCGTGGCCGTAGCGGAGCAAGGCAAAGAGGTCGAGGTCAAGGAATACCCCGTACCTGTGATCGACAAGGAGCTCATCAACGACACAAATGGAGCTGGTGACGCGTTCGCCGGCGGCTTTTCTGCAGGCATCGTTGAAGGCGAGCCACTCGAGGCCTGCATCAAGAAAGGCCAGTGGTTGGCGAGACTCGGTTTGCAAGAATTGGGCCCCTCGTAAGTCAAAGTCCAGTCCCCATACATTCCTGGAGGAGCAGTGTTGGAGCCACATCAAGCTGTCTCTCTCACTCATCGTCTTAACCTCCGACCCCACCAACCTTGTAAATTCTCAAACTAATGCATTCCGCAGATACCCCTGGCCCAAGCAAACATATAAGGAGTAAGAAGGCTGCAAATACTCGAGATATGCCCCTCTTCAGCGTAAGCGGGTTTAACTCCAGCCTTTGTTTGATCGTGTACTATTATGGCGCTTCATGCGGTCTCATTCAACAAGACCGTGTTTCAGGGTTGATACCACGTCTTCCACGACTTGATGATAAGAAAAAGTGATACCAGGTAAAATCCAGCAAGACTCGAGGCTGGGACCGATCTCTGCATTGAGTAGGTCATCAATAGATGGCTCGATAGCGAGCTTGAAATTCCTTAAGGGTTTGAAACTCGTGCAATTTCTTTCATCTGAACAGACCTTGCTCTCCTCTTGGCTAAGCCCTTAGTTAAACTGGTATAGGTTAAGGCCATGACCGTAGAGACTGAACTCCGTCCACGTGTATCCGGGCCATGAATCATCCGGCTTGACCGTTGGTAGGTGTTTGACTGCTTCTCGGCCGTGGGTCACCGATGGCGCCGAAAGGAGAGGGCTCCGATTTTGGACTTGATATGACCGTCTCATGTGAAGCACTGGTCCCAAACCCGGACTGCCATGGTGACAACTGCAACGGAGACCGAGGCTGCAGCTGGTCATTGATGTAAGGCCAAACGGTCGCATATGATCTACTTGGATCGTGGTCCGTCGAAATTGTGAATTCAGAGAACCCCGGCGGCGACGTTCGATTCTGTATCTCCTCCCTTTTCTGCCGGAGCAGGGTAGAAAATTGCGAGGAAGTGTTCAAGTGTGGAGAGGTTTTGCCAAAGTCCGCCACGCGATGGGCTGTGCTAGGCCGTGACGAAGACCCTGGCGTTTCTCCTGGTCGCGGCGCAAAAGGAGTGTTCCATATGCTAGGCAACGCCACCTCAGTAGGCAAAGCGCCGGAAGAACGTCGGAGTTGTTGGACAAGATCTCGAGCAGTGATTGTTGATGACTGCATTGGTGGCTCCCTTCTGTCAGGAAAAGACTGTGCCAGAGGGCTTTTTGGAGTTGCCAATGAAGATTTATGACCCACACCGGTACCAGGGTGTACTGGCTCAAGAGTTCCGCCCTCTATCAAATCCTTCACCATTTCCTCCATCGCAGTACTCATGGATCCAGAGACCTCAGAATCGGAAATAATTCCCCTTGTGTTTTCGGTATGTGCAGGACGGGAAGAAGTCACCGCAATCGGCCCCCTGTGCTCTGCGGTCTCGTCATAGAAAACGAAACGGTTGTTAGCAAAAGTGAGCGGAATAGGCAAGGAGGCAAAAATATCCTACTGAGAGTTAGACCAAGTTGAACATTGGAACGCATCAGAGACAAACCTTCTTGCAAAGATAGACCGCGTCTCTGACCAAACACTTGACTCGATAGAGCATTTGGGCTTGGCTCGACTGTGGGCCAGACACCGATTCGTCGTGTACGGGTTTGGGGATATGGCCAGCATCCTGAAAGCGGGTTTCTTTGACAAAATTGCTGAAAGGTGAAAAGGCTAGAGTGTCTCGATCCTCGTCCAGGAGGTAAGGAAGTTCGGGCACTTCACGTATAACAGGGAATGTGTGGGTAAGCAGGCTAAGTGCCTCAGCATAGGTCTGCCACAATGCCGCAATTTGGACTCGCTGTGTTCTGTTCGCGAGGAGTTGCTGGACAGTACTCAACAACCATCCACTATACAGTCTAAGATGGGGGAGGATGCGGCGGACGAGAGGAGTAAGTCGAGAAGGACCATCGCGCGAATGATTCGATCTGGCAGTGTCTTTCGTAGGGGGTCGGAGCTCATCTAGTAGAAGCTCTAGAAGCATGACAAGAGTAGCAACATTCATGTGCTGAGCAATTTCAAACGAGCGGAATGTCGAAGAATCGTCTAAGCGTGTTAGACAGCAATTGGTTCGGGGAAACGAATACGTACTGCGGACTCTTGTTGCGGCCAGATTCTGTGCCGAAATGTTGATCAAACAGAATTTTCGGATCATGGTATCATAGGGCCTTTCCCTCAATTCGCCCGAAAGAAGGCGGAGTATCTCATTTTGCTCGTCTTCCTCGTCGTCATATTCCTCCAGAAAGCAACGAGCGTGAAACAGAAGGAATTTATTCTGAAATTCGCGGCTTCCTTCAGCGGCAGCATCTTCACTTAGGATTTGCTTGCCTTGAACGGACCTCTTTTTGATCTTTTTGAATTCAAGTTTCAAGTTTCCTTGAGCTTGAGGAGCAGGGTTGTCAACGCAGATTGCCCTGTAGAGGTGATACACGGCTCTTAGATGATCTTGGTCTGTTAATGCGATGACAGCAAGCTGATTGCTTGCGATTCCGGTGGTGGGATCAAGAGCAGATGCCAGCCCATAATACCCCTTGGCCGGTCCCCAATTACGCTCTTTGGTCTGTAGCTCGGTCTCTCTGTACCTGGAAAGATCTCCTAGTTGGACCAGAGTTGAATAGCAAGAGCGAATGATTTGCTTCTTCAACAATAAATCCACAGACAGAGGCGTATCTGCTGAAAGGGCTGTGCGCGCAATGTTAGGTCATTCCCTACACGAAAGGATTGCCCACGTACTTTCTAGATTGAACTTTCGAGCAATCTCAACAATCTCTGGCATGCCACTGAAGTTGGAAGCGAGGCCTTGAATATATCCTCGATAGAAGCGCATGCTTGACTTGATAAACTCCAGGTAAAGTTTCTCGGCCTTTCGGCGCTCGACCGGCTTCTTTTTGCACTCGCCCTCGCGGAACTGGGCCAGCAGTGGTCTGAACTTCTGGTTGACCTTGGAGTGTGCATCCCACAAGCGAGATTCGACTTTCGCCTCGGCGGCCGCCGCAAAGTCGTGGAGGATGTAGTCTTGACATGCTGACCGAAATCTAGGGTTGTCAGCTTTCGGACCGAGTACAGGCGCGACTTCTTACTTCGCCAGTTGTTGCTCTAGGGTTGTATATGAAGGGGCTCTGGCTGCTAAAGAGGCTAGCACACCCTCCTCTGTGCGATCTACGATTCTATTTTGCCCCGACGTTAGAGTATGCCATAAGTCTTGACAGAGTGACTGTACTTGGACGCCTCTTGTGAATTATCTTCCATGATGGGCGTGGGCTGGGGAAACAGGTCATCGCGACCGTCTTCTTGGTCAGGACAAGTGTTTGGCGGAACTCGACCGAAGCTGGAGATCGCGGTCCATCAGTGCTGTCGATATCCTTTCTCGGCTCTCTTCGCGGCCGAGAGGCAACTTTAAGGCTCTTCAGACGTGAGGAGTGGGAGACAGGTCGAAGCCGTGGTAGTGGTGGTCTTTCTCTACAGACGTCGTGATCGCAGGCACGATGACCGCAAGCAGCGGGGATGTAATTAGAGAAAGAGCGCGCACCAGGCACAAACTAACATTATTTTAGTACGGATATATGTGCACTTGATGCGTGCTGCGGTCCGCCCTACATTCTACACCAAGAGAGCTTCAGTTCATACTGCGGAGTATGCGGCCTCTTTCACAATCGCCCGGTGGATTGAAGTCTTTCCATTCTTGGCTGCGCAAAGGTAAAAACACCTTTGAACTGCACTGGAGCGATCAATTGAACTTCGAACTTCGCATCTCCACGTCTGCAGCCTGCGACGTCTCCATTCCATCTCCGCCGCGACAATGGCAGAGTCGTCTCTGTCCCTTCGTCTCGCCCGGACGTGGCGATCATTTATCAAACCATCCGTCTGCAATCGGTGCTTGCAAACCCGGAGGACGCTCGCTACACAGACAACTGCTTCACAAGGTCAGCGAGATGCAGATCTTGAAGAGTCTTCGTCTCTGGCAGGCCCTCCCAGCGCCGCATCACGAGCAAACGACTTTGATCCCTTGAGGATCGCGAAATCGCGGAAGCGTCAGCTTGTACCTAGCAGGTAACCCGCATTCTCGACTTTCCAAAACCTTGTCAGTACAATGCCATACTCACACTCGACAGATATCAATTCCGCAGTCCCAAGTATTATCGCGGACCCTTACATCCCCATCAACCACCTCCTCCATCCGATCCAGCCAGTCGGGAATTCGTCCCAGGTCCCTTTTCCTCTCCACGTCTCGAACAGGCGTACCACAATATCATTGCCCCCGACTTCATGACCATGTGTTACCAGCATACACCGCCAGGGTTCAGACCGTCGCAAAAAGGACCTCGTTTACGGCCATGGCTAGGCGATTCTCCGTATTTCCAAAACAGACCGCTTCGTGGACCCCGTGGCGGAGATGTCTTGCGTCTGTTACGGAAGCCGATCACTTTCCGGAACATCCCAATGATCGAGCGTGTCACACTCCATGCATATGTCAAATCCGCCCTCACAAGCGGATCTAGCTTTATCCACGTCGCCGGGATGGCTTTGCAGGCCATTACGAACCAGAGGGTTGTCATACATGAAGCTAGAACAAACGAAGCGTCGTGGGGCTTGATCAAAGGGAAAACAGTCAGCATGACGACAGATTTGAAAGGCGAGGATATGTATCACTTTCTCGGCAAAATGATCAACGTGGTGTTGCCGCGGATCAAAGATTGGAACGGTGTGAGGGCCACCACGGGAGACAACAGTGGAAACCTCACTTTCGGTCTTGACCCTGAAGCGGTCGCCGCATTTCCCGAGATTGAGACCAATTACGATGCGTACCCGGGGAAGATGATTCCGGTCAGTGAGCTATCCATGGACAATCATTGGCATTTGCTAATCTTCTTTCTCAGGGTCTGCACGTTACCATTCATACGACGGCCACCTGTGATAAAGACGCACGACTCCTTCTCCAGCAGATTGGGATTCCGTTCTATGGCAAGGTCGTTGACTGAGGAAGGGTCATCTTCTTCAACTTATCATTGCACATTGTGAATGGATTTCCCAGTTCTTGAGAACACGGTCGGTTCGGTTCGAACCGCCTTAGTTGAGATGGACCCCAGCCAAGAACCATGCCTCAGACATGCACAGCTTAAGCTCGGTAGTCTACCTGCAAATTCAGGCGTGCAGCAGAGCGCGGACGATTTCCAGCCGGATGTATCATGTCTTGTTGGAGCCACTCTCCCAGTTCGGATCTTGTTGGAGCCACTCTCTCAGCTCGGATCTTGTTGGAGCCACTCTCTCAGCTCGGATCTTGTCGTTGAAATTATAATCGTGGCAGGACCGCCCGCAGGCGACATACATGTACAAATAAATCAATAACAAACACTGACTGGCTACACGAAAAACTGGGCGAGTGAAGGAATATGGAATATTTCAGCCTCGTAGATCGGACATACATCGTGCATGTGCATGTGCAATACCAGTATAACAAAAAGCCGGTCTGCCGGTCTGCGAGTCTGCCAGTCTGCCAGTCAGTTCTGATAGCTTTGCTGATTTTCTTTCTCTGACATTTTCCCTGTAACATGATCGGATCAGGGGATTCGTCGACCACCTAATACATAGATTCCCGGGACAAGGCTTAATATATATGTACCATTGACAAGACCATCAGGTCATCAGACATCGCACGTTCCTCAGGACATCGAGGAGACCGTCACACCATCACACGTTTTTCAGAACGTCGACCAGACCATCACACCATCACACCATCACAGGAGTAGGAGTTTCTGAACCACCGTTGATGCGTGTTTCCCTGCAAACTGTTCACGTGGCAGTTTCTCGCCCCTTTCTCCTTGGCACCAGCCTTGCGGGCCTCTCTCGCCATGTCTTCCCCAGACCGAAACGTAGTCACACGTGTCCAGTTGATCAATAATGATTAACAATTTACTTCAAGTTCGCGTTCAAGCCAGCCTCAACCTGTGCCCAGAGGCCGAGGATCTTAGCGTCACCTATGACGGCCGGGGGTTAGTGGCTTCGTCTGAAGTAGGAGCGACAGTAGGTAGCTAAGGTAGACTGCTGGCAGAGGACATTGTCGGGATGGGATAGTAGACAAGAGGCAAGAGGTGATGGGATAGTAAACAAGAGGCAAGAGGTGATGGACTGCACTAGGCTGGAGTCAATGCTTACCGAAAGGTAGGATTTGAGACCCAATGATGCCACCGAGACCCTAGAAGACGGGGAAGTGATTGCACGTTAGCTCCTATTGCCACTGCTTTCGGAGGATATGGAAAAGAAGAGATCAGGGGGAAGGAAAGAATGCCGCGACGGCGCATTCGTAGTGGCTTACCCTCTTCCGGTCTGCCCACCAGAACAGATTCGGCAAGCCTGCCCACCAGCCAGTGCCTTCGCTGTGGACGGCGGAGTCGCGCAGGTGCAGGAAGAATGTCAGGCCCCAGCCCTGCGGAACGTCGTGAGGGTCGGGGTATAGGTCAGAAAGGGGATTGGTGAGAAGCGGCTTGGGGTCATCAATGCCCTAGAGGTTCATTGCCTTGTTAGCATTGCTAGCCGTAGACTTTGCTTTCCCAAAACTCAACATATTGTTACTCACCTGACGTCCGAAGTTCGGGAATTCTGGGATCTAGAACCCACACGCAGATTGTCAGCCTCCAACCCCAGTCTGCAGCCAATGGATCTTCCTAGATCCAACCATGCCAAAAAAAGGACTAGAGAGTGCTCGGTACCTGGTTTGTAAACATCTGGTCGACCGTCTCCTTCTTGAGGATGCGGGCGCCCGTGCCGGGATGAACACCATCATTCAGCAAGACAGAGATGATCTGGGCGTACTGAGGCAGGCGGGCGAAAGCGCCTGCACCGCCTGAATGGAAAGTCGCATCGATCTCCTCCTTGCTGGTGGCGTACAATGGCCGCCGGTTGAGATGGCCGTCGACGTAGAGCGACAGCTTGCCGTCAGGGGCACGGGCGTTCATGTACGCTAGTTGCGCCTTCATCTCGTCCGTGGGGAACATGGTGATGTGCGTAAGGCCGATGGGCTTGAAGATGTGTTGCTGGAAGTAGTCGTTCAGCTTGAGCCCCGTCACGCGCTCCACCAGCTGGCCTGCCCAGTCGATGTTGATTCCATATTCCCACCTTTCGCCGGGCTGATTGACCAACGGCTGTGATAGGAGGTCGTGGTACGAGCCGGAGAATTCGTCGAGTCCCAGCGGGCCAGCCCAGTCGTTGAGCCGGCCGTCGAAGAACGAGTAGCCGAAGCCGGCTGCGGGAAACCATACACGTTGGATCAGTACACCATTGACATGCATGACTCTCCGCTTGGATCTGGGTGGGAGCAATCTCGTCTCGCTCCGTGACGAGAAAGACCGGGCACAGTGGCCAACTCACCTGTGTGTGACAGTAGCATCCTCAAGGTGATTCTTTTTTTCTTGGGCACCAGTTTGCCATTTTCATACACTTGCACTGCTTTCAATTCCTACAACATTCGAGTACCATCCAGTTAGTTATCTACCTATCCAGAAGTTCGACCAAAATAGGACGGGGACCAGGAAAGAACAAGGACTGTTTCTTTCTTGACCTACCGGCGCGAGCTTCTCGACCTGATCCGCGTCATCCAGAGATAATTTGCCTTGTTCGACAAGCTGCATGCATGCCACTCCCGTGATCATCTTGGTGCAGCTGGCGATCCAAAAGACATGGTCGATGGTGATGGCCTCGTCCTGGCCCGCCCCAACCTTGCCAGAAGCATGCGAAAAGACCTGTTCGCCATTTTTGTTCACCGCTACAAACACCACACCCGGAGCACCGTTGGGTTCCGAGGTGAGGGCATCGATCTGGGATTGAAGCTGTGGGACAGCCTCCGGTGCGACCTTTGCCATTTCGTCCTCCGGAGCCGGTAACCCGGAGAAAATATTACTTGGATGTTCAAATAGAAGTAGCTGGCCGTGGAGACTGCTGGTGCCTGTAGAATGATCCCTACACTTTTGCCTTCTGTCAGGGCGGGGGTAGAAGCCGTATTTGAAGCACGTTCTGCCAGCATCCGACGCCCGGGTATTAGCTTGTCGGCATGGTTCTGCAATCGGGGCCTCTGTTGATGCGCGAAGGGCATGGCCGGTTGTGACTGGCTATACTGCTAGCTCCCGTCCATTTGATTGGTACCGGTATGCTCCCTTGTCGGATCCGCCGGTACGCTCAAGGAGAGTGAGGGTCAAAGAGGGGAAGAGTGGAGGGCGCAGAGGAGGACCGAGAAGGAGAATGGAGGAGAGCACCGGCGTCTGCTTTGACAGTAGTAGTACAGGAGTAGTAGTAGTGTCCTGTCCCCGCACCCAGCCTAGCGAGCGTGACCGTCGCATACTGGCCCTTGGCTTCGTCTAGGTGCGGGATGCCGAGGGCAACGTAGCCTGGAGAGATATGTAGAAGGCCGGAGGCTTTTGCAGAGCCTCTGGGCGGGTGATGGGGCCGGAGGCGAGAGTTAACGAGGTTCATGGGTTCATGGCCGTGGGAAGACGAATACGGACGGATGTGAACCGGATGGCAGCCTTGCCCAATGACAAACATTGCTCCTCTCGCCCGATTCGCCCTCTCTTCAGGGCTAAGGGGCTAAGGGGCTCCTCGGACGACCACGAATCGCCTATATGGATTCGCTAGCTGGCATAGATTCACCCAAGTCAGTCATAGGCTCAATCAACCACCTGGACATTGTATGGAGGAAATATATTGACACGTGGTATACAGTAATGTCTGCCTCCAGCCTCGTCGTCTGATATAGCTGTGCAATTCACCGCCAAAAAGGTAGAGGTGTCAAGAGAAAACAGTCTTTGCTACAGGCCGTGATGAAATCTGAAGACTTTATTGTGAATTCAGGTTGATTGCTTCAACACACGCCAAGCAGAAAGAAGCTCAATGTCTTGCTTCACTGCATATGCTTGCTGATGTTGATATCATGGCTCATAAACATAAAGGCTGTCTGACCTCGACCATGGCAGCCCCCTTCCCAATGCTACCGACGCTGCCGAGCAAAACACGCTGCCTCTCACATCACGCTGCATTCTCTGTCCAGCTTCTCGCCCCTGATCCTGCTTCTCGACAGGCGACTTCGACTTTTCTCTCTCTTGTGGCCTCTGGGCGGTTCTACAAGCAGAGTGGTCTGCTCCGGATTGGCCTGTCTATCCGTCATTGTCTCGTCGGTAATTTCTGTGATATGAATTTCGGCTTGGGGGGCATTTTGTCCTAAAACGTCTCGACTTTTGTTGCCGGGTAATTTGGACAATGTTTGGCTCAGGCCATCGCTTGCCTTGGTCTGGGTCGGAGACAAGGACTGGCTCAGGCGCTTCGAGGTGCCTGACGTGTCCGAATTCTCGGGCACATTCAAGGATACTTCACCTGACGATCCTGGATGGAGGTCAGGGAATGAGACCACACTCCTTCTCCGCTCCTCGACAGGTGAACGGCCTCGAGGATCGTCTAGGAAGGAGAGGTCAAGACTAGGCCGAGTGGAATCGGGCCGGTTGTCTGTAAAGGCAGAGACGGTTGAAAGCGCACTAAGCGAGGCATTCCGTTCTGATACCGATGCCATCATCTCCTCGCCTGCCGTAATGTGTCCCGGATCGCCCTCGACCGGAACGATCTGGTAGAAGAGCAGATACGGGGTTTCCTCCCTCAGAGCCCTTTCAATGTTGACCACAGTGATGCGATCCGGAGCAAGGTCATCAAACCTCATCCAAGTTTTCGTAGTGTCTGAACCGGTTGCGTCGGCGGATCCCGGTGGTGGCGTTCCTCGAACGAGGGCAATATAGTGTCCAGCGTCCACCGAGACACCCCGATGGCAGACGACAGACTGTAGCGAGAGTTTGAAATTGCCATACAGCGCGCCAGCCTCTTCCATTTGATCATCTTGGATAAAATGGGGTACTCCAATCTCGACCGGTACGTCCACCTGTGTATCGAGACGAATGGCTTTGCCATTCGGCGTCATTGAGTACCTTTTCAGACAAAGACCCAGGATCGGCCGTTTGGATGAGAAGTGGGCAGCAACCTGGGCATCATTCTTGGGTGCATTATCCGTATACCAGGCTGCAAATGGTCAGTCAAAAGCCGCGTTGGACGTCGAATAACTTACGTATCAGGCTGAAGAATTGCCACGCCGGCATCATCACCTCTTTTCGAAGACTGCCGGCCCGCGGTCTTCCAGCAGGATCTCTTGAATCTACCGAAACCAATGATGAATGGCCAGTGTCGTGGCGAGGAGGGAAGTATCGCTCTTGAATAATGCTAGGGGTTCGAAAGCGGTTAACTGGACGCCCCGGAGCAGGATAGTTGGAGGGCGATGCTATTGGAGTGGCGGGCGACGAATCCGGCTCGACCTCGACTGTTTCAACATGCACAGCGCTCGGCTTGTGCATGGAGCTTATGGTGGATCGCCGTTCCATGTACCTCCGCACCTCTATTCGGTTGTTGAAATAGTCCTCCAAGCATTCTTCGAGCGTAATCACCTTCCTGTCGCCGGTAGGATCGGGAGGGATGGCGACTTCCAGGAGCCTCTCGTTGATGAACTTGTGGTCATCGTTGGTATCTTCTCGGCCGGTATGGTAGATGTCCATCTTCAGGGTGAGCAAGGGGAGGTCAAGCATTCCAGTGATGAAGGTGAAAGCTTCGGAAGCATCCTGCTGGTGGAGTTCTGCAGCTTCCTGCCAACCACATTCTGCCAAAGTATCTTGCAGGACCTTGGTAATGTCCGTAGTGATAAGCGTTCCAGACCTCAGGAGATTCACCCAAAGCCGCAGTATGAATGCCAACTTGTCTCGAGATACTTCATCAAACGAGTTGTACAACATGGCCTCGAAACTCTCGAGGCGAGAAAACATGGCGAAGAGAGTCGCATCCAGAAAGCAAGTGACTCCCTGGCGATTCTGGGCCCCAAGCAGCTTTGTGCGAGGGTCATAGCTGGTAACGATGCCTTCGGAGGCATCAGACATAGCGATCAGCAGTCTGTAGGCAGCCTCGACATCTCCATTTGCAGTTAAGGACCTGAGGGCCCACAGAATTTGCGCATGCCTCAACAGAATGCCTTTGGAATCCAGCAGGCGCTGCCTTAAAGTCTTGATCTGCACCAGCTCAATGAGCAAACAGCAGGCAGCATGCGGGCGGCAAGAATAGTTCTTACCTTTTGCTCCTCGGCCGGGGTGGCGGGGTTGGCGGGAGCATCAAACAAGCCATAGAAGTGAGCAGCCGAGTTCGGATCGACGGGTTGAGTATTCACCTCAGGGCTTGACTATAGACAGAAACGAGTCAGCAAAAGACTGGACAGGGGAAAGATCGAGGAGCGAAGGAAGAGGTGGAAGATATACAGAAGACCAATCACGATCTCTAGTTGGAGTACAAATGGTAAGACAGAAACGCTGCATACTGCAATGCTTGCGGATGCGAAGACAGAAGATCAGGCTTTAACGGCATGTAGACAGGGACTACTCACAGCTGCGAGTGCTTTCCTGCTGAATGGGTTTGAAGGATGATGATGCCGGCTGTCTCGATCTCGGAGGCGCTTTCCATCCCGTTTGGAAAGGAATCGCTGGACTCCGCTCATGGTCACGTTGGTACCGCCGTGGCCGTGCAGTGGTGGTGGTGAAGCGCCTAGAACTGGAGGGACCTCAACACTATATGTCCCAGGTCATCGCCCAGGGCATACTACCGCGGGCAGGCTGAAGGCGTTTGAACAGTCGCGCTGCCCAATTCGGGGCTATCAGGCTGGTGGTTGGGTGTATTGCTCCACGCCATCTAACGCAGGACGCAGGCCGCACTTCTAGCGGTTCACTCCGGGAGACTGCGACCAACTAAATAAGGATCTGGACACAGGACACAGGACACAGTATGGAAACATATGTGTACAGAGTACCTAGGTTTTTCGCCCAGATTGTCAGCTTGGCTCAACAAATCTCATCGCGCGTACGACGAGGGCTAACGAGGCCTGCCCCGCGATGACTGATTGACTGGGGGAGATCCTAGGCGCAGAAATGCCAGCCAAGCCACAGCGCCACGCCTTAGGGCCCTGTGGCGGCCTGCCGTTTGATCATTGGTTGTTTGACGACAACCGCCAAGGCCTGAGCCTGAAGCTCAACTTGGTGCAACCACCGGGCACCTACGAGTACGGGCAACTCGCTCAACTTGATCGGGCGCGCATCCATCCCGATCCCAATTGCGACCTCTCGACGGACAGGCCCTTGAACAGAGGCCGAGTGTCATAGTCGTAGTCCCCGGACGACAGCTCAGCAACTCCTTCTCCTCTCCTCTCCTCTTCCACCATGTCGACCATCACACGAACCCTGCGGAACCTGTGGAGAGTTGGGTTCAAGGAATATGGTCACCAGTTACAGTATATTGTATAGTCCTCCACCTCGCCCTCACCCTCACGCCGTCAGCGTAGCACTCTGACCGATGACAGGGTGACACCAAAGCTGGCGTCCTAATAGGAACCGACCGATTCGGCAACAAATACTACGAAAATCTGCAAGAAGAGCTCCCTCTGCGGACAAGATGGGTGCGGAATACCTAGTACATATTTCTCGATCTTCAGGCTAAGATGAGCAGGTTGATTATAAAGACAAACATTACGAGGCAAGCTCGGTCGAACCGGGCTGGCATGCGTGGATCAGCTACCTTGTCGACAAGCCACCTGTGGAAGACAAAATTTTGGAGATCGGTCTAAGACCCTGGGAGCCCAAGGAGCCGAGGGTCAATTACTCTATGACCAGAGGGGCGTATCGGCCTTATTCTACGTATGTCAGGTCCACGTTCGATTTGTACGACAGCCATGATTGACACACCCGCAGGACGAAGTCGAAATATAGTGCTTGGCTGCCCGTTGCAAAGCCGAGAGACAGCTCTACCCCCTCCGCCAATTGAGACATTCCAGAAGGGGGAGAATTCGAACCAAGGCTATTAAATACAGTGATGCTTCGGCTTCAAATGGCGGAAGATGCATGCATGAGGAGTTCTCAAGGGTTCTGACGAAAAGAACAGAACATAGGTCTTTTCTTTGCATAAAGGGGTATCTCTTGAAGCGCCACATAAACCAGTCAACAAATAACGCAATAACGCCACGTTTTGTGGCTTCTCTCATGTCTTTGTCGTGCGTCCGTATAACCTAGGAGGCCCCAGTTCCGCACGCACTTCGTCGAGCTGTTGGAGTCCGAATTTCTCGTTTCCGTTCTTCCCTCGTTTGCCTTTGGCGCCGCGGCGTTTTCCACCACCAGGATTGGCTTTGTTCCAGTCACCTAGGAATCCATCCATCATACTGTCAAAATCGTCCCGAACAGCACCTTCATCGGCGAAACTGGTGGTTGAAAGCTGTGACATCTTCGAACGGCCCGTCATGCCCGATGCCAATGACATTTCACCATCCATGTCGTCGAATTCGTCGGCCTCGTCCAGAGAATACATCTTCTCCACCTGGTCAAATCGTGCATCCAATAATTGCTGGCCTGAGGTTCGAGCAAGAGATGACGAAGTCATGGAGTATGAGCTGGGATTTGTCAAAGCACCTTTCCGCTTCTTCTGCCTCAGCGGGGTGCCGTTTAACGTGTATAAAGTTGGTGCCTTGTCCTGAATAGCCGATGCGGCAATGATGGATTCCGCGGCTTTCGGCTGGGGTTTCCTGGCGGTGTCCCGCTTGAATTTGGCAAAGTCTCGCAGCCAGTCTCCATCTTCTGCCGCGGCTGCTTCTGCATCACGAGCTGCATTGTCACTATTAGGATATCCTCCTTCAGTAGGATGAACGGCCGTGGGCAGCTTCACTTCAGAAGGTTGTGTGGGCGCTTTTTCCGTCGCATCGGATTCCCACCCATCGTCCTCGTCATCGAAGTAATTCGCCTCAAAGTCCTCTAGGTCGAGTTCCCCGTGGCGGCCGTCCTGTGCGAGGGCACCAAATACGTCTTCTTCGTCATTGTCGTCCACATAAGCATCGTCTTCCAACGCCTCCAGCACCTCCCGGAGTCTCGGGTCCATATCAGGTTGGAATCCTGCAATCTCATCTGGCACATTCTGCTGGCTCTGATATGTCCGGTCTCTCGTTTGAGTGGAGAAGGTAGAGAGCATATCGGTACCAGCCACACTTCGCTCGTCATCGAGAGACACCTCTCGCAACGCATCTTCCAACTTCATTGTCTTCGCTTTACTCTTTCCTTTGCCTTGAACTTTGACGGGCGCGGCTTCGATGAAGTGCGACTCGCCTCCTCCCTCGCCAATATCCCGCAAGTGTTGCATGTAGTCATAATTGGTATCATCAAAGTAGATTCCATACTGGGCAGCCTCGCCCTCATTCTCTCGCATGCTCTCAAAATCGAGGTCATTTTCCAGGTCATTTAAATGAAGTCCTTCTTTGGGATTGCTCTTTTGCGCAGACGAGCCCGGCCCTGACACCTGGTACAGAGCTCTCTCGCCAGCATTTTCATCGTGTAGGGCTGGGTCATCTTGGGGTCGGTAAAGTAGGTGGAAAGTCTGTGCACTGCTCTTGTCTCTGTTGTCCTGTCAGCATGATACGAGCGGATTGAGACTTCAAACATACATCCAGCGTCTTCGTGGCATCGTTCTGGTAAATTCTCGAGTGTCGAGTAACAAGTGTGTGTATGAGAGAATCAGCCAGGCTGCTGTGGATTGGGGGGAATGGAGGGCAGTGCGGAAGTAAATTTCTAAGAAAATTGTCCCGCCGCGCCACAATTTATCAGCCTTACAAATGACGTGCATCTGTACCAGATGCTATTTTCATCCATCTCACCAACTCCGGGTTCTCATACCCGCATCCTCTCACACATTCTATTGACCAGCAGGAATTCCGAGTTTTAACGAATTGTTCTCTAAAATGGTGCTGCCAAAGAGCAAGAACAGCGTGGGGCTGGGCAACAGCCTGATGAACGATCGGTTCGGCAAAGGCAAAGGCGCAGACAGGAAAAAAGTCTCTCAGCAGGGCATCATCCGAAAGGATCATACCACGGGACAGTCGTACGTTACAAATGCCGTGCAGGAGGCGGCATGGGTCAAAATGCGCAGTGTCACAGAGCAAGGCGCTCTCGACGAATTCCTCTCGACCGCCGAACTGGCTGGCACAGATTTCACGGCAGAGAAGATGAGCAATGTCAAGATCATACACACCGACCAGAACAATCCATACCTACTCAGCGCGGCGGAAGAGAGGGGGGCGAGAAGAAAACACGCACAGAACAAAGAGCGGTTAACAGTACCGAGAAGACCCAAATGGGACGAAAGCACCACTCGAGAGCAATTGGACGAACAGGAAAGGGCCAGTTTGCTGACCTGGAGGCGGGGACTTGCCGAACTTCAAGAAAACGATGATCTTCTTATGACCCCATTTGAGCGCAATATCGAAGTCTGGAGACAATTGTGGCGAGTTATTGAAAGATCAGATCTTGTGGTCCAGATCGTCGATGCCCGCAACCCCTTACTATTCCGAAGCGACGACTTGGAGAAATACGTCAAGGAGGTCGACCCGAAAAAGCGCAACCTGCTGCTGGTGAACAAGGCCGACATGCTGACGGAGACGCAGCGGAGCCTGTGGGCGGATTACTTCATTGAGCAAGGCATCAACTACAAGTTCTTTTCTGCTCATCTCGCGAAAGAGATGCTTGAAGGGCGGGATGCCATGGAGGAGCTCGACGCAAGACAACTGCAGCAGCAAATTGACCGAGATGCGCCTCAGAAAACAGTGCTTAAGAACCTGCAGGATCTCAATTTGAAGGACGCAGAGGGGGAGGAATGGTCAGATGAGGAAGATGAAGACGAGCACGAAGGATCTGACCACAGCGAGGACGCATTGTCCGAGCGATCACCGGAACGGACACAGATCCTGACGGTTGACGAGCTGGAGGCTCTGTTCCTGGAGAACATCCTGGAAGACAGTACTACTGATCGGAAGACGACCATCGGGCTGGTTGGGTATCCCAATGTGGGCAAGTCATCAACCATCAATGCTCTGATTGGAGCCAAAAAAGTCAGCGTTTCATCGACGCCGGGGAAAACAAAGCATTTCCAGACCATTCATCTATCGGACAAAGTGATCCTGTGCGATTGTCCCGGGCTGGTCTTTCCGAATTTTGCCACCACCAAAGCCGAGTTGGTGTGCAGTGGTGTCTTGCCCATCGACCAGTTGCGCGAGTTTACCGGCCCGGCGGGGCTGGTGGCACAAAGAATACCACAGGCATTCCTGGAAAACGTCTATGGAATGAAGATAGCCACCAGGCCGATAGAAGAGGGCGGCACCGGTCTCCCCACTGCGTCTGAGGTGCTCAGAGCTTACGCAAAGGCTCGAGGATTTGCAACCACTGGCCACGGCCAGCCAGACGAGTCCAGGGCGGCAAGATATGTGCTGAAGGACTATGTCAACGGCAAGCTCCTCTACTGCCATCCACCGCCTCACGAGCCCGAAATCGACGGGAATGAATTCAACGAGGCTCTCTATGACTTTGCCCATCTCCCGGCCAAACGGCAGGCTTGGTTGATTGCCCACAGCGACGAAGCCGGCGTCGACGTCAATGTCCATGTTGATGTGGAGGCGGAGACGGAGTCCCAACCCTTGGTTTCTAGACGTCCTCGAGAGACTGGAAACCGGTCGAAGCAACTGGACAAGAGGTTCTTCGGACCGGGGACCGGAAATGCAGGCCACCTCACGCTACCGTTCAACCACCAATACACCGAACAAGGACAACAGCAAAAGCAGCTGAGTGGCCGGAAAGAAAGGACCATGGTTGCTTTGGAGAAGGACGTCGACCCCGCGGAATTGCGATTGAACAGCAAGAAGCATTTCAAGGGTCCCCGGAGGAAGGTTCGAAACACCAGGGCTCGTGATGACGATTCAGATTAATGAATGCGTCTGCTCGACGGTTGTCTGAATATTGCAGTAGGATGGGCTCTTGTTCTCGCGAAAAGGGAGATGCTAATGACGAAGACGTGGGTCTTGAAGTTTCTTTCTAGAAGTGTTCGGACAAGAAGGCCGAACCACCTTGACTGGTGAGTGATTGTACCAGCAAGGTACCTACGGTGTGCCCATAGGGCCATTACGAGCAAGCCATGAAATGCAGAATACTGTACCAGCATTCCTGGTACTCTACTGATCCCGCCCAGGTTCTTTCTTTCAAGGGCTCGGGCTGTTTCCATGATCTAAGTCCTTGATACGTTTAGATCCCCTCCGTCACGGTGTATGTGTACGTTTAGACCTCCTCCGTCACAGTGTATGTGTATATGTATGTGTATGTGTACGTTTAGATCTCCCCGTCACAGTGTATGTGTATGTTCAGACCTCCCTCCGTCCCGGTGTATGTGGATGTGTATGTATATGTATAGGTAGTCTATAGTCAGTACCTACCTTAGCCACCCATTGCACAATCCACCCAGCATACATCAATACTCCCACCTCCGTACTCCCTACTCCGTAGTCTTGAACCAACGCCATCGCCATCGCCATCGAGTACGTACAGGTGCCTACCTAGTATATAATATGATTACCTAGGTAGTGATGAAGGTGCCAATACACAAGAGGCTCCACTATATATACCTAGTACATACCTTACATACTATAGGTCGTACTCTACGGACATAGTATTGGCACCTACTAGGCATTCTACACTTTTCTAGCAATTCCCAAGCATGTCCTAAGCATTTCCCAATCCATCAGAGATCAGGATTCAGTACGGATACATGATGATGATGACATGGAACTAATTGTCGTGCATCAAGCGTCACAACCGTTTGATGCATGCTCAATGGCCAGATCTCGACCGTCACAACTTTTCAGAGCCCCTAAAGCCTCCAAAGCATAAGGCTCCCACCCCTGTTTGTGTAGGCCTCACGCTCGGCACCGCACCTAATACCCACCTAAGGTACTAAGTAACTGTATCTCTGTAGAGACCTCCGGGCCCTTAAGGCCACCCGCCGGCAGAGGCTCCTTTCCTTATATTGCCATCTTACTTGTAACGAGTAGCAAAGGCATATTGCTACGCTAAGCCTATCTCGGCAGCCTGGCGGCGGGAGGAATTACATCTCCCTGATGTGGCCTACTCCGTAGAAGACACAACTAAATGACGCTATGGTCTACTAGGTACTAGTGGCCTCGTGCTCGATGGGGGCGCGCGCTCCCGCTCCGCGGGGCTAGCTGGTGGTTAGGGGCTAGGACGAGGGGGTAGGGGAGGCTGCCAGTGCCAGCACAACCATAGATGGATTCCGAGTCGCATAAACTTGACTTGACTACTTTAGGGCCCGTTTGGCACTATCTTGATGAATCGTCATTAACAAACCGCCTTTTGTCAGCGTGTTGACAGGGGTGTAACCTCCGTACTTCCCAGTATTACCAGGTGATACTGGGTAATATTGGGATGCGCTGCCATTTCACCAGGCTATTTTCCCACAAAACCCTGGAGGAGAGTAGAGACGTGATACACTTGAACATTCCATTTTACGACACAGTTACCAATAATTTACAACATGGGAGACATGCAAGACAAGTCATTTTCCCACTAAACCCTGGAGGAGAATAGAGACGTGATACACCTGAACTTTCCAGTCTTTCCGCAGTTGCAATACCTTCTCTTCCTTTTCCCTGGCTGATAGTCAAAAGAGCCTTTGCCGTTCGGGTTTGTGTTCCGCTTCGCACAAGAAAATGGACGAGGAAGCATATCTGGCTAAACCAGCACCCGCCTATCTGGCTCATCGACCATCCCATTCAGACTTGAGCATCACCCATCGTCGAGTAAGCCTCCCCCATCTCCATCTGCTTGGCTTTGAATAACACATGTTCAGATCCCACAAGCCGCTTTGAAAGAGCATACCGCCCTCGAGACCCGGCCCACCACTCCTAGCCAGCCGCTGAAACAATATTGGTCCATTCTCATCGCCGGGGTCATTCTTTTGATCATCCCCCTCTGGGCTCTCAGTAGCCTAGAGACGGAAAGGAGCAAACTAGGCGCTATCTCGTTGTTGATTGTCTGTTTCGTCGCCCTGCTGGCCACAGACCCACCAATTCATCCGGGCCAGATTCTGGCTGCTGCCGCTGCGTAAGCCGTCAAACCATTACCCCCGTCCAGTTGTCCAGTTGTCACTGACGTGACTACCAGATACGCGGCCGTTCTTCTTGTGTTTGTCCAACTGGGTGGGAGTGACTGGTGAAGCTTGTGCGGAGGTTGACGGAGATAACAAGGCTGGATCCTGTTCGTGTCTACAGGTTTGACCAAATCTTGGAAAGGGAAGAGAGTGCATAATCTGGGAGTGGACAGCATTCATCATGACTTGTCATTCTGTAACATGAAGCTAGAGCATAGTTAACATCGCTTGCAGAATACCAGTCTGCTGTGCAACTTGTTTGAGCAAACAGGCATACTGATGTCGACGGACTCTGACTTCTTACTTCCTTTTACTTGGGCTTGCTTCAACCAGAACATCGGCTAGACGGGCTCATCCAGGTAAATTGCAATCGAGGTGGCTGTATTTCGAGCCATCTCTTTGCATGACAATCTGTTCTTGCATGTAGAGCCAACCACTGCAGCATAGTACGTTGCAAGGAACCTTCCCAAAGCCGGAGGCCCTTTCAAGTTTCTGGAAGCTGCCAGGTCAGGCGTTTGGAAGGCGGACTAGCGTCATGGATAATCAGCCTGGGAGTTCTGCTCTCCGGCCGACCGGGTGATGAGCTTAGCAGCACCGAGTCAATCATGTCCGCTCCATGGTCGCCGTTCGTCTCTGAACCCGAGGGGCTTTCTGTCCCTGGTAGAATCGGCGGACTGGTCCCGGGTCGTTTGATCAAGCTTGGGTCGAACTGAGGGTCGCCGAGCCTGGTGCCGACTTCTCCAAACTCACCCTCGTCGGAGGTGTTTCCGAGGCTGACGGGTGTTGGAGGCGAGAAGATGTCAGAGGGGCTAAGTGTATCCGCCGCCGATTCATCCGAGGCTGAGCGCTGATGACCTTTCAAAATTCCGGGGTGTATACGTGCGCTTCTGGTAGACTGAGACCTGCTGACCGCCGGACTGTTAGAGGGCGTGTCCAGGTTGGGAAGGTTCAACCATCGAGAGCTGGGAGATCTCGCCAAAACACTCTGCACCAGCGGCAATTCTAAATAACTATTCAGAGACCCCCGAGAGAAAATGACGAGTCCCAAGCAGATCAGGATCAAAATCATCTGCAGGACAGACATGCGTTTTTGAAAGATGACTTCATCTGCGAGAATCCCAAGCCGAGCATTGATGGCAAGATTCTCCTGCTGGTATCGTTCTCGTTGCAACTCAAGTTCGATCACCGTTGATTGCCAGAGCTGGTCATATTGCTGCCGGAAGTCCCGAAGTTCGTTCAGCACAGTGCCGTTGAGATATTCCAGGAACGAGCTGGTCTTGGCCAGCTGCCTTTGCTCGACTCGGTGGAACGCGTCTCGAAGTGCACGAGATTGCTCTTCTATGTACTGCAGTGAAAGGGACGAGTTGGCTTCAAGCATTTGCAGACGCTTCTGCACAGATTTGAAGAATGACTCTTGCATGGTCGGAGCAGGAGGCACAGATTGCATCGTAGAGGTAGCTATTTTGGTGTTGTTGCTGTTTGCTGTAGATGACGAGTCTCTGGTGACGGTCGAGTTGTCCGAGACATCAGGCTTTGGCCCTGGACTTTGCGAGTCGCTGGAAGATGTGGCCGGATCGGTCACAGAATATTCTGGGGTTGTGACTGCGATGGTGCCAGTGGTGTTGGTAACCGAGGGGCTAGATGCTCCTGCCACCGATTCCACGCTTTGGCTATGTTTGTTGGATACTGGTGGTGACACTTCAGGTTTGATACCCGTGGTATTATCGCCGGGTTTGCACACCCCAAATGCCGCATCATGCAGAGTCAGACCACTGAATATGGCCGAGATGTTCGCTGGAGAAGTCGGCATGGGACTCACAACGGTCAGAGTTGTTTGAGCACGAGCAGTACTTGCAGATCCAGATGGTGTTGGGGGTGGGTCACTTGGAGCTAGGTCGGCCACTTCGACAGTCTGAGCATGGATCTCAGATTCGACCGCCTCTGTATTCTTCAACAGCGGTTCGGCCACTGCCTCGGGTATCAGCTCATCCATAGCAGAGGATTGGTCGCCTTCCTGAGACTCGGTCTCGTCATCTTCCACCTGCAGCGACTGCAAGTCATGTTTATAATCTTCCAGCATGGTTGTTCCATGCACCCGAACCAGGCTCACTGGACAGTAGTATTCATTGCCGTAGTGTGTCAGGAATTCAATACGCAGATACCGTGCCCAGATCACAGGATTCTCGACCAGAAAGGCCTGAACATCGCGAGAATTGCGAGCCTCAAACGTCCCCAAGGTCTTCCACTTGTCGACTTTGACAGGGTATTTATCCGACACACTGACCCGGAAGGTGCGAAAGGTCGAGCTGAAGAACTCGAAATTAGCCAGGACGATGGTGTCTATCGAGATGTCATCACACAATTCCAGGATCAGAAATTTGTTTTGCGCGGAACATTCATTCAGCATGTAGGAATCCTTGTTCTTTCCAAGTACGGCCGACGGGCTTTTTGCTTCAGGATTCGTTTTCAGAACGCTGGCTGCACAGTCGAAAGAAGCATAGTTGAATCGCTCCTTGCACGTTGTCCCGGCGTCCTTGTTTCTTATGCCGGCTCTAGGTGCATGGCCTGGTTTGATGCTGCTGGGGCTGTCTTCGATCTTCTGGCTACCCCGCGGTTGACCTTGAACAACGGATTCCAGACCGTCGGACACAAAGCCAGAAAAGTCCAGGTCGATTTCTGCATCGTCTCCAAGAGCATCAAGTGAATCCTGCACAATACTAGGCCGTTTCCTGGTCTCTCGATCGATGCCATGGCCCCTGCCCACATGTTCCGATTGTCCAGCCTTTTTCAAGTTCTCCCGCTTCCAGTCTTCAAAAGACAAGAACTTTCCATCCTCGAGAGGCGACTCATCATCCGTTGCGTCGGCTGCCGAGGTTGTGGGCGATCGAAGCGAGAGAGAACTCGAGACCGGTTGTGCAGATTCAGTGGTCGCAGTCGCAGTCAAAGTCGCATTCTGTCTCGGAAAAGAGATGGAGTCCAATGGGGTTGATGCTATAGGAGTGGGAGAAATGGCCAGACTGCTAGCAGTACGTTCAATCGCAGCATGAGTAGATGAGGGCAAGTCTGCGGTAGTGAGACTGGTGGCTTCCGAAGCAGTTGATGTGTGGTTGGTCCTGCGGGTGGACGTCAAGCATTGCTGAGGAAGACTGTGAGTGATATAGTTAATTGTACGGAAAGGACAGGTAAGAGGTGTCGGGGATGTCGTTGCTGTAATCGAAGTGGCCGCTACGAGGAGGGCGACCATGTGTAAGACCAGGAGAGCCTGTGCCGCGAACGACGCTCTGAACGCTGGTCTTGCAACCGCCATAATTGAGGCATTAACCCCGTGGGGTTATCTAATACGCTTCATGAAGATGTGCAGTGTCTGCTGTGCTGCATTGCTGCCCACACAGGTTACCAAACCTGGAGATACGGATACATAGTCTGGACTGAAGTCGCAAGATGTCGGCCACTCCCGTCACTGGGTCGCCGGCGCAGTTCCCGAATTCAGACGGCTGTCCTCCGTACGTAGTATGTTAACTCCAAGTTCTGCCATCCGCTCATGCTGCTTTAACAATGGCACTTTAAGCCTAACCCTCCAGCACTGTTTTGTTATACTTGGCCAGCTTAGTGCAGCATGGAATGACATTGACCCAGGGTGATGAAAAGAATGTCCTATGTCCCGAGCTACCTGCCGGCATTCTCTTCGTAGCTCCGAGAGACAGGTCGGGGTATCCGTACATGCACACAGGGCAGTATTTTGCTTGATCCATCTGACGAGGATCTATGAGATTACCACGGAGATTCTCTGCTCGACATACCCGACAAGCTCCAGAACTAGGTACGTACCCTGTTCATTGTGTACAGTGTGCGGAGTACAGAGTCCACTACTACTTACTAACCTGCCGGGATGTGAGCGAATAATGGCGACAATAAGGTCTGGCTATCAATCTTCACCTTCGACTCTTTGCTCCGAACAAATCTAACTCACAAAGCCTCGGCGTTGAGCTGTCCCAACCCCGTGTCGTGTCACATTCGCTGCACATAGGGCACCAGATGCCTCGAGCAACCAGGCTCTCAAGATGGTGGTACGTAAGATGTTGTGTGCGAAGATCGAAATAGCTCACACTCCACAGCCTTCTTCTCCACCCTGATCTCTCGACTCTTGAGCCTTTTCGCAGTGGACGGGGCTGATGGCGTAGCAGGCTCTGGTCGAGGCGCTCCTCAGCGACACTGGTAGAAACAGCCGTGGCTCTGAGTGGCTCTGAGTGGCTCCCCTGGAGTGCCTAGGGAGGCGAAATAGGGGAAGGCATTGTTGTGCTATGGAGCCCAACTGGAGGGTGCTCAAGCCACTTTTGCTCCAGCCTGCGCAAGTGCATTGCTACCATGCGAATCCTGCAAGCCACCGAGGCAGGGGGCAGTCGGCCACAAAGAAAAATAGCGGCTGTCTGACGGCAGCCACCGTCACGTCACATGGCGTGCGTGTCACCTACGCGTGAGTCTTTCTTTGTCTGCTGTTTTCTGTCAGACGCCAGCATATTGTGAAACCTGGTGTCGCCACCAACGCCACGTCAGCCAATGCAGGAACCAACAACCAAGCGAGGCAGGAACCACCGCACTGCACCGGCTGCTGGTTGGCTGCGGCGGCGGGTGGCGCTTTCCTCCCGTGCAAGGTTCTCCCTCCGCACCCGGTTCGCATACATTTCGGACAACAAAATGCCCTTCTCCCAGCTCGCTGCAGTCTTCTCTTGTCTCCTTGTTCATCAATCATTTGGACTTTGCCCGTTCCTTATTCTTCGGTGCACTCCTTCACTCATTCTTGTTCCTTTGGATCTCTTCCATCCCTTCCTTCAGATTCAGACGCTCGCTTGAATACGTTCACTTGGTTCTTGTCACCAGATCTACTACACTACTATATCACCCTCGCTTTGACCTCGCCATAAATCATCCAAAACCATGAAGGCCTCAATTCTCGCCCTCCTCGGGGGCGCCTCCGCTGCTCTCGCTGCCGTCCGCGGGTTCAACTACGCTTCCCAATCTCAGACCTACGATACCTTTTCGAGCCAATTCAAGATCGCCGCCAGCCTGACTGGAGCCAACGACTTCACCAGCGCAAGATTATACACTATGATCCAAGACGGTACAACGTCCACCCCCATTACTGCCATCCAGGCTGCTATTGATACCAAGACCACCCTTCTCCTCGGTCTGTGGGCGTCCGCGGACCAGGCTACGTTCGAAAACGAGATTACCGCCCTGAAGTCCGCCATCCAGCAGTATGGATCTGACTTCGCCGACTTGGTGGTGGGTATCTCGGTTGGTAGCGAGGACCTCTACCGAATCTCTCCCATCGGCATTGCAGCCGGTAGCGGTGCTGGTCAGACTCCTGATGTCCTCGTCAACTATATCGGACTGGTTCGGGACGCAATCAAGGGCACATCGCTCGCAACCAAGCCTGTCGGCCACGTTGACACCTGGAACGTCTTTGTCAACGACACAAATTCCGAGGTCATCTCGAACTGCGACTTTCTGGGTCTAGATGAGTACCCCTACTACCAGACTACCGACGAGAACTCCATCGGCAATTCTGGCGAACTCTTCTTCGAGGCCTATGACAAGGTTGCTGCTGTTGCTGGAGGCAAACCCATTTGGATCACCGAGTCTGGCTGGCCCACCTCTGGTCCCACCTCCAACTTGGCCGTCGCCAGTGTTGACAACGCCGAGGCCTTCTGGCAGGATGTTGCATGTGAGCTCGAGCACCGTGACATTGACTTCTGGTGGTACATCCTTGCCGACGCTGGCGCCTCTCCTTCTTTCGGCGTAAGCGAGAATGGCAAGCCGCTCTACAATCTTGCCTGCAATTCCACATCTGGTTTCCACACTAGCTCCACCTCCTCCTCAACAGCCTCCGCCACCGGAAACTCCAGTTCCACAGCCACTGCCAGTGGCTCGCACACTTCACACGCGTCAACGAACGGCGCGGGAACAACCACCGAGAGCGGTTCGGAAACCGCCTCTGCGACAGGTTCCGCAAGCACTAGCACCGTTGTCGAGACTGCCTCTGCAGGTGGCTCCGGCTCCGGCTCCGGCTCCAGCGGTTCCTCTGGCACATCGGGCGGCACGCCAGCGCAGGCCACTGTCACGGCCTCTGCAACCTCTACCGGAGCAAATTCTGCCTACACCGGCGCGGCGTCTAAGATCGAGGGCTCGATTGCAGGCCTTGTGATTGTTGCTGGTGTGGCTGCGTTTGCTCTGTAGACCTTCTGAGGCGACATGCTAGCTGTTGATGGACACCTCCCGGCCCCCAACATCTGATATACACGCAGAAAGAAGCACGCTATGCCGAGGGCAACAATTTCTTTGCAGGCTGTCTCAGCCTGTCAGATGATATATGGTTCTGGCTCCTAGCCTTGCAGAAAAGGGCTACTGTAAATACTCATTGGAGGCATCGTAAATAAAATTGGATAGGTATCATAAGGCATCGGCGTTTTGAAATTATGGTGATACTATAGATACATCACACCGAATGATATACATGGTAACAAAACTTTAAAATAGGTGATAGCGACAGAGAGAATGGTTGGTATGTCTTCTGAACAGAGATCATCACAACCATGGCTGTACCACAGTATGTTATGCAAATCTTGTTTAATTCCCAGTCTCGTAATAAATCCCAGGCACCTACCAGGAAGGTGCCAGGTATTGTTAGCTGTGGGCATGAGTGTTAAAGCGGCATTGAAATGCCTCCGGGAACCAAGTGACCTGGGGTGCTCTACCTCCGCATACTATGGCTAATTAATCCGTAGTGTTGTTAGAACATTTCATCCATCCGCTTGTAAAGGTTCCTAGCCAGCAGTATGGGGAGGAGGGAGCTGCATGCGAGGTAATCTGCACGCATAGCCTGGCGTGGACATGTTGGCGAGGAGCATTGGAGTGCGAGTTCTTCGAAACTGCGCCCGAGGCCGCAGAATTTCACCTCCGCCAGCAGCTCGGACGGTGACAAGACGATTTTCCTCATCCTCCACGACCGCCGCTCATCATGGTCCTCCTCCGACGGCTCACCCTCTTGCAGGTGTCACCTCGCAACTTGACCACGTCGCACCTCGGTTCGAGATCGATCCAGACCAGATTGAGATCCTCGAATCTCCCACCGCATTCTATGAAACCCTGAAGGTACCTGATACTCCCCCGTAGGGAGACTGGCAAAAGAGAAAGCGACCCAGCTAAGGCATTCTGTAGGCTAAAATCAGAGGAGCGAAACGGAGAATATACCTCTCGACTCTATACATCGGCAAAACCGAACATGAGTTGATCAGTACTCTACGGGAGGCGCTGGAGGACAGTCCGAACCTCGAGCTTTCGATCCTGACAGATGCGTTGAGAGGGACCCGGGAAGACCCTGAGCCGTCATGCGCGACTCTATTGGCACCTTTGATCTCGCAATTCGGCGACCGCGTGAGGATCTCTATGTTCCACACGCCGAACTTGAACGGGTGGAAAAAGAGATACATGCCCAAACGTATCAACGAGGGTTGGGGTTTGCAGCACATGAAGCTCTACGGGTTTGATGATGAGATCATCTTGTCCGGGTATGCCACAACCTGCTTGCTTTATGGCCTTCATTATACGAGTCTTCTAACCCCCACACAGTGCCAACCTGTCGAACGACTACTTTACGGATCGGCAAGATCGTTATCACGTCTTCACGTCCAAAGAGCTCACCGAATTCTATGCGGCGGTCCACGAAGCGGTTTGCGACCTGTCGTATTCCCTTATACCGTCAGACGAGCATCCGGGGGGGTTCGAGTTGATTAGTCCGCATGAACGCGGCTTTCCAGATCCGTTATGGCATACGAAACGATTCAAGGCGTACGCGAAGCAGACCCTCGAACCACTGATTCACAAGAAAGCGCGCCAGAAGATGTTCCCGGTGCCGTTTACTCGGGACAAAACGTTTGTGTATCCACTGGCTCAGTTCGATATACTACTCGGCGAGCCCAAGAACATCTCATTTCTCGATTATGAATTTGCGACCTATACCTCGACCGAGAAGCCCGCGATTACGCGCCTGCTGACGAATCTGTCTGAAGACGAACGACTGCACCAATCGACATGGACGTTTACTGCAGGATATTTCAACATCGACCCCGACATTTGCAAGCTTTTGGTCGCTGCCGCTCCGGAGGCTGCGGCGGGAGTCTTGGGCCCCGGGACCAAAGCATTTGAGAAAGCGTGCACAGTCATCACAGCGTCGCCCTGGGCAAACGGGTTTTACGGCAGCAAAGGCGTGAGCGGCATGTTACCTGCGGCGTACACGCTCCTCTCACGGAGGTTCCTCCGCACCGTCGCCAGCGCGGGCAAAGAAGACGTGATCCAGCTGAAAGAATGGCGCAAAGGCACGGTCGGCGAGCCTGGCGGCATGACCTACCACGCCAAGGGGCTTTGGGTGACGCTTCCACCTCAGCCGAGTGCTGGGATTGACTCCACACCAGTGGATGAAGCAGGACCCAGCATCACCGTCGTAGGTAGTAGCAACTATACGAAGCGGAGCTATAGTCTCGATCTGGAGATCGGGGCCATGATCGTCACGGGCAACGAAGGCCTGAAGGCGCGACTGAAGCAAGAAACAGAGAATCTACAGGCCAATTCCGCGGTCGTGACGCAAGATGACCTGGCCAAAGTCGATCGCCGCGTCGGTCTGAAGGTTCGGCTTGCGCTCTGGCTTGTTGAGGCTTTGGGCGGTGCTCTTTGATCTGGGCTACGACATCGAAACGGTGTTTGTAGACGACCAATCAGGCACCTCGGGCACCAGCACGTTTTCAAGAGCTCACGTCTTTCCCCGCTGCTTGCCTTTCAACCAAGCAAATAGACACGATGACATTCGGCGCTCGATGTGAAGATTGAGAACTAAGCCTCCGCAGATACCTGTCGACCTAACAACTCGAGTCCTTCTCAATCGTCTTCATCGACATCTTCTCGCCGGGGCATTCCCTCAGGTCTCGAAGCATGGCACGGAGCGTTGTTTGACTCATCCTGGACGACAAGGCGATCCACCAGCATAAGGCTAAGACATGACCATAAGAGAAAGCAGCATAAGACTAAGACATGACCTTAAGTAAAGACAGCGACGACAGGGCCATTGCGCATTCGTCCTCCTAGATGAGAAGCAGTCGTGCCTCGAGCAATGCCGAACCAAACCAGAGGAGGGTAGAATCGAATCGAATTGGCCGTCTGAACATGCTGCACAGTCCGATTTGATCCGATCCGATCTTGATGAAGGAACTGTATTTGTACATCAGATTGAACAGCGCTGTCTTGACAACCACCTCTCCAGGTCCAGGTCCAGGCTGTCAATGTCAAACCTTAGGCATTCCCAGCCTTGTGTTGTGCTTTACCCAGAAGGCTGGTCTAGGCGTGCTATCTATACTGTATAGGTATATAGCATGCGCTCCCTCTACGACCCTTTGATAGAGAAGATGGAACGTTGCCATCCTTCAAACCTTTGATAGAGAAGATGGAACGTTTTAGCATACGCTCCCCCTGCAACCCTTGGATAGGGAAGAATGGAACGTTTTTGCATGCGCTCCCCCTCCCTCTGCGACCTTTGATAGAGAAGATGGAAAATTTTCATCCTTCAACCCTTTGACCTGTGACAGGCCTATGAGGCAAGATGCTGATTGATAATCACGACGAGACCTGAGCGAGCGGGAGAGAGAGAGAGAGAGAGAGAGAGAGAGAGCAAGACCAAGAGCCCGACGGAGCGTGACGAAGAGAGCAAAGCTTATCTGGTAAAGGGGACACGAGCCTGACCGAGCCTGAGATGGGAATATTCACAGTATCGGCGATGGGGAGGGGCGACAGTCGTCCATAGGAGGTCGAATCCCTTTCTGGTCTGACCAGAGCGAAAGAACTGTGTCGACCAGAGCGGAGGACCAGCCAAACTTAGTCTCACCGCCTTCCCATTGGATTTCCATTTTTTCTCGACACGCCTCACCTGACATTCGAGATATTCCCGTTGAGACCCCATTCCATTGGCAATGTCGGCAGCGTTGATCGGGGGTGTCCACTCTCCAGACCACTGTTATAATGGATGTAGCGAGATAATTGCAATAAAGCATCGAATGCGACATGGCAAGGTGGACAGTGGCACAGATGCATTGCTTGAGGGTTGGCGATCAAATTTTGCTAGTGCCCATTTCAAGAATTAGTCTCTCCGGATGCCCAAGCCAGGGTGCTCGCATAGATCACTACTCTGTAGTATGCTTCACGCAAGAGTGAGAAGCCAAGCGACGTCGGTGAAATATCTTCGAAAGGACATGCGCGGGGAGAGCCCGCCGAGTCCGCAAGGTTGCAATGGAATGGAAATGGAAGATGCGATCTCCAACCCTCAGAAAGTCGGTATATACACCGCCATCCGAGGGGAGAAAATTTTCAAGCTGGTGGAGGGTGGGAATGAGGGCTGGATGGATTCGCTTGTACAGAGTGCATCGAGATCTGTCCACCGTAACGAGATGCGCGAAAACGCAGCACACGCGAGACTTTTCGGGGAAATAAGTCTTACCATCTTTTGCCAACTCACATCCACGTACAAATAATGCCTCCGCTTCATTGCCAATCTATCAACTGGTGCAAGCTGGTTTGCAGTAGCCGGGGAAGTCGACTGGCTCCAACTATATCCTGGAGGATTCGTACTTCATCGGCGGTCAGAGTAACGATCTCGATGGTGGAATTGCGCACACCGTGTGCACAGGGTTCGCAATGTGAGAGAAAATTATCCGGTGATAATTGAGCTTCATGGCAATGATTGAGGTTGTATCCGTACAACCTTGGCAGACAATGCGCCGCCGAGGGAAGTTCAGCCAGGTGAGAAGAGAACAGCAGCGTCCAAAAACAAAATCTGGCTCAAAGTGCACCCACGATCGACATTTGGTGGAGCCGACGGGGACATGCTAAAGGAGCCACAGCACCAGTTAGTTCGTAAGATTCGAGCGAGCAACGGCCCGTCTCGCCGGCGGACGCGTGCTTTGTCCTATAGTCCTAGTAGGTGCTAAGTAGTAAGTAGACTGTAGGAGGGATCCAGCCCGCCAACAGCTCTGTCAAGAACGGAACAGAAGAAGATGCGCATTTGTGAGCTGCGTTGTACGGAGTACGGATCCAAGAGTGGGTTAGCCGCGTCGGAGCGAAAGGCTGCACCGCCGTGGTCGAAGTCAAGGAGGCCACGTTTGTGGCGCGTCTCGAGGAGAGAGGATGCTATGGCGCTTATGCAGAGCCTGCATATTAGTAGCATTGTCGCGATTCGAAAATGTCCGCCGGGTCGCTGGCTGCATTAGAGCGCCTCAAGTCCAGAGGGATGGCGCCGTTGAGGAAAGCTCCCAAGATTGAAACTCCTTTTACACTGTACACCGACACTTGGGCAAACATGTGTCAAGTTCGACGGCATTGGTGGCCCGGTGGGTGCTATGACATTGGCTCCATTACCAAGGCGTTCCATTGCAACATCGAGCCTTTTGTAACAAGTAGACCATTAGAACGAAATAGGGCATCGAGTACTTTGTGAAGAGTCCTCCATAGACAGCACGGATACTCCATAGTATGTTGGCTTTCCAGGCAAATTGTCTCCGGCTGAAACAGCACCCACTTGTCTTGCATGGCCCTTAAAACCGCCAGTGTCAGTGTCTTTGGCCTTGGAAATTACCGAGATGATCTGTTGCGGCTTCGCCTGCCAGTCAGCTTCTCCCTTTCACTTGGTTAGCCCGATCAAAGATAACAATCATCTCAACATCTTATCAAACCCCGACAAGGAAAATTGATTGCTGATCAACCACGGTATCGACAGGCGCCGGCTGCTTCTAGTCCTGACCACAGGCCTGCTTTGGTTACAAGTCTTCTACTCGTATTGGCAGACTTGGAGGCCGTCGAAACCCCTGGAACCTGATGGAAAGTTGAGACTGCAAAATGATCGTCCCGAATGCAGACCCTGATTCTGAGACACTGAGCTGGTCACATGACATATTTGTTGATCATCTCGGATTCATCCAAGAGCTTGCTTGGATTGCTATCGCAGCCCACGCTGGCCTGAGTGGAACAATATGGTGTTCTCTCTTCACACCGAGGCCACGATCAATCAAATCACGAACTGTTCCTCGTTTTATCCTTAGATTTACTGTCATCGCCCGCCAACGAGCTTGATAGTCTCGTCCTGTGTTGTGTACGGATACTCCGTACTCTGTACAAAGATGGCACGAGCCAAGTTTTGCGGGGTATGACCAGGGGCCGCGTGTTGGGAGGACGGATACTGTATGGGACCTGGGTACGTAGGCAATCCCAAACTTGCTCGAAGGGTCGACCGACTACACTCAGCCCGAGAAGCGCCACGGTCATCCGCAAATCACGACCTTTCCGCGTGAAGCCCAATCGGTCTTGTCGGCTGGTAGATCATAGTGCCGTAGGCCTCAGGACAACTTGAACCGAATTTGGCCGCTTGGAAGCAACCTGAATGAACACCTCATGCGAGAGAAGTGCGGCTGATTGGCTGCTGGATCAGGTTTCAGAGATTAGGGACTGGCCCCCTTAGGTATGGCCGATCATTGTGCACTGTACTCGTAGAGATACACCCCTGCTCCTCCAGGTTCGCCATCAGCCCTGAGGGCTGCGCTGTTTGCGGGTCGGTCGGAGGCAGCGTCACTCATGATTGCTGTGGCGTGACTATTGGCTCAGGGACACGGAGAGGACAAAGCGCAGAGCCGAAAGCGGAACATGAGATGACTATCGAGGTGGTGGATGTCCGTCACTCGCGAAGGGACTGTGAGCGTACGCCGTATTGTGGTCGGGACATGGGTCGAACCTGAGACGTTGGATCTTGGGCCGATCTGAATACCCGCTCAAGGCCAGGTCTGATGCGTCGACAATGAAGCCTTGTGTGTTACACCAAACCCACGACAAACCCACGATGGCGCCACGCCTCCAGCGTTGGCCGCCGGCAGCGTAGAAGTGAGCACGCAAGCTGCGAGCAGCAAGCAGCAGGCCGCAGGCCGCAGGCAGTTCCAAGTTCCAACTGGTGCACCAGGCGGTCACGCGCTAGGAGGAAATTGGCCAGAAGACGCCAATCCCAATGGAGCCTACGCCATGTAGCTTATGCAGCGCAGTGCCTGACTCGGGGCTATCCTGGCACCTACCTGGCTATTCTCATACTACAGCAGTAGGCGCAGGCACCTGACACCACCAGCACCACCAGCACCCAGCAGCTCCATCGTCTCTGCTCTCAGTGGCTGTTGTGCTGGCCGCCGATTCCATGGCCTTCCAATGCTCCCGTACTATTTGCTGACCCGTGACACAACCTTCGGCCCTCCTGCCCTCCTACGCTCGGTCCTCGGACCTCCAGGCTTGCCACTAAACTGCAGCCCTCGCTCCCCATCCCGGTCCAGGCGCTGCTCGTTGTCTGGCGGCGTGCACGCATGGGCCTACCGACTCCCCCCCAAGAGTCGCTCATTCATTGCTATCAATCCACTTCTGCCAGGGGCCTATGAGGCTACCGCTACTAAGCTCGCAACGGCACCCACGGAGACCCATCGCAGCGACAACAGGTGGCAGACCGACACCGCCTCGCTGGCTGGCCCGTTGTCTTCGACTCACCACTCCCAGACCACCTCTTCTATGTTTACCTCACTCTCCCTCCCTCTTATCACCCCGACTCTCACCGCACCCTAGATCCCTCCTGCAATGTGAAAAAGACAAGATTCCTCACAAGGGTGAAGTTCTTCCTCCTACCTCAAATCACACCTGGCTGTGTCTCTCCTTCTGAAGTCTCTACGTCTCGACGACCGTTCTTTCCCTACATTCCTCAGCTGTCACCTGGCGACACCTCACCCCACTGCTGTCTCCTCCCCACCTCCCGTCGTCCCTATACAACCACACGACTCGGACCAAAGATCACAGTTGTACCTATAACCCTCCTATACCTTTGAGCTGTGTTCGGGTTGTCGGTGTTCTCAAGGCTATTTGGACTGTCTACCTCTCTCGAGTCCTGCTGTCCGCCTGTCAAATCTCGGCCTGCCTGGTGAATCATTGTGGTGCCCTTGGGGAGAGCACCCCAAGCCGCCACCACAATAACAACTTGCAACAAAGGAGCTCCGCAGTCCTTTGGGACAAAGGAGCATCGACGGTTCAATCGTCCAAGTCGACTTGCAGCTGACCTTGGTCATTCACGACAGCCTTGGTGGCAACTCCTGTGGCCGGCCGCCTGCTGATATTACCGTCTCCTCTTGACACACCTACATTCTTCTGGCATCAGCTCCACCTATTCGACGAGTCTCCTTACCTCTAATAATCTCTTCGACACTTCCTCTATCCTCACCTCCTTCTCTCACTATCCTTTGGCTTTGCCGGAACAAGTCCAAACAGTGACCATGACTCAATAACTCGACGCTCTTTACTTGTTCGACTGCACAACGGGCCCCTCCAGGCTCTGCGTCATCGACCAGCTCTCCTTTGTTTTACGTTAACGACCTATTACCTCTCTATGAGCCTCTGATCACACACGACGACTAGGAGTTTCACGGGTGTGTCCCGACTAGGTGCTCTTGCACATGATACGGGTGGTTGAAGATTTGAACTTATACGGTGGATCTATGCTTGGTGTCTCGGTTTCAGCATTCGACGTTGTCTTCTCCCATTGAGCACAGCTGCTCACTCACGCTTCTCGCAAATCCTTTCCTGTCTATACGCCTGTACAAAGCTCACCAGGTCTATATCTCTCGTCTCTATCCGGAACAAAAAAAAAGCATCTTGGTTGCAACACCCCCCAAAAAAGAAATAGACCGCTTTCAGCCGTCAACTACGTCTGCCTCTATCATACACCAACACACTCCATAGGCCGATCATGGAGTGCATGAAAGCTGGGTTCCGCAAGGATGAACTGCTCGATGGCCGGTTCAGAACCATCGCACCCCTCAACCACGGGTCGTTCGGAATGGTTTTTCTGGCTGAGGACACTCGGACTGGAGAAGAGGTGGCCGTCAAGTGCTTGACCAAGCCCTCTGTTGCAGCTCACACCAGCTCCGCTTACAGCGCAGACGAAGGAGCCGAAGAACTTGCCTGCCACGCTATCTTGAAGCACCATGATCATCTGGTTAACCTCATCCATCACTTCGAGACCGAGGCTCATACCTATCTGGTTTTGGAATACTGCTCTCAGGGCGATCTTTACGAAGCCATTCGTCTAGGTCATGGACCACTCCAGACCGAGCATGTCCGACGCTTTATGCTACAGCTGATTAGCGCCGTCCACCACATGCATGCCCATGGCCTGTTCCACCGAGACATCAAACCTGAGAACATTTTCCTTACCCATGATGGATCCTTGAAGCTTGGTGATTTTGGCTTGGCCACTAGAAGCCTCTGGTCGTACGAGCCTTGCGTTGGAAGCGACCGATACATGGCCCCGGAGCAATACGACCCTGCTGGAAATGGCTACTCACCGGCAAAGGCGGACATTTGGTCAATCGGGATCTGCTTGCTCAACGTCTTGTTCGCCCGGAACCCCTTTGTTACCCCAACGGAGTCGGACGTTCTCTTCGCTGATTACCGGCGAGACCGTCAGTCCTTGTTCGACATCTTCCCCGGCATGTCTCAGGACACGTTCGAGATCCTGTCCATTGCTCTGGCCCTCGACCCTGCCAAACGTGACATTGGGGCGCTGAAGCAAGCTGTTCTTCGGGCTGTCGCTTTCACTACAGATGATGAGTCGTTTGACGAGTTCTGTGCCGAGGAACGTGACGTGGTCCGGGCCAGCGCGAACCGTGAGCCCCTACGGACTCCTTCAATCCAGAGTCCTCACATGGATGGCGAGTCCTTCCCTTGGGCCAAAGCCTTGCACTCGAGTCCTCAGCGCAAGCTGCAACAACTGGCGTCCATTCCCGACCTGTATGACGAGGATCTCTTCGATTCCGAGAAGAGCATGAAGCTCGGCGAGTCTTGGTACTCTGGTCACAACAACACACCTTCCCTGTCATCGGTCTTCGACTCGGCCTACGGTTCCTACAAGTCCATGGCGATCAAGCGTCCGGCCCTCCGCAACCCACCTCAGGCAGACCCTGTGCCGATTCCTCATTCTCTTCCTTCTCGTCCGTCGCGGCCCATCCCCACCATGTCATCCGTCTTTGGAAAGAAGACCGATGCCGTGGCCAAGAGCTGGAGCGACATGTTTGAGGAGGATGAAGAGGAAGCCGAGTCGGAGCGTGAAGCCGCCTTGGCATTGCGTCGTGACCAGAATTCCCGCAGCTTCAGTCAGGACAGCAACAAACGTCTCCCTGTTCCTCCTGGTGTTCTGACCGAGTCCAAGAGCCGATCGTCCAGCAATACTCGTCGCAGCCGTACCCCCAGGCCTGTGTCACCTACCAAGCCCAGTCATGGTTCGAACGAGAATGATCCCTTTGGATGGCGCCTTCGGACCCCTCGACATTCACCAAAGCAGATGCCGGTGGACAAATGGGCGGCATTGGGCAATCGACGACGCAATCAGCAGCCGGAGACTGAGGGCCAATTGTTCAGTACCAAGAAACGCTCTTTCACCACTGGATCGCGCAAGAGACCGACGGTTGTGTCTGGATTTGACCAGCATGCTTGGCAACGACGGGATAGCCGAAACAAAGCTCGTCCGGCCTATCTCCAGCATGACTGGCGTCAAGGCAGGATGATTGACTCGTCGACAGATGAGGATGATCATGAGTGGGTTGGAGGTTGGCATAACTTCCATTTGTAATTCTTTGGAGCATCACATGCTTTTTGTCCGCTTTTCTGAACTTGTGTGTGGACCGGGTGATTTTTGATTGCAGGGGATTTCTAACTGGGCTTTTTGTTGGTGGCGGCGGGCCACGTATACACATACTCGAATCACCCTCGCTTTTTGTCTGGATTGGGACCTTGACACTGATGACTTTGCAAATCCACATGGGTTTGTTTCTCGACGAGGTGTCGTGGAGTGTACCAACAGTACTGAACAATATCTGGACAATCAATGGCTTTGGAGTCAACAGGCGGGACGGGTGAGGGAGTGTTTTTCAAGTGACGGAGGATTTTACATACAGCATGGTTCGACGAGGACAAGGTTAGTTAGGTAGGGGCCGGTTCACCAAAAGGCGGGTTTGGAGAAGCAAAAACCATGGACAAGAAGCGGACGGATACTTCAGAATTGCATCAATTCTCCTGACGGGGGTATTGTATCATGTAGTGAACTCTCGTAAAATGGAGAATTACAACCCTCTCAATAAATTTGGCTGTATTTGGTGTCTGGTGTTTAGTAGTTATACTCTGCTTACTGGTAAAGAGGAGACTACTGTCACGGTTCCCCCAAACTGTTACACCACGACAGCTGCAAAAAGGACGAAGTAATTCACTCGTGAATTAACCACTTGGTAAAGAGGAGACTACGGACTCGGAGTATCATTTTAATATCGGACCATAGTATCGTATGAGATATAGGTAGGCAGATAGGGAGGTATATAGGTATATAGGTATATATATATATATGTGTGTGTGTGTGTGTGTGTGTGTGTGTGTGTGTGTGTGTGTGTGTGTGTGTGTGTGCGCGCGTGTACCACTACAGGAAGAAAATGCCTGTTATTATTGTCAATGTTATGTTATTGTGACCATCCATCTGTATAGCTCTCACATCTCGTCTGAGGACGGATAAAATATAATATATGAAACATTATTTTCTTGTTTATCCCCGATGCCTAACCTAACCTAACGAACTACCTGATCGACCTGGCCTGGGTGGAACACGACCAGTTGCTTACTTACTTGCTTGCTTGTGTCGTACACGGTTGACCTAAACTGTTACACCATACCATACCACAATAGTCGCCAAAAAGGACAAAGTTCTCGTAACTAATTCACTCGTGAATTAGCCACTTGGTGTATATATATAACCGTTATAGTTTACTTGCTCAGTTGGTCAGTTGCCTACTTGCTTGCTCGCTTACTTGCCTGGTCAGTTGCTCACTTACTCGCTCGCTCGGCCCAGGCAGTCTATTCCCACGGTATCCGTTCTAGACCACCAAGAGAGAGGTACATACATATCCGTATATATCCATCCATCCGTACAGTATTATACATGTCAATGCGACATGAGATGGAGATGGAGCAGCAAAGAGACAAAGAGACAGAGACCAGCCCTAATTACAAAGGGCTTGATTTCTTGAATTCTTGATTTCCATTCGTGCATGCCATGTCATGCTGTGCTGTGCTGTGCCATGCTGTGCTGTGCTTGCTACTATGATGAGAGACGATAGTGGTATAGTGTAACTGTCAAGATTTGGATCTGCCTGAATCTAATCCCGCACTGCGACGAGGACAATGCGAATGCGAATGAGAAAGCGAATGAGAAAGCGAATGAGAAAGCGAATGAGAATGAGAATTCGTTTCAAGCTCTCTACTAAGAGTGTGCGAATGAGAATGACAATTCGTTCAAGCTCTGAGTGTGCAAATCAGAATTAGAATTAGTTTCAGCTCTGAGTGTGCAAATCACAATCAGTCGCTGTCACTCAAGACCAGTGCGTCGTCCATACTGGCTCCCGGTCCGTTACTGGCTGCCCGACTCAACACATGCGCTGGGTTCGTCGACGACTCCGGAGTGGCCGAGGCTGAGTCCGAGTCCGAGTCGCCATAGCCGGCATCGTCATCCTCCACCAGCTCATCCTCTTCTTCTTCCTCGGACTCGTATTCTTCTTGTTCATCCTCATCCTCATCCTCATCCTCATATTCCTCCATCAGTTCCTCCTCGACGTCTAGTCCCTCTTCTTCCCCTTCTTCCCCTTCTTCCCCTTCTTGGTCGTCATTGTCATGTGCCCCAATATCGACTTCATCTGCATCCACACTATGCTGAGTATGGTAATGGTATGGCTGTCGGTATCGATCAACATCCTCCCCATCATCCTCGACTTCATCACCGCCTCTCACTGCCTGGCTGTGCTGAGCTTCGTCTTCCACGGAGTCCTCAACTCCGCCTTCTTCTTCGTCCCCATTGTCACGCGAACCAGACTGGAGAAGCTCGTAAGGATTCTGTGTATGCTTGTAGGCAGCCTTCGCAGTCCCATATATACCGTTGTCTCTCCAAGCCGACCCCTCCGAATCTGACCGAGGACGTTTCGCGGCATGGTGCATGCCGACGCTGATGTTGTTGTGGCTTTGCTGTTCAATATGATCATCGTCGTCATGAGATCGTTTTCTTTCGGGGCTGTGGGCCAGCCCAGATATTTGCCCGCTGCTTACACTGTACCCCATCGCACTCCTCTTTGACATGGCAACGGGGATATAATCCGAACCCGACCTCAATGGCTTCGTGGCTAGACCATGCGCTCCGGTCATGCGAATTCGTCTTTCTGTTCGCGACAAACTGGTTCCGGGGTTGGCCTGCGAAGGTTGATAGTCGTACCCATTGCTTCTAGCCAGACCAACACCGCTTGTTGAAGGAGTAGTCCCGACACTGGCTTCCAAGGGTTGACTCTCGCGACTGGTTCGGAATTCTTCGTCCTGCTTAATTTCCTTCTCGAGAGTGACCGTCTGCTCTTTGAACCATCGCGCTTGTTCGGCCATTGCTTCTCGCGCTTCTCTAATCTGGCGGAGAAAGTCATCTTCGACGGGAGGAAGGCTGTTCGTCTTTGGAGTCGTTTCTTTGGATTTCGGAGGGGATTCCACAGAAATGCTGCTGGCCGCATGAGGCGATGCCGCCGTAGAAGAGCTCCGGACTGACCCGGCTGGGCCCGCCCGCCGGCTTGATTTGGCAAGGATGGCTTTCCTCTCTTCTTCTTGACGTCGCTTTCGAAGGGCGAGAGTCTGTTCGGTGTCCGGGATAATGGAGATGTCAGGGTCAATGCCCATGGCCTTGAGTCTGAAGTAATCGGTGCTGGTCGTATCGACCTTTTGACCGGATATTGACGGCCGCAAGTCTTGGTTGCTGACTGAGCGCCCAAGTGTCGATCTGGCCGAGAAGACCGAAACGTGATGTGCTGGTTTGAAGGTGGATGCTCGGAAGCTGGGGACCGGGGGCACCGAACTTCTGGTCGAAATACTGGGCTCGGAGAAAGTGCCCATCGTCCTAGATCTCTTGTGCCCTGGATTTGAAGGCGTCCCCGTGCTCGCCCCCATTTGTGAGACGGCAGGGCCGGACGGATTTTGCCCAGAGAAGCTTTTTCGCTTTTGGCCAGCAACTTTGCCCGGTGTGCTGTCGACTTGAATCATGTGTCTGGACTTCCGAGCTTCGGTGGCTTGTTCCACTTCTTTCTGCAGACGTTTGGTCTCCTGAGTGGCACGGATGATCTCCTCCAATTCCTCCTCACTTCTCTTCTTCCGTTCTTGCTCGGCTCTCATTGTCTGCGCAAACTGGTGGCGTCGATTCTTCGCCCGTCGATTAAGTTTGTTCTTCCAGGCTCGTGTTCGCCAGATATACCCGAATTTCCGTGCCAGGACCCGCGAGCGGATAGAAACTATACAGAGTTGTGAGCGGAGACGACCACGAGCGCAATGACACAGTACTTACCAACAGCGGCGTCGTGGACCTCGATCCGATGCTGATTTAGCGCTGTCCGAATGAGATCCGGAAGAGTGTATTCAATATAATGCTGCATCAACCCGTTCTTACGCAGCAATGCTACTTTGGCAACATTGGCGACAAGTTGATCCCGATCCACCTCAGCAAAGACCGGCTCTGTTGAAGGGGTGATGGGAACCTGTGGCGGACCTGCCCCCCCTGGAGATGCTTTTGCAGATGTAGTGGGCCGAGCAACTGGCTCTGTGGATGGTTCGGCATGAGAATTTCCCGGGGACGGTTTGGCTTGGGCCTGATCGGCGGGCTTGAACGTTGGTAGTTGGACAGGCGGAAATTTGAATCCTTCTGAAGCAGGTTTGGGTGGTGTTTCTGAAGCCAACGGAGGGGTCATCGATGGGAAAGTAGGTGTTGTTGAAGCGGGGGCTGAAGGTGTTGTCGGTTTGAAAGAGAACCCTTCGCTGGAACGTCCGCCCGCCGGTGTTGATTGGCTGGGTGTTGATATGGTCTGAGCAGGAGTCGCACTCTGTTGAGAAGCCTGAGGCTGGAACATAAAGGCTGGTGCTGGAGGGAAGCCGATCTGTCGTTTTTCGGTCAACTGGGAGGCAGACTCAGATGCTTTGGCTGGTTGTTCGACAAAGGGTGCCAATTTGGGGATCTGAAATGGTGTTGTTGCTGAGCCGATCTTTGTTTTGGACTCTGCTCACAACAAAGTGATTAGCAAGACAGACACAACGCACTGAGCTTCCAAGCATGCGACGACAGCGGTGAGGTAGTTTGGGGGAGGATGTTACCTTCGGATGGCCCTGGCACAGCTGGCAAAGTTGCCCGTGGGCCGAAAATGGGGGGAATTGCAGAAGAGGTAGATGTGGCCGCTGCTGGGGTGGTGGGAGTCGTGGCAGAGGTGGTGACGGCCGGTCCGAAATTGAAACCGGTGAAAGTCGGTGTTTTCACGGAATCACTGGTGGGAGAAGGTGCTGTTGTCTGGGATGCAGCCGGTCCAGTCGAAGGGGTAGGGTTGAACTTCAGCTCTTTGGGGGGCTGAGTGAAGCCTCCAAAACTGAATCGTTCTACCGGCTTCGGACCAGCGAGAGGGTTGGCAAAGGAGGACGACGAAGACGGCGAACCAAAACCAGCAGAGAACCCAGAACTGCCAAAGCTTGATGAACCAAAGCCTGTTAGTTGACCAAAGGTTGACTTCTCAGCCGGCTTGTTCAAGGCCGGAGCGCTCTCTCCGAACTTGGGCAGAAATGTCGAGGCTTCGGGGTTGAGTGTAGAGAATGGAGAGCCAAATGATGAAGATTTGATCGAAGTGGCCGTGGGTTTGGCTTCAGAGACGAACATGCTCTGGTCATCCTCTCCAAAGGCTTCTTCGTCCTGTTCCGGGCTATCTTGTTCTCTCTCCGGCTCTACCAAACCCTGTCGAATAGCTTCGGCGACGGGCACGCCATTGATGACAGCAGTGAGTGTTCGGTGATAGCGTTTCTTTTCGACGTAGGTGTGTGAAAACGACTGCCGACTTGGTATTGAGGATTCTACGCAGACATCAGAACTCCTTCTTGGATAACGTTTGAAACATGAAACACCCACGATCGAGAGAATGAGCACTGTTCGAGGTCACGTCAAGATACTCGTCGCCGTTGTCGTCCGTGGCGAAATAGAGGTCAAAGGCGGCACAGAAGTCTTTGGTCTCTCCTTCGGTATCAAAGCCCAAGAAGTTGGTCACTTCGGCAAGCTCCCAGTCTCTGGATTTGGCTTGCTGAGCCGCGGGCGCGCTCTTGCATGATCGCCACAACGCGTCCAGGGCGGCAAACCGAACAGGAGCAAAGTAGATCTCGGCGACACACGCCATGATGTATGGCACAGCCGTCGACGACAGAATCTTCCAAAAGGTTCCCACTTTACTCTGGGCGATGGCAAACGGCTCCAAAGGGCGCAGAGGGCCTTGTTCGAAAAGGGAGTTACCTGCAGCCATGTACAGCTTGAAAGCCGTCTGTACCCTCATGTCGTCCAGGAGATGCTTGGGCCAGGATTGAATCCGATCTTCGAGATCCGGATGCTGCGATTGAAGCTCGAAGATGATGCAGTATGCCCTGAACTCGCCTTCGTTGGGGGAATGCATTCGTTGCCGGTTGTCATCGTAGTAATACAGCAATGAGAGCAGCGTGTTGTTGAGTTGTTCTCGTTCCTGGTGCGCATCAAAGTGTTCTCCCTCCATGAGATTGTCTGGGTTGGACAATTGATGCAATGAAAGGATATGGAATCTTGCTATTCGCTCGTAGCAATCGACAGCAACCTTGACATCGTCGACATTGGTGACTTGTTGGATCGAAAAGTCATTTCGGATCCCACGGGTTCGATCCCAAACAAACTTGTGGATGGTGGCTAGCCGTTCTTCTCCCCCGATCACTTTGTCAAGGAGGTAGTCCAATGTCTTCCGGAGCGTGGCGGGAGTCCGTATGTCGGAGGGGAGCTGTTCGTCGTACCCGGCAGCAGAGCGACGGAATCGCTTCACCATGCGATCTTCGGAAGGGTTGTCCTTCCCGGTCTCTTCGTCGTGGACCTGTATCCCCGTCAGCACGCCTCCGAGCAACAGACGATGCGAATGCCACCTTTTCCGCCTTGTCGACCATATTCTGGACAATCCGTTCCACTCTTTCGAATTCCGGGCACATTTCCGTGCATGTGCCGACTGGAGTGATGGCCTTGTCCAGGCTGGTCTTCTTGTCCGGGTCCGCAAGGAATCCATCGCGAATGGCCTTTGCCCTCTCCTTTTCTCGCGTTTGCTTGAGCTAGACGTGGATTCGTACGTTAGACGCCTATAGACAAGGTCGTGGTCAGCCAAATGTGGAGGGTATGGCAACGCACCTCTTGAAATTTGGCATAGACGGCATTCATAAAATCGCGGTGGTTTGAGGGCGCAGGCGAGGACGGGCGAGAGGCTGGCGTCGATGATGACTGCGATCGTGGAGCATTGAAGGTTTGCGATAGGTAGCCCCGTCCACGATTCTGTCCTCGCAGACTGGGCGCAGACGGCGCTGTATTCGAAGAGCCGCGTCCTTCTCGAAGTTAGCAAGGGTCTGTCTCGCCGTTGCGACGGCCAGGGTAACATAGAGCCCACCTCTTCCTGATGGTGTAACTGTGCCATTTTCCGACCCTCTCTTGATCGTCCCCGTCCGCAGTTTCTGCAGGAGTCCACTGCCACCGCCAGCGCCGCCGCCAGCGCCAGTCGAGACATTTGCGCCGCCTCTTCCTCGGGCACGACCTGGGGCAGGAGATCCTCGAGGGCTACCGCGACCGCGACCGCGACTGCTGGAGAATGAGGTTGCTCGTCCAGCTCTCGTTGAGCTGCCGCCGCGTTGGCCGCGGGTGGACGGCGCCGACATTTGCACGGTTCTGGTCGATCAACATCGGAAGACTGTCATGGTAGGTCGAGGTCAGAGAGGGCGAGAGGGCGAGAGGGCGAGAGGGCGAGAGGGCGAGAGGGCGAGAGGGCGAGAGGGCGAGAAAGGAGAGGTCGGATGTTGCAAAGCGTGGGGATCAATTGGAAGGGTGCTGATGCATGTATGGTGGTCGATGTGACGGATTGCACGTCGAGTTATGCGAAGTTGACTTGATCTTCACGGTGAGGATCCTGGGACAGGACAATAGAATAGGCTGGAGGCACCAGAGGGATGAGTTTTGGGATGCCGCTTTCATCACAAAGTCTTCTCCGCATTGCAGAACGGACAATAATTGGTGGATGCGGTGAGTGAATAGTAGGTACCTACTACCTAAGGTATGTACTAGTAGGTACGCGTTCCTAGTACCTAAAGTACATACAGTACTAGGTGCCTACTAAGGATATGTAGTCTTAGGCTCTTTAGGTGCTTCTAGGCGTCCCCCGCACCCTTGTAGCGAGCATTTGTCTCGCCTGAGGAAGCCCCTAAGCCCCCCAATTACCTTTGATGGCCGCCTATTCTTGCTACGTACATATATACCGTACAGTACCAACAAGAATAATCCCAAGCGGCGTTCAACAACAGCCTCACTCACTTCTCTGCGATGCATTTCAGAACCATCGAGTTCTTCTTCATTTGTATTGGATCTAAATAACACCCGGAATGTGCATATGTAATCTCCCACGGCCGGGGAACTACCGAATGCTCTTATAACACGCGCTCCCCAAAACAGGATCATTCCCAAGAAAAGAGTTGCAATGGACTCGCCTGCTCAAACTATGGATGCATGGAGCAACCATCGTCGTCAGGCCTCACATTCGGATGCAACTCGTAGAGACACCCTACCCATTACCACGCCAAACTTTTTGCCGGAATCTTGTGTTGTGTCATCCATCCGCAAACGCGCTCATCAAGAATGCACAGAGCCGAAACAGCAAGCTCAGCAGCAAGGAGGGGATCCGTCAGATAGCGTGCTCGGTGCTTACTGCAGAATCGCCCCAACTGACTGACGCTGGCAGTACCCAAACGCGAAAACGTGAATCGCAGTCACTGACAGAGAAGCCCGAGAAAGGCCATTTCAAACCCAGCAGACACACATAGCTGTCGCCCCTCAGCTGACTAGGCTGGATTTCTCTCGTTTCTGTGAGTCAGCCGGCGACCACGTAAGCTCACATTCGATAGAACGAGTTAGACATCATATCCATCTTGATGTCTGGGTGCGACACCATGCTTGGCTGTGGTGCTTCGACACCTCGAAGGGGCAGACTGCGCTGATTGCTCTCGCCAAAGTCCTGGTAGTGCAGTGGATCCATCATAGGCAGGCCATTCGGCATCCCGCTGCTCATATCAGGCTGAATCTGTCCATAGTATGGGTGGCCCAACTCCGGGTTGCTGACAATATGGGGAGTGACACCGAATATCTGCTCCAATGGCTCTGGTCCCATATTTGGCATCATCCCCATCCAGGCTTGAGGTCCCAAGCCGTGGTGGCGCAACCCTTGTGGCGGTAGACACGATGTCATGTCTCGACCGCCGCCATGATGGTCGAGCACCCCTTCGTAATTGTTCGACGACAACTGCTGTTGAGGCATCCCGACCATCATTCCGGGGCCACCGTGGGGCTGATTGACGAGGCTTCTGGGGTCGTGTAGCATCGGGTCACCCAGGGCGTTGACCATGTTGTAGTCGCCCTTCAGATTGCTCATGGCCATGTCATGCTGAAGTTCTTGAGCATGCTGTGGTGGCATTGCAGCGGGCATCCGTCCTGGATTTCCGGCAATCCGTGGCCTGCGCCCGGCAATCCGCCGACTCTTTGCGCTGTCGCCGCCCATTGAACCGCGATGCCTGTTGGTCTGCAGGGTTCCATCACCATGGAGCTGACCCACCGGAGAGTTCTGAGTCGATGAGGCAGGTGTCTGGTCAGCTCCCGTCGCCGACTTTTCGTCGTGAGATCCTTCACTTGAGACTGCTTGACGATGACCGTCCTGGCCAGGCACCTCGTCCTCAGAATCATGGGGCGTGAGCCTGAACCCGTCACTGTAATCATTGAGGAAGACCAGAGCGTCACCGTCTAGGGGCGTCAGTCTACCAGGCGTGCATCAATAGAGACCATCTTGTCTTACCGATTTCGCCCGCTTCGTATTGTTCCATCATCTGTCGGGCTCTGGTAATCTGCTCCAGGATCTCCCAGCGGTCTTCTCTCAGCTCATCCCTCTTGACTTCGAGACACTCCAGCAGGTCACCTGCATTGACGGTTTGCTGATTCTGCAGGTCTGTTGGATTGGTGATGATTGGCTGTGGTGTTCCCATAATAAGATGGACCAAGAGGCTAGTTCTATCTGCGTATCGTCAGGCCAGGTCACGATACCAGACTGTTTTCCAGGCCTAAGCTTACCCTCACGACCGATATGATCTGGCTCTCGGTGGATCACGTCTACAAGGAGGTCAGAAGGTCAGCTAGAGCACCAGGATGGATGACACAGGGGGTATATCTTGAGGAAATCCGTTTGGACGTACGCTTTGGCCAATACGGTGGCTTGGTCCGATTTGAATCGGCCGGTTCACCCCGGGGCATTCCGCCGTTGTAGGGGTGAGTTGATTGCTGCAGTCTTTAGTAGATCGTTCAGGAAACGCCTGCTGGTAGACAGACACACCTTTTTGGGATGAATCTTCTTAATCCAGATCTTGGCCACCAGACGGCAAGCCACCTGCTGCAAGGTCAAGAAGGCCTGCTCGAACCACTGTTCGAGCTTCTCTCGGTCATCTACTCTGATTTGTGACGCGGGAGTCTCGCAAACCAGCCTCACTCCTTGGCCGTTTGCATGTGTCCTCGGTCTGGCCGAATTCCGAGGGTTGATCGTTTTAGATCGATGCCGCTTCGGAGGGCGCTGGAAAGTGTAGGAGATGGAGCCGCTAGGCACTACCTGGGTATCTGATTCAGGTACCTGCTTTTGAAGCTTCGGGGCCCGTCTGGTCGATGCATTACAATTCCCTATACAAGTCAGAACAGATGGCAGAGTGTCCGATAGCGACATACCAATCATCAAAGCGCGGTCCCCCAAATACTGAGCGAAGTTCCCATGAGCGTCTCCGAGAATAGTATATCTATGTTGCTTCAAGTTCGGCGAGACTAGAATTTCGGGAGCGCCTTTCTCCCCAGCCACCAGCCCGATAAAGTCTTCGCACCCTCCAATGAGCTTTTTGATCTCGTTCTGCATGGTAGTCAGCATGTCGCCTGTGAGGCGGCGGTAGGTCTCCGTCTTACGACAACATATCGCTGGTTGGCCTCCTTCGTGTCCTCTGTAGCGAGAACAAGCCTAGAACCATTCTTGGGTTTGACTGGACGAGAATCGAGGAGCATTTGTGGGGAGGGCATTGCGAACATTTCGGCCGTCATCTCCATTGGGATAAGAGGCGTCCTGGCCAGATCTAAGATCTGAGATCTGAGATCTGACTGCTAACCCGATCGCGTCTGGGGAAGGTGGAGCCGGAGGTCGTGCTCCGCAAGTAGTGAGTGGGCCTGTCGGTACAGAACAAGTAGTTAGCATCCTGGGAGCTGCGGCAGATGAAAGCCTAGAAGACGCGCAGTAGGCAGAGGCCTGGGACGAAGCCTCCATAGCCTCATAGTCAGCACACCAGGTGAAGGTGCAAGCTAGGGCGGGTGATGGTGAGCCTCCGCCTTGAGATCTCCCCGGATAAGCGTGCGGCACGGCCATGGACTCTCAATTAGAGCCTGTCAAACCAGCTCTTTTAGCTTTCTGACCTCTCTCCGCAGCTCGCGTACCAGTGTTAGACCATCTCTTTGTTGCGCTGAAGGAAATGACAGTCCATTGCAGCTTGCCCATTTCGCAGCATCACCGAGATGCAACCATGAGATTGTTACTGACCTTTTCCTTTGCCCGCCGTCAGAGAGATACTGTCAAGCTGAGAAGTAAACCAACACCGTGTCGTCCACTGCACCGAGGATCTGGAACGGATGGCTGTGAGATTCAAAGGCTGGCTGAATAGAGCTAGCTTGGTGCCGGTACTGTTTGCACATGCGAATGGGAAGAAAACCAGAAACCGCCGCGAAAAGCACAAAAACAAAGACGAAGCCGACCAGTTGAGATGACTGGGTTACTCTTCCTTCCTAGATAGCCATCTTGGAGCTGTTGCTGTGAGTGAGTCGGGCCTTATTGTTCAGAAGTTGAGGAGGATTGGCCGGGGTGAAGAACGGGACAAGAGAGCTGGCTTCACAGGAGTTGAGAGGCGGGTGCTGAAGACAAGAGGATCGAGGAAGGACGAGACTGATACGGCCGGTAGAGGAGGAGGTGGTGAGCTCAAGATGAATCGAGAGGTACCTGCGATGTTTGCTCTGCTCCTCTCTCGGCTGCTGGAACTCTTGTCTGGACCACGGGAGGATCGGCCCTATTGACTAGCAGGGTACAAGTGGAAGTCGAGGAAACTGGGGGTGAGGGACTCCGGGGCGGTCCAGACGCAGATGTATATGGAATTGCCAATCGGGCGAGGCCTGCAGGTAGCCAATTAGCATGGGCAGCGGCAGGTGGAAGTCGAAGGGAGGATTGCACCGACTAGTCGTGAGCCAACACCCTCCTTCACGGCGACGGGTGACATAGCAGGAGGCAGAGAGGCTGTGTCTAGCCAGCCGATGATTAGTTTGAAGCTTCGGCGGTGTCTGGCAAGCTGGAAGAGGCGTCGACTTGTGTCCCGTTGCACCAGCTGCGAGCCTGACACTCTCTCGCCATGGTGGAAAGGATGGGTGCCAGTGGCCGTCTTGCTGCTGGCCGAGGTCCGCCGCAGAGGCCACGCTGGGAAGAGAAGGGAGAGCCCAGAAGACGTGGGTAGATTAAACCAGTCGGTGCTGGCACTGGTGGGCGACCGAGTCTGCCGGTCTTCGCCTCTAGTATCCGAGCCTCAGTCTTCGACAAGATAGATGACTTCATAAGTGTAGGCCTCTGCGCGGAAGGCCATGGGACGGCGAGGTGAAGAAGGATGCTGGATGCTAGATGCTGGATGCTGGATGCCCGTAGGACAAGGGGAAAGAAGTGGGCTGTTGGCAAACAAGACTAATGGTGAGCCGCGGTGCAGCCGGCCAGCAGAGCAAGCAGCAAGCAGAGCAAACAGCGCCATGGCAGCAGCAACACTGCACCTCTGCACCTCAGCACCTCCGCCTGCGTCGCAGCACCAGCACCAGCACCAGCAGCCGCATCCTCTGAAGCAAACCAGAGGCAAGCCAGGCAAGAGGACACGCTGCGAAGTCTGCCGTCTGTAACCAGCAATCAGCAACAACCCTCTTTTCGACGCGACGCATGCTGCCTCCCGTCTGTGGCACCACCAGACATTAGTATCTGGCAATGCTGACTTGCGACTAGCCTCCTTCGCTTGCCTGGGTCCAAGCCACTGCTCCAATGATGCCGTGGTGAGTGCCGATGAAACTCAGGGACCCGACGTTCTGACCTCGTCCAGCAGTCTGAAGCATCGAGTCCTCCGCACAGCCCTTTGCCTTTCCTCAATTGTTTCGCTGATGCACCACACGCCGATAGACTGCCTGATCCCGGTACCGAGGGACGCTGTGGAACAAGTCCTGAGGGCATCCCAGCTCCGTAGTGTGTGCTGTTCCCACATTCAGTCACCCGATCAAGGACGTCAGCGCCTGACTTGACTTGGTGGCTGCTCAGGCCCAAGAACGCCTCCTCTGCATAAGCACGGTGAGAAGCAAACATCTAGCGTGTCTGGGAATCGTATCGAACCGAGCGGTAACCCATCTCACTCCCCGGGATTCTTACGCGACGCAGCCCAGGATTGAAACAAACATCTCATCTCGAGCTCCGGGGGTGCAGCCGGCGGGAGAGAAGGCAAGATAAACGGCCCGGTGAGATTGCTTTACCTATCCCGAACTTGCTTGTTGCTCCATCATTCGTGGATCTCTGGCAAAGAGGGGCAACTCGGCTCTCGAAGTCGATGCACCATCCCAACATGCACCGAATGTACAGGGATGCTGCTCACTTTGACATGCACACCACAATCTAATTCCAAGTCTTCAGAGCCAACTTGTTAGCCAATCATTTGAGAAGGTCGAACCAACTGACGTAGCAGTCCCGAAGTTGCAAACTTGGGTCCTGCCAGGTCAAAGGAGCTAAAGGACAAGGGGGGCCAGCGCCAACCTTCATGGCGGCTGAAGGTAGAGACAGCAGCCCCCAAGCCTTCATCTCAGTCCTGGCCGTCTACCCCAGCACCGGCCAAACCACGGCGCGATCTCTCAACGTCTGCATCGCTTCAGAGATTTAGGTGGCACAGCTTGCCGATTCGACGATCATGAAACTCGAGCAGTGCTGCCGTCTAGTCGAACCGAGCATCCACCCTGGCCGAGGAGCTCCGTCATGAGCAGAGGGTTGCACTATTTGACGTTGCGCATTCTTGGATACTCTGCACGACCGGTAACGCCCAACGAGAGAAGGTCCATTGCGGGGGAATACCAGGAACAATCAGAGGACAGGCCAATCATACATGATTGCGTTGCGATGGTGAGCAAGGGAAAGAATGCGACAACACTACACAACGACAGGCATGGCCGTCGCCAAGCATATCCTATCCTGTCGGATGCGATGGGAGGCCTCCCGTCCGACCAGGGCATCCCCTGCCCATGTTCAGAGCACTGGGGCTGCTGAGGACTCACTGGGTCACGCCAACAGCTTCAAGAAACCAATTGGTATCGGCATGCCTGATTTGAGATCGCCACGTTCTGTCTCACCATAGTACCGTCAACTGATACGATGTACTTACACGAGGGTAACAGGTACACGGGAGCACTGAGCAGGAACATCACTGTCAGAGGTATCTCTACCCCAAGATCCGAGTCAGAGAACTGGTGTCCTTGCTATGAGCTTGCCCTGAACATTTAGCATCCCAGGCTACACCACCGACTCGGGCTTTTCACGGTGTGCGACAATGGCTGCGATTTGTATGACCTTGGAGACGGGAATCGAAATGCATGTGCGGACGAGAAAGCAGGAGGGGTGATTCTGGGCGGCAACATACTCTTGTTCGGTGACTAGACCTGGTTGGTCTCTGGTTGACTGTGACACAACGAGACCGACTAGCGACATAGAGCTCCACTGGGGGCGACGGACATCTGGACCTCCCTGACTGGTCCAAAAGCAAAGGAGGCGATAATGTCACGCATCCTCCTGTAATCCCATCTTTCAGCCGCTCCTCATGGTGGGAGTGTCGCTGTTGGCTGCAATCCTCTAGCTCCCCGTTCCTGCTGCAAATGACTTTTCCCGTGGAAAGCCTGTCCGCAGCGGACAACAGGCATCCCATCGACCCATACCTGAGGTAACTGTCGTGGCAGCTGAGATCTCGGATCTGATCGTTGCATTATCGGAGCATGCTGAGTACCGACGCCGCGGCACCTAGAGCGGCGTATATGGGTTGGTAAGAGTTCGATGCATTGGGACCAGTGGGTTGGCGCTGCGGTCAGGGTTGGCTCGCGACGGCGCTACCGTTGCCAAAGCCGTCGAGCAGACCAGCCTCACGAACAAGTTCGTAGAACAAGCCACGCTGTCTGATCAGTTCTTCTGGCGTATCAAACTCGGCCACTCGTCCTTGCTGCAGCACCACAATGCGATCGGCGTCCAGGATAGTGTTGATACGATGGGCGATGGTGATGATGGTACGGTTCCCGAACACCGTGCTGCGCAGAGTAGCTTGCAACAGCTTGTCCGTCTCCACGTCTACTGCCGCAGTTGCCTCATCGAGTACCAGGATATTGCTGGGAGTAAGCAACGCGCGCGCCAGAGAGACAAGTTGCCGTTGTCCCTGACTAAGATTTGAACCTGGATCCGAGATCCCACGGTCAGCGGAAACATGTCATACAAGCACGGGGATCGAGACCATGCCACTCACCAGCTTCGTGAATCACAGCGTCCAATTGTCCAGGCATGCTCGAGACATGATCCTTCAAGCGAGCATGTTCAAGCACGCTCCACAGTTCCGTATCATCGTGGACATGACGAGGATCCAGATTGTCGCGAATTGTCCCTTCGAAAAGGGCGGCGTCCTGAGGAATGATGGCAAGCCGCCTTCGAAGATCTAGCAAGCCAATCGTGGAGGTGTTGAGGCCGTCAATGCTGCAGTGACGCTGTTAGCGCAGTCGTGGCTTGGGTTCACCATGCAAGCCTTGTTGCATGGGTTCCTTGAAACTGGGATCAGCACTCACCTGATGTGCCCAGTTACTGGTTCGATGATCCGGAATAGTGCCATAGTCAACGAGCTCTTTCCGGCTCCTGTACGTCCAACCACGCCGATCTTCTCCCGTGGTTTGATGTTCAGGTTGATGTCTCTCAACACAAGATCGAGGCCCTCGCGATACCGCGTAGAATAATCCTTGAACGTAATCTGGCCATGTGCAGGCCACCCAATGCTCGGTCGACTCTTGAAAATGACCTCAGGAGCTTCGCTGGGCAGGTTGGCATATTCGAGCACTCGCTCGACAGATACAATGTTAGTCTCCACCTCCACTGTCTGTCGAACGATCCAGTTTAGGGACTGTGTGATCTGCAGGGCATATGACATCTGAGACTGTTAGTTCTGAACAGTGGCTTGTCGACAATGTGCAGGGTCCCTTACCGCAAGGCCCACCATACCGGCCGACAGGCCGCCACCAGTTGTCACCGTGATGATGGCAAAAATGGCTGCCGCCAGGATAATGACAGATCCAATAAACTCCAAGCGGACCGCCAGCCACCTGTTAGCGCTTATCGAGGGGAAATAGGCCCGTAGGTTTGCGTCCACACGCCACTCGTTTTCCAAAAGAAACCGCATCTGTTGTCGATATGCGCGGATAGTGGACACCCCGCCGAGAGTCTCCTGGAAGTGTGCGTATATCGGACTTCGGCTCACACTATCGAGCCGTTTCAACTCGCGTGAGGTCCGGAGATAGTATCTTTGGTACAGAACATACACGGCCCCCAAGGGTACGACCAGGACAAGGAAAATCGGGGTGCCTGCGGAAATCACGCCGATGGTGAAGAGGGCCCGACCAGTGTTGACGAAAAGCTTTCTTGTCAGTCCGAGATCAACACAAGCACTGTTGGTGCGACTTACCATATTGAAGGTCCGAGCAATAACCTCGTCGACTCGATAGATGTCACTGCACCGCGGTGAGTAACGTGCGGAAAGGGGTATTGAGACAGGAGCATGTCACGCACCTCGAGAAACGGTTAAGCACACGACCAATAGGAGTCGTGTCAAAGAAACTCATGGGAGAGCGGAAGATTGCGTACGCCATCCGATCATGGAGTTTTCTCGAAGCCTGCAACGATGTAAGCTCGCCACTCTCTGTCGGAACCGAGGGATAATCAAACCTCAATCGAGCAGAAAATCCAGAGAAGCAGGGTCTGCCAGATGTCAGTCACGGTTACTGTATCACTACAGGCGCCGAGGGTTCACGTACCTGGATGACAACAAGGCCTGCACCTCCGATTCCGAATGCAAAGTAAATGCCAATGTATTTCCCCACCTGAGGATTCGCGCCATACAACTCGTTGATCTCTGACCATCGCTTCAGCCAGAAGCTGCCTCCGATCTGGGCCGTCTGAGCGGCGAGCAGCGCGAGAAGATAAATCCCGACGGCGATAAGGTTGCTTTCTTTGGCGTAGCTTGTATAGACCGACCACTTGACTTTGCCCTGCTCGGCGGTTTCCTTGGTCTGCTTGCTCTTTAACCCGCCCTCTTCATCCGTCATGCGACCCATAGGGCCTTTGAAACTGGCGGTTGAAGCCCGTCGCAGGGTATTGAAGCTGGTCTTCCTGGCCGTCGACAGTCCACTGGGGCCGGCACGAATTGGGGCAAGGTCACCAACTTGTTGACGCGACTCTTCTGCCTCCTCGGCATCGTACTCGTCCTGAACCGCGCTCTCTACGGCGGTCGTAGATTCGTCGGACTCCGTGCCTTCTACACTAGGGCTTCTTTCGCCTTCCGACTCCTGTTCGTCCTCCTTGATGGCCGACTTGATCAGATTGGCGACCTCGCCTCTCATCGCCATCAGTTGCTGGTAGGTGCCTTTTTCTAGGATCGACCCGTCACGGAGCAAGTACATGTAATCAGCCTCCTTCAAAATGGTGATGGCATTTGTGGCCAGAATCCTGGCTTTTCCGCTCAACAGGCCGTTCGGACCAAGTACGTTGTTGATCAGGTGCCGTCCGACGTGCTGATCAACCGCAGAGAGGACATCGTCGAGGAGATAGATGTCGGCCCTCGCATAAACTGCCCGGGCCAACGCCAGTCGAGCCTTCTGACCTCCAGATAGGGAGATGCCACGCTCGCCGACTTCCGTCTGGTCTCCATCCGGTAGCTGTCTGAAATCATCCACGAGAGCACACGCATTGACGGTCTGGTTGTAGAAGTGGGGATCCCATCGATGGCCAAAGATAATGTTTTCTTTGACGCTTGCGTTCATTATCCATGCCGACTGTGCTGCGTAAGCGATGCGTCCCCGTACGACGACCTCGCCCTGGATTTTCCAGAGGTCACCGAGGACCGCCTGGAGTAATGACGACTTGCCAGCCCCGACACGACCCACGACGCAGGTCAGTTCGCCCTTATTTGCATTAAAGTTGATATTCTCCAAGACGTTCTTGTTTTGGTCCTTGTCCCAAGTGAAGGTAGCGTCCCGAATTGAAACGCTAGATTCTCCCGGCTGGCTTGGGGGCTCGTCGATCAGTCTGACCGCATCGTCTTGAAGCTCGTCGGCAGCGAAGAAATCCGTCAACCTACGAACGGCGACGGACGCTTCGACTATGCTGGTGATAACCATTGGCAACACTGTGAGAGGAAAGGTCAAGAGATTGAACAATGTCAAGGCTGGGAAGACCAGATCGGTCGTCAGGGGTGTATCGTTGAACAAGACGAAGACGGCGAAGGTTGAGCACGAGACGAGGAAAGGCGTAGAGGACCAAGTGAACGTGGCGAAAGACTGGGCGGCGCCAATCTTCCGGAGATTGTTCAGTTCGAGGTCATTACGGACGTGGCTCAACTTCTCCATGAAAGCAGAGCCCCATGCGTAGAGCTTGATGGCCTTCATGTTGTTGAGGATCTCGGTCATCAGCCGTGAGCGGCGGTCTTTGTACTTCATCTGATCCAGTTGCAACTTCTTCATGAATCGAGCAATGAAGCCATTGACAGGGATCATGATGACCATGGCCGCGACACCCGCGAAGCACGAAGGCCCGACCAGTTGGTAGAGGGAGAGCATGCACAGCGTGATCTGGAATGGTGCCGACCACACTTGCTGGCCCCATTGAGCCAAATCCGCCAGACGCTGCTGATCTACGCTCATGTAAGTAACAATGTCGCCCGTGTTCTTTTTCGCCCGGGATTCGCTAGACAATCGGAGCGATTTTGCGTAAATCATGGCGGTGAGTGAAGACTTGATTCTCATCCCGGTCTCGAAGGCCTGCTGGAAGTACTGATGCAGGGCAGCAGTTTGGCAAATGGAGGTGGCAAACATTGCCAACGCAATCGCGACGCCACGGATCTGCGGCTGAGGTTCACGACCTGGCCGATACGAGTCCACGAAAGTGATCAACAGGCGCAGGAGTTGCGGCTGCACGAAAGAAAGGATGTCACTTATGGTCTTGACCAGTGCTCCGCGAAGATAGGGACCGCCAAACGCCCTGGCCAACGCCATCCACAAGCTCGGCTTCTTTTTCTCCAGCTCGATTTGCCAGGCCTTTTGCAAGATAGCACCCGTGGCTTTGGTAGAATCTCGATGGCGTAAGTTCCACAGATCATCTTGAGTGAGATAGTTATTGTAGCCAAACTTCATCAAGGGGGTCAACCAAGAGAATGTGAGGACGGAGAAAACGTCGGCATATTCATATGGACACTCGTCATCGGCCCCAAGAGCATCGTAGGCGCTCTGTTTCTTCGGAACCAGATATTCCAGAATGAATTCTAGAATCGCGAGACCGAGGCTGACATTGAAGGTGACAAAGTAGGGGAGACGGGTTTTGTACGCCTCTCTCGCGACCAACGAACGCAGCTTGACAGCATGAGCCAGGATGAAGAAGACCCAGTAGAAGAGTACGACCCCATTTGGGTTCCGCAACCGCCAGTGTTCATGGTATTGTACGACGAAGATGACGAAGAGCGAGACAATGGTGGAGATGGAGGTGTAGAACCTGATATCTTGATACCATATTCCCGGCAACCGCTGGACCTGGAAGGCAGCTTGGAGGGCGGTAGTGACTATGAGGGCGGCGATTAAGGACCTGCGAGCGGATTGTTAGAGAGGCATACGTGTACCAGAGCAGGAGTGGTGATGCTCACAGTTTTGTATAGAAATGCCAATTTTTAGGAACCTCCTGGGCGATACGTTTTGTGAACAAGTACCACAGCGCTCCCGCACCGAACAGCACACCCCAAAGCGAGACGCCAACGATCCAAATATCAAGAAAACAGGGAGTGAGATCCCATCTGGACGAGCTCACCGGCCCCCAGCCCTCAGGGTCACCGCATAGTGGCTGTCTCGAAAGAAGGCCAATGTCTAGGATGGACTCGGTGTGGGATGGAAACCGTCCGGCCACGGTCAAGACCGACTGTAACCCGTCCGAGCCCCTCATCTATTGTGCATAGAAGGGGGGAGGGAGCAGGCGAGCAGGGAGGATCGAGTGAGAATGGGAAGGGGAAGGAGAACGAGAGGAGGAAGGCTGAAGCTCTCTTCCACCGACTGAATGTAAGGGATTGGGGAGGATTGGACGGTGAGTGAGCCGCAGCTGCAGATGATGCGCAGGCAGAGAATAGTTTCTCCTCAATTGCGAAAGTACTCTGGATTTGCGGCGTAGCTATTGGCTGCTGCGGGAAGGTGACCTCCGACGGAGATTACGGCTATAACTTCACGTCCATTCCACACGCTTACCTAATGCGCCACCAGCCATAGCATCTTAGGCTTTAACGCACCACCGTATTCATTGTGGCCCGGACAAAGGCTACCTTAGGGCGCAACCGCTAACATAGATTTTAGTAGACCGATGGTAGAACTACGGTAGTAGCTAATTAGCGGTACTTCTACCGTAGCTAATTTTCTATCGTAGAAATACCGCCTAAAAATATTAATATCAGCTAATTATAATTGACTACCTATGAGAGAACACCGGGACTAAGTAGACAATGGAACCTAAGGAAGAGAGACCTCTACTTACTTATTTAATTCTAATATAGCGAGATTTATTATCTCTATATAAACTTATTAGTTCGCTTACTATACGATTCTTCTCTCTAAGTAGTCTACTCTATAATTACCCTAATTTCTTAAGCTTAATAGTAGTATATACTCGGCCGCTAGACTATCCTATATTTATTAATAGTATACTTAACGATAGCTAGCGTTATCTAGAGTCCTAGAGCTCCTATCCGAAGAAGAGTACAATCCTAAAGCTAGAGTAGATATACTTAGGCGAGATAGAGGCGCTATACTTCTAAATATTATTATAGTATTATTATCTATAGATCGCGTCGGACGATTACTACGAGTACGACTATATATCTTACGGAATTACTTTTTATTTAATTCGCGAAAATTCTTATAGTAGATATATTAGAAGTATAGCTAGTATTGGAGCTCGTAGAAATATTATACCTTCTAAGATCTCTTCTTTCTAGCTTAATACTTCTAAAGAGTAATAATATATAGAATACTATAGATATCTACTAGAGTTAGTATAGTAGAATATATAAGAGAATAGAGACTTACTCTTAATATAATACTTTATAAGCTTAGAAGAACTTTTAAGATTAATATAATTCTTTATCTAGAACTAGATAAAGTTAAAGTTATTAATACTAAAGATTCGATCTATAAAGTATTTCTTAATTTAATCTATAGCGAATATAGTAAGAAGCTAAGAATAGTTAATAATAGTCTAGCTAATATACTATATAAAACGTTTAAGTATAACTTAGTAGTACTTTAATAAATTAAATAATAGACTTATAATAAAGTACGCTTATAATAAAATACTCTATTAAATTAGAGGGTAGAAATACGTAACTTACGGTTAAACGTCGGTAGTAATAATTCTACCGCAGATGAATTTCTACTATGGATCTACCGTTAACCAACGGTAATGAAGCCTATAAACTGCGCGGTAAGGTATTCCGGTTGCCGTACGTGTAATCTTCGCTGTGGCCGAGTCACGTGCTTCACTAGTAAATCCCAATAGTACCTAAAGCTCCTAGATAGGCTTAGGCTTAGCGTTAGTATTGGCCCCATATCCCCCCATGCTGTTCGCTTTCATCAAGAGCAGTGGTGCGAGGCCGTCATCACTATGCACCACCTTGAAGACGACTTCACGGGATTGTCACAATGGGAATCGGCACGATCGCGTGCCGGCTGGGGTACTCTATACGACTCGGTCATCACCAGCCACCCACAGATGAACAGAAATGGACATCAGGGTGGATGTTAGGTCGAATAAAGGCTTTCAAGCAAGCTCACTCGCCATGTCAGGACGCACACTTTGTCCACGCAAACCCATGAGCGGTATGCTCTGAAGAAAGCGACGACGCATCGATTGTGCCACTCATAGATTATCTTTCTGTTCACAATACATCATAGGCGTACTTACAGTGAAAATTCTACGGAGACAGTATGCCTGATCCTCCCTCTTCTTGGTATATCAATTAGCGGCCCAAGGCATACGCTCATCTACACTGAATTGAGACAACGACTCGCCGCGAAGTGCCACGATTGGAATCCCCGGGATCTCGAGGATCGGTCGTTCTAGCATCCTCTTGTCAGCCAAGCGTTCCCCTTCGTACGAAAAGAACTCGACCGAGGTTGGTGCCAGAAGCTCTTAAAGTGTCCAGCCTCATGTGAACCACCTACTTGGGCGGACAGCTAGCTTCTATGCCGCTCTGATATGATCCTCGTCTCCCTTAGAGACCGACACGTCTGACAGGTAGACGTAGCAATTCGCGGCGTCACAGTACCAGCGAAACATAGAGTTGATGGCCTCCGAGTATTCCGTGTTATTCGCGTTGTTGCATTAACAACGTGCTTACCTCGAAATGTTTGAGATTGTCTTTCTCGGCCCGTTCGCCACAGAATTTCATCTTTGTGTAGCCAGCCTTCATCTTCCCGTCAAGGTGGTCCAAAGTCACCTCGTCTTTGTCGTCACCCCACGTATGTGAGAGGATAGCGTAGGCGGGAATGTTGTCGTGAAGGTCTTCGGTCAGGCGAAGGGCACCGTCATCGTCATCGTTCAATTTGAGGAGGCACATCGCGCATCGTGTTGGGCTCGCTCTTGCGCAGAGTAGGACAGCTCAGTAAGAGATCAGGAAATTCCAGCCGCTGTCAATCAAGAGGGCTCGGGCGATCATTACGACCCATTGGGCGCTGGCTGTCTCTTGCGGTGGGCAGAAGTCCGCGATAATGGTTGATTTGCCTACAATGACTGTGGAATAAGCTGGGGCTGGATGTGAGATTCGGTTGGGTTATGAGCGCACACTCGCGTCGATCGACGGAAGACGGAACGTGAGTGAGATGAGATGAAAGCGTGAGGTCCTACAGGTAGATCAAGAGGCGTCTGCTGAAGACATTGTGAGGTGCATTCCGAATGATCAGGCTGAAGGTGTGTCTTTCGACAGCGCATCTGGTCTCTAGGCTAAACACCGCCCCAGACAACTACGGTCGAGTAGTCGACCACGTTGAAATGCCATTCTAAATAGCATGCGTCTTTCAATCAGTCGTAGTCGTCGACTACTGTCTCGCACGCCGTACAGTGGTAATCATTCTGTCTGGTTCCCCGATCATTGCCGCGGTCCTACATCTATGTCTAGCGACCACACACGAACTACGGAGCCTGCCTACGTCGGCTAATATGGTAGGGCAGGGTTGAGCACAGGGCGGCATCACCCTCGTCCCAATGGGGGGTGGGGAGGAGCTGGCCGCAGTTTGGCACACGATAAAGCCCAAGGCACACCGGAGCATTATCAGTATCCGGATTCAATGAGCCGCACGCACCACCAAAGCCCAGACCTCTTTGCGCCACCCCTCTCGCCGGGTCCGGACCAAGATCCAGAGTTCAGAGCTCCAGGCCGGGAGTCTACCATCTTCCATCTTCTTTGAGCAGTCAATGGCGAATCAACCTACGATGCTGATACCCTACTGATTCTCGAAGACGAAGACGGCAGAGGAGAGATGTTTGATGTTTGCCTCTTCCAGAAAGAGCGAGAGGATATGCTGCATTCTGCCCACGCATTGGATGGAAGATCGGGAACGGAGTATTGCCGAGATGGATACCGTATGCCTTAAGATCTTGGGACCAAACTCTATCTCCTTCCCTTGCGTTGCCGATGCTCTCAAAACGGACGGCACGTGGTGCAAAACAAACAGCTTGCTTACTTATTCCGACGGAGGAGCAAGTCTTGATGAAATCCCACCGAGTGGACTCAATTCCATGTTCAGGGGAAGACCCACGGTGATCAGATCGTCCGACTCGAATAAGAATATGACTCACCAGTATAGACAACTCGGGGGTCAGGACAGTATCGCAGTTTAGATCTCTCGATGCCTTCCGAGAGACAAGATGAAAAGGGGGGCAGTTGGAACTGGACGAGTGGTGGCCCAGAACTGTCTCGGCCTACCGACTAGATGAGCCGTCGTAAGCGTTGTCTACTGTCTACTGATCTAAGGTTGCAATACTACGGACATAGACTAGTAGTACGTTAGCAAAAAGACACCGAACTAGGCCCAATGCTTATTTGAACAGCCCAAGTATGTATGTGTACGGAGGATTGACTGCGTAGGGGGATTGGTGTCTCGCTGAAATGAAACCACGATCGATGATACAACTCTGGTACTCACCGATCACCAGATTCGAGACGGTGCACGACAGTATCACTGTAATATCTTCATCCTGGTCTCCGGATTGCGGCAAACAGGAAGAGTCGGCAGAGGCGAGCAAACACGATGGAGCCCATACAATGGTGCTATTGTTGACCGGTGTTCCACCCCTGGCTCCCCCGGACCCAGCTCGAGGCTCGCGTGCTGCAAGCGACGCCTCCTGAGGCCCTGGCGGCCCGGCATTCTCCGGTAGTTCCTGTTTAGGACAGTTCGACCTACACCGTTACTCCGTACCGTCGTGTATCGAGTGCCACTATCAACGTGGCCCAGGTCCCACCGTCGACCGTCGAGCCATCTGGCCCACGTTCATAGTCAGTGTCCGCCGCACATCACCCAGCCCAGCAGCCAACAGTGTGTGGCCGAGTCAGCGATCTCCCAGGGGTCCCAGGGATCCCAGGGTCCAAAGGCACCAGCACAGACCGGACGCCGCCACTCTGGACCCCCGGCGGACTTGTTCGGCCTTGGTTGGCCAGTGCGTCCTTCTAGACGATGTGCTGAGGCTAATCGTTGATGGCCACATTCCACATTCCCGACCTAAGCCTGGACCGGCAACCCAGGGCTGTGAGGCCTCTCTTACCGCCAATCTTCGTGGCCACTCGGTAAGCCTCACTATGCGAGGCAACTTGTCATGGGGCTTCTTAGGCTTGGGCTCTGGGTCGTCGATAGGGGGGCCTGAACCGTTCGACGGCCGGGCATTGGGCAAAGAGAGCAGGCCAAGCACGCCCTGGGTCTCGCAGACCACCATAATTGTCTCACCGCATGCAGATGCTCCGAGTTCATCACCGCGCCCGGCCCGGCGGGGACCTGGAAGCCCCCTCTGCTTATCTCCCGGAGCCTTGGCCTCCTGAGCCTGGTGCGGCGCTAGCAGTGGATGCGTTATATCTGAAAAGGCCCCGAGAAGAACAATGAATGAAAGGATGAATGAATGAATGGGTTGTATCTATTTCCATCTAGTCCACATTGTTCAATCTTCAGCCTTACCGGAAACATCCCCCGTCAACTCTCTTTGTTCCCGCCAACAAGTCAAGCATTGTCATGCGGCTGAAGGCGACGACGAATACTCCAACAGTAGTCACCACCACATTACTGGCCTGACTAAGGCTTTGACCAATACTGGCCCCCAATGGCACCCTCGGGAGAAATCTACCAGAAACATGCTCCTCACAGCAGGACAGAGGAGGAGGCCCAGCCAAGTTTCGACATCCAAGCCAAGCCGAGCGGGAATGAACCCAGCCCGCCCAGTGGCGGGTTGGTGCTCGGCGGAGGCCAGACCATCAAACTGATGCTGGTGCCCGACAAGCCGGCGACGCCTCCTCCGACGCCGGCCAAGAAGGAGAAGCCGCATCCTCAGTCGAAGATGAAGAAGTTCTGGACCAACTTCGACCCCGAGTACGTCGGCAAAGTGACGCGAGTGCTGCCGGAGCGCATCGGCGACACTGACCTGACCACCAAGCTGCTCGGCGAGACGGCCCATCGAGCCGTGCAGTCGTATGAGAACGCCAAAGAGAGCTGCATCCGCGACGTGAACCGCATCATCAAGGAGTGTCGCGCCGCCAACCAGAAATACACCGACACCCACTGGGACATTGAGCGAGACCTCAAGATCACCCGCATCCGGGACTGTCTGGACGGACTGGTGGTGGACAACGACGACAAGCAGTATCCGGCGGATGCGAAGCGCGTTACCGTACGTACATAGACTTGAGTCTACCATTAACGAAGAGGTACTGTGTAGAATACGCTGACCCAGCTGGTACAGGACATTTTCGAAGACCCCAAATTCTACGTCGATGGTGTGTCGTACGACGACATGTTGCAAGGTTCCGCAGGGTACGTACCTCCTGATTACGATCGGAGCTGGCTTGAAGCACGCACGCAACGAACGAAGCACTGACAAAACATGCCACCCCTAGTGACTGTTGGTTTCTGGCCGCCATTTCGGCCCTGGGATCGAATCCGGAATTCATCGAACGGGCGTGTGTGATCCAAGACCAGGCCGTGGGAGTGTACGGCTTCGTGTTCCACCGAGGTAAGTGGTCTCTCGTGTTCAGGGGTAACCCATAATAGGTTGGTTTGATACTGACCTCACGGCAATCAGACGGCGAATGGCATCAATGCATCATCGACGACAAGCTGTACCTGCGGGCGCCGGCATACGACGAGAGCGGCGACATCGTGCTCGGGCAGTACGGGGTGCGGCGGACGAACCAAGAAGACCAGTACCAGGAACTGTTCCAGCGCGGGTCGCAGTCGCTGTACTTTGCGCAGTGCCGGCACCAGAACGAGACGTGGGTCAGCCTGCTGGAGAAGGCGTACGCCAAAGCGCACGGCGACTACGCCTCCATCTGGGGCGGGCAGACGGGCGAGGCGATCGAGGACCTGACGGGCGGGGTGACGACCGAGATCTACACCACCAACATCCTGGACAGCGAGGCCTTCTGGCGCGACGAGCTGAGCCGCATCGGCCGCGACTTTGTCTTCTCGTGCGCCGCGGCCCGCTGGCGCGAATGGCGGCCCTACCTGGTCGCCAACGAGAAGATCCGCGAGGAGCGCCGCGCCGGCATCGTCAGCCAGCACGCCTACGCCGTGTTGGCCATCTACGAGGGCCACGGCCAGCGCCTGGTCAAGATCCGGAACCCGTGGGGCCGCAAGGAGTGGACCGGCCCCTGGAGCGACGGCTCCAAGGAATGGACGGCCGACTGGCTGCAGCGGCTGAACCACCAGTTCGGCGACGACGGCATCTTCTGGATGACGTACAAGGACATGCTGAGCAAGTACAAGTACATCGACCGCACGCGCATCTTCGGGTCGGACTGGCACGTCGCCCAGCAGTGGATGACGGTGCAGGTGCCGTGGAGCACCATGGACTACCAGCAGGTGCACTTCTCCATCGACGTGCCCGACGACACCGACGCCGTCATCGTGCTCTCGCAGCTCGACGACCGCTACTTCAAGGGCCTGCAGGGCAAGTACAACTTCACCCTGCAGTTCCGCGTCCAGAAGGACGGCCAGGACGACGACGAATACCTGGCCCGCAGCAAGATGACCTACGAGCTGGTCCGCTCCGTCAATGTCGAGGTGCCGCTGACCCGGGGCTCCTATACCGTCCTGGTCAAGGTCGAGGCCACCGAGACCCGCCGCGACGACGTGGAAAAGGTCATCCGCAACAATATCCACCGCCGCGACAAGATCACCCAGATCGGCAAACTGTACGATCTGGCCCACCAGAAGGGGCAGTTGCCGGGATCGTCTTCCTCGTCTTCCTCGCCGTCTTCCATGACCCCGTCCGCCTCTACATCAGGCACCTCGACCCCCATGTCGGGCGGATCCCAAATTCGGGATCCCAACCCGGCTTCCTCACAGGCGGGCGAGTCCAAGGATGATTCCGAGGAGAAAGAGAAAGATCCGCACCGCAATCCATGGAACGCCAGTTGCGTCGTCGGACTGCGCGTCTACAGCAAACAAGCCGACCTTGGCCTGAAGGTCGTGGTGCCGTCCAAGGAGGAGATTGACGAATCCAAGCACGTGCCCACGCTGGACCGGGACGACGTGGCGAAAAGTGCCCTGGACGAGGCCCAAGCCGCGGCCGGCAAGGGGGATGACGATGGTGATGGTGAGGGTGAGGGTGGTGGTGATGGTGATGGTGATGGTGATGGTGATGGTGATACTGCAGAACATGCCGGCGAGGAAAGAAGTCAGGGGAAGGATGGAGAGGGGGAAGTACAAACACAAGCGGAAGCACAAACAGAAGTGGAAGGAGATATCAACGAAGACAAGAATGCCGATGGCGATGGACCTACCGATCAAGCCCAAATCAACGGAGAGGCCAAAGACACCGACGCCGATGCCGAAACTGAAACTGGACCCGGAATCGAGGCTGCCACGACGAACGACCGAGTCTAATTGAGGAAGAACGGAATTGACGACTCGAACGGTCGAGTGGAAGTGTAGAAGGACCGGACGACAACGACGGCGACACGATGGCGATTCTATCCACGATGACAGCGACAGCGACGGCAACGGCAACAACGACGGTGACTATGAGTATGAGCACGAAAGCAATGTCTCATCAGAACGAACCAAAACCAATGAAAGCATTGCGTGCCCTATGCCCAACTTGAGGACACAGCTTATGAGAGCACAGCACAGCACAGCATAGCACCACGAACGATTCAACCACTTGACGACAATACAGGGTACTGAGTACCTACTGAGGATGAGTACAAAGTACCTACCTACGGAGTACTTAGCACTGTATATGGCGACGAGCTCTACTCTCAATCTCTATTGGGATCTATACTGTGGTTTGGTTGTCCATGCCCTCGATGCAAAAGATATAGGTGTAGATATGGATGGCTTCGGGTATGGGTATGGGTGTTGCCAACGGATTGGTACATATGCCATTGAACACTCGACGGTGAATACTCAACACTGAACACAACAGTGAACACAACAGTGGCACTCAACACTGAACGCTCAACAGTGAACACTCAACACTGAACACTCAACACTGAACTCAACACTGAACTCAACACTGAACTCAACACTGAACTCAACACTGAAGTCAACACAAACACACAGTGGCACTGATGGTCCCTTCACCACATCCACATTCACACTCACATTCACACTCACGTTATTTATTTATTGTCGGCCCACAGGCATTCTTGAGATTGGAGATGTTCGTCCTTCTTTCCTTTGGCCTGGTTTATTGTTTGGTTGTTTAGGTTTTCTTGGGAGCGAAGGTGTTCCGGTTGATTCCTACGACTGCTGTTCTTCTGGGTTTATTTCATGTCTGCTCTGGATTTGGATTTTGGATACGGACGGGCAATGGTCGATGGTCGATAGTCGATGGTCGATATGCTGACAGACACTGGAAAGGGAAAGGAAATATTCATCTTTTATTTTCAATCTTCCATCTACCATCTATCTTCTACCCTCCATCTTCCATTCTACCTCCTATCTTAGGGTTAGGGTTAGGGTTATCTTCTATCTATCTTCAATCTTCTACCTTCTATCTTAGGGTTATCCTATAGTTAGGGTTATCTTCCATCCCATCTTCTATCTTCCACCTTCCATCCCGCCGTAAAGCAGGCCGCCCTCTTTGAAATACATATCTCCAATATTTGGCACGGCCATCCATATAATGAATCATCATATATCATATATCACATAGACCAGAATCCATACTCCTTCCTATATATGATTTTTCCTGTGCTGAAACTCATCTCCCTCCCTGATCTCCCTACCAGGCTTGAGAGAGTAACACCTTCCCTAGGGCTCTTATCTTCGATACGAATCTAATTGATCTCGAACACCTCCCTCTCTTACCTTCGATACGAATCTAATTGATCTCAAACACCTCCACCTCCCTCTCTTATCTTCGATACGAATCTAAATCCAATAATATCTCGAGCTCGCTCCCCGTCGCCGAGCACCCTATCGGATACTTTTATAGTAGTAGTGATTGATCCGTCGCGACACTTTTATAGTAGTAGTGATTGATCCGTCGCGACACTTTTATAGTAGTAGTGATTGATCCGTCGCGACACTCTCACTTTTATAGTAGTGATTGATCTCAGTATGTATCAGCCTACAAGAGTCAAGTATATACTACCTAGGTATACAGTAGTCTCGTTAGCCTATACATACATACCTACCTATCTATTCTCAGGGGGGTCTGGGAGCCTGGCTGTGTCAAACTATAGGCATTCCCAGCCTTGTGCTTTATCTAGAAGGCTGGTTTAGGTGCTATCTATATGCTATACAGTATGCGCTCCCCCTGCGACTCGTTCATAGCGAACATGGAATATTTTAAACCTTTATTTTACAGGCTGTAGGGAAGAAGCCAAGTATCGTATGTACTGCTTGTGTGGTGATTCTCTCATTGGCACTTGGTGTGACTGTGACGGTTATATATACACCAAGTGAGTGGCAAAGTGAATTACTTACAGTACTTCGTCCTTGCGGCTGTCGTGCTGTAACAGTGGGTGAACACTGACAATTGGCGTCTTTTAAATCGCCGAGATAATAAAAGGAATCTTTGGTGAATCTGCCTTCCTCGCATTCACTTCTGTTCAGTCCAATTCAATTCAATTCATGACATCTCACTCCTACTCGGCCTGAGACCTCCCTACTTAGACATATCGTCGACATCCAATATACTCACCCCAGATCCCTCCCTCCCCCTCCCCCCCCCTCCCCTTTCTTGGGACCAGTACCGGTCTCAGTCGTGGCCGAACTCACCGCTCGACTTCTCGACCCCTCGGTCTTGATACTGGCCACCTCCGCACCCTCAAGTAGCTCCTGGTCCCTTCTACCTAGCTCGGCGCCTTTCTCATCGTCATCGTCGTCATCGTCGTCCTCTTCATCCCGATATGGCCTGCTGTGACCCTGTTCGCGGGCATTGCGCTCGAATTCTCGTTGAGTCTCTTCCATTCTCTTGCGCATTTCCGCCGCCATGCGCATGCCATCATTGACAATGTTGTCGAGCACGCCCCGCAGACCGCGAGACCCAGGTTCCACCACTCCACCGGCCCGTCCGACGTCTATCACCGTCTTGTTCGACGCCCCGTTGATCAGGTTCTTCACCGGTGTGCCGAGGTTGCTGAAGGTGGTCAGATTGCCGGAAAGCGTGCTCGACGGCAACGACACCGTACTACTGTTGGGCGAGTCACTGAGATGGAAGGATTGAGGGAAGAAAGATTCGAAAAACTGTTCGAGGAGCTCGTCGGCCAGAATCACCATTCGAAAGGTGGGTAGTGTAATGTGCAACGGTTTACTCGGATCCAAGGCCAGATTGTGGGATGCTGCGCGAGAAGAGCTCCTTCGTGACCCTTCGAGTATCGGGGTTGGCTTGACTGCAGTGCCAGGTGGCGTGACCTCTGATAGAGGATCGTGCTCGGCCGGTTTTGGCGACGCCGGCTGTTTGGAGACCGATTTGGTTTCTGTCAGATCCAACAGATCTTCTTCCTCTGCAGGTTCGTTGATGGTCGCCGCCTGGAGCTTCGAACTAGTGCTTTCAACCACTTCGTCGGGATCGGCGTATTCAAAACATCTCCTAATGAATGCGCTGACGCTGCCCAGGAACTTCTCGTTGGTACTCATTTGCAAGCCGTCCTTTGCGTCGGCCGCAGAGACCGGAGATATCATGCCGTTGCCAAAATCCGACGGAGTGATTGTTCCATCAAAGCCTCGTCTGGAAAGAAACAAGAGTGACTCTGACATCCGGAGGATGCCTTCGCGGTCCACTTTGCCGGTATTGTCGTCGTCGAACAGCTCGAAAAACAGGCTCATCGAGTTCATAATGTCCGTGGTGCCCTTGATCCGGGCTAGACCTCGAACAAGTTGCTGCAGCGTCATCTCGCCTTGATGCGATTCATCCCACTTGCCATATAGCCGTTGCATGAAGTCGTGGTCGGCGGGTTGTGGTCCCGAGCCCCATTGCAAAAGAGTATGACTGCGATTCCTCTGGCTCGTTACGGGCTTACTCAGGTCCTTGGAAACCGACGTCGGCGAATCGGTGAGGGCCCATTTGGCGGTGTTGGCCAAAAACTCGCGAAATGCGTCGTAGTCCATGGTCTGGAGGGGTGCTATATTCCGAGCAGGTTCATCGTGGTTGCGGTCCGAATGGTGCGTCCAGAGGCCCGGGCGGGTCTTTTGCTGCTCTTGTCTTCTTCTTTCCTCCTCCCGCAGCTTTGCACGTTTCTGTCGTTCCGCCAGGACACTGAAAAAGCGATCATAGATGGCGCTGAGGTCGTCGGCGCTTAGCTTCTTGCTTTCCGGCCCTAGGTTTCGAATCGAGGTCCGTTTGGCAAACGTGGCCAGACCGGCCTTCACGTTGTCAATATGTTTGGCCCTCAATTCCTCAATGCTAGCGTGGGTGATGCCGGCAAATTCCTTGAAGGCCGTCACCATCAGTTCTTGGAATTTGGTGATTGCCCTCAGCTTTTCATTCTCCGAATGTGGGTGAGCTGACTCGTCGAGTCGGGAGAAATAATTCTTGAGCACCGAGATAAACGACCCGTCATCGTGGACGTCAAGTAATTCTTCGCCGTTGATACGCAGGATGGCCAGTCCTACCTGGAACAACACTTTGGGGCCTTCCAGAAAGAAGACATCGAGAACTCGGAACGCAAAGACAAGCGGCATGGAGTTAATGTACAGAGAAAGAAACCAGGGCAGCGAGACCACGGATAGGTTGACGTCCGACTTGACCAGGTGCTCCCAAAGGACCGGCATGGTCCGCTCCACCAGGTTTTCAAACACGCGCTGATCCAACAGTGTGCCGTACATGTCTTTCGAATAGTATCCAGGGAGGAGGCGGTCGCACAAAGCTCCTAGCGTGAAGAATGCCTGAGATTCCGACATGTAGATGAGTAGGGCGGCCACCACAATATTCATGGCTTGACAATAGCCCACTTCTTCATTGGTCCAGCTGTACGCCGTGAGCACTCGACGTAGTCGGCCAATGCCTTCTTCGCTCTGGAAGCCCGGATATTCGGGGAGACTCCGATTGAGATCTTTCTCGATTTCATCAATGGCCAAGGACTCTTGTCCGGTGAACTTGGCCAGGGTTTTCTCGTAGAGGTTCGGATTTCTCAACCGGGTGTAGAATGACCCGGAGCAGATCTCCCAGATCTCGCCTCTCAATCGGTTCGGTAGACCGACCCGGATCAGCTTGTGGAAGGTCGGTTGTCGGACAATGGTGGCATTGCGGCCGTTCTCTCGCATATACTCGCCCCAGAGTCTGATTTTGCTTTTGTCCCGGAGCTTTCTGGCATCTCCGGGGTACCTGAACAGTATTCCCAGCCCCGTGTCAGGCGGATCCGGTGGCTTGGTGCCCTCCTCTCTGGCCTTTAGCCTCGCGGGGTCCAGGAGATACTCGGAAAAACACTGAGACACCACCGTCCGCAGGCTGTCCACTTCTTTCATGCCTTCTCTTAATCCCCTTTTCAGACCGTCACAAAACCGTTCACAAGCGAGCCGGCTTCCATCGAGGGTGAGGACTAATTTCCGGGGGAAAGGCAGGGACGCTTTTGTTTTGTCCGTCAGCGCTTTCTGCAAGGATTCGAAAGTGGTGAGGGCAAGCGAGAACTTGTCATGATGGCTGTTCAATCTCTCGACTCGTCGGATGGAGCACAAGGGGAGCGTAAAGCCATTTCCGCCTGGTCCGGCGCCTTGGGTTGGGCCGGTGAAGGCGATGGACGCGGTGTGACTCGCGCCGGGCAGGAAACTGGTGCGAATCGTGGAGAAGCAAAGAAAGTGTTCGCTCAGATGGAGGTCGCCCACATATCGATTGCCACTGTCTCTCGATTTCTCGCCGGACGTGAGAGGGCCGGCGGCGGCGGACGAGGGGAGAGGGAGGAATAGTTCGGCGGTGATCTCGTGCAAAGGATGCTGACCGGCAGGCAGTCTGAACTGATCCCGGAAGAGGGCAGCCTTGGAGGGTCGGTGGTCATTGTTCGAGGACAGGGGGGATTGGTCGATAAACTTCTGAACCAGTGAGCTCAACATCGCGCAGGGTACGGAGTACAGTGGTCCTTCATCAGACTGGTGTGCCGGGCTGTCGCGTCCACGTCGGTGACTGCACCAGTCAGAGTACGCGTGTCATTATGCGATGTGGGAGGAGTGGTTGAAGACTCCCTAGATCTTCCTGGACGCTCCGAAGGATGAGGATGGGATTAGAGGTCCTACGTGTGGGAGTATCGGAGGTGTCGTAGCAACGCAGTCACGGCTGTCAGATGAAGCGCCGGGGCCATTGTACGGAGACTGCTCCTCAAGAAACTGGGCGACAACCGCAGCCTGAGGGCCCAAGACCTCGCTATAATCCTCAGCCTTGGCGAGGAAAATCGGGGACTTGGTGGACTGCAACACCACGACAACACGACACCACAACCCTACGACCTCTGCCACTTGACGCGATGCAGTCTGGGCTAGTATGGGTGCGTGAGTCTGTAGACTGTTCGGGAGAGTCTACTCTACGATCTCTCTGGATATGTTCAAGAAAACGCCCCTGATGGGCCCTGGGTCGAGTTCCAGGTTTGAAAGGCATTGGATCACAGCTCGCAGGGTTATCGCAAGGCGTTCTTTATGCTCGGCTTTCAGCCAGCACTGCTCATTGGCGGGCTCTGAGTAAGGTCGAGCTACGTCGGCAAGAACCCAATCGCAGCGTAAGCGAGCTCTGCCACCTCGAGGTTGTGGTTGTAACGGCGCTTCATGCTCAGCCTCAACCTCAACCTCAGCCTAATCGCGGCTGCGAAGAGGACAATGATTGTTGCTTTATAGGCGACGGCCGTGTTCCAAACTCGTCGTCAATATCATCTGCTCCCATTTATCCCAGCCAGCACCGGCCTCGATGCATCAGCATTAGGTGTGCACCTTGGACTATCGGCGAATCTTCCTTGCACCTCCTTCTCCCGACGACGCAGCCTTCATTCTGCCACCCATCCCTCGTCAGCAAATGGCTAAGTCTGCCCCAGAGAATCGTGCTGGCTTCCGCGTCGCCATTTTTTGCGCCTTACCTCTCGAAGCGGAATGCGTCCAAGCTACATTTGACCAAACGTGGAAGAGAGCGTATGGCAAAGTCGATGGAGATCCCAACGCCTATACCTTTGGAGCCATCGGTGCCCACAATGTTGTCCTCGTTCACATGCCAGACATGGGCAAAGTCAATGCCGCAAGTGTCGCAGCCAGTTTGCGACCTAGTTTTCCTAACATCAAGCTCGGCCTTGTGGTTGGCATCTGCGGAGGTGTGCCTTTCACACCCGACAATGCACAAGAGATCGTACTGGGAGACGTAATCATGAGCAGAGCAGTCATGCAGTATGACCTTGGCAGGCAATATGATGATGGGTTCGAAAGCAAGAGAGCCTTAGCAGACACGCTTCCCCGACCAAGCCGAGAAATTCTATCAATCCTCCGCAAGCTGGAGAGTACCTTCAGTCGCAAGGAGATGCAAGAGGAGCTCATGGACCATGTGCTAGTCATCAGAGAAAAACTCCCAGACAAAATCATTTATCCCGGGCCAGCAGCTGACCGTCTCTACAATGCATCGTATCTGCACAAGCATCGAGACAACCAAAAGGGAGACAAATGTGCTCTTTGCCGCAGCAGACCGGAGCACATTTGCTCTGATGCTCTTTCAAAAACCTGTGACGAACTGGGCTGCGATGAGGCTGAGCTGGTGCGCCGACAGCGTCTGATTAAAGCTCTAGAGAAGCCAAACGCTGAAGCTCTGGAAAATCTGCGGCCTGCGATCCATATTGGGACAATGGGATCGGGGGACACCGTGATGAAGTCTGGAACTCGTCGCGACATGCTCGCGAAAAGGGATAAACTCATCGCATTTGAGATGGAGGGTGCCGGCACGTGGGAGCATTTCCGCGATAGCCTGATTATCAAGGGAGTTTGTGACTACGCCGATAGTCACAAGAAAAAAGGATGGCAATACTGTGCTGCAGCTACAGCCGCTGCTTGCGCCAAATTGTTCTTGAATGAGTGGAATGCTGGTGACCGGTCCTCCGAGCAAGGTTAGCACTACTTGTGACATGTGGAGCTCGGACATGATTAACAAGCTCTTTTATTTTATTTTAGGAGAGTCGTCTCAGTATTTATGGCATGTGCCCTTCCTCCAATCTGACGTGCAGGCTCTTGTTGGCCGGACGAACGAGCTGCAAACAATCGAAAACATCCTCTTCCAACACGGCAAACAAATAGTGGCAATCCTCGGACTCGGCGGGATTGGCAAAAGTAGGCTGGCATTGGAAGTCGCCTATCGTGCAAAATCCAAACGCCACATCTTCTGGGTGCAGGCAACAGACACGCTATCGTTTGAAAAAAGACTATCTTGAAATCGGGCGACTGCTGAAGATTCCAGGAGTTGACTAGGGAAATATGGACGTCAAAGAGACTGTCCGAGCACATCTCAGTCAAGATACAGCTGGAGAGTGGCTCCTGATACTCGACAATGCCGACGATATGACTCTATGGGGGAGAAACTCTCCCACAACTCCAGGGGTCACGCCCTTGACAAAGTATCTACCGAAGAGTCCTAGCGGATCAATTCTTGTCACCACACGAAGCCGACGAGTGGCCGCTCCGATCGCAGGCAAGCACGTCATTAACTTGATGGAGGTGACTGCTGAAGAGGCTGAACAGATGTTGAAATCCCTTCTGCCGGAGAGCAGTCTTGCTGACCGTGAAGAGACTGAACTGTTGTTGGAAAAACTGACCTACCTGCCTCTGGCGATTGTCCAAGCTGCATCATATATCAACGAAAATGATGCATCGATCAACGACTATCTAGAACTACTAGACAGCACGCAAGAAGATGGTGTGATCGCGCTTCTCAGTGAGAACTTTGATGACCACGGGCGGTACGCGATCGCTACCAACCCCATCGCTGCGACATGGCTGATCTCGTTCGAACAAATTCGGAAAGCGCATGCTCTTGCGGCAGACTATTTGGCGTTCATGGCGTGCCTGGGCGAAAAGAATATTCCACGGTTGCTTTTACCGTCTGACCACGAGGAAAAGGACATACTTGAAGCCATAGGAACTCTCAAGGGGTATTCTTTTTTACGGCAGCAAGGCAATGAAAACAGTCCTCAGTCCCTGTACGACATGCATCGACTAGTTCGACTTGCTACGCGGAACTGGCTGAAAAAGGAAAACAGTCTGTCGAAATCGACGGAGATAGCAATTCGGCAAACGGCTCACGCTGTTCCATACGTCCATTGGGAAACCAAAGATACCTGGCTTCTTTGCATGCCACATGCTCAGACTCTTCGTGATTCGGGGTTCGGTGAAAATCTTGCTGAGCGATACGAGTTGCTTCTGAAAGTGGGGATATGTTTCGACTGGACTGGAAAACCCACTGAAGCCGTGGAAATATTTGGACGGTAGCCAAATGGAGAGAAGGGGCTTTTGGTGTGAACAATGAGCAGACCATGGCCGCTTATTATTGGCATGGAGTAGCATTACGCAGGCAGAGAGCCTACTCGGAAGCAGAAAAGCGCATGAAACAAGTTGTTGAGTGGCAGAAAGGAAATTTAGGTGAAGACAACCCTAGCACATTATACAGCTCGCACGAATTAGGGGCGACATACATCTGTAATGGACGGTACAAAGAGGCCGAAGAGCTGTTAATGGAAACCCTGGAGATCAGGAAGAGAGTTTCCGATGCCGATGATGCCAGTATACTGAGTATCATGATTTATTTGGCAGATGCAGTTGGCAGGCAAGGGCGATGGAATGAAGCAGAAAAGTTACAAGTACAGGTATTGGAAGCAAGAGAAAGAGTCTTAGGTCGAGTCTTAGGTCGAGATCACCCAAACACTCTAGACGCAATGGGCAACTTGGCCATGACCTACGAGGATCAAGGACGATGGGAGGAAGCCGAGAAACTCGAGGAAGAGGCATTGGAAGCATCTCGAAGAGTGTTGGGGAACGAACATCCCAACACATTGACCTGCATGCACAACTTGGGCGTTATTCTTCACCATCTAAATCGATGCGAAGAAGCAATAGCCATGCTGTCCGAGTGCGTCAGACTGAGGAGAAAGGTGATTGGCATCGATCATCCATATACAGTCAGCTCTACAAAAGGGCTGCAAGAGTGGCAGGAAAAATTGGCAAAACGGACAGGCGAGAACGATCCCTCAGCGTCATCTGGATCTGGATCTGTCCCAGCTTCTGGGGCTCTCAGCTCGAGGGATGCGAACAGTGTCCTTCGCCAGGGTAGTCTGAATGAACAACAGAAGGACAAGAAATCGACGAGAAAGAGGATTTGGCATAAGTTGGCCCGAAGGAGTCGAGATCGGGAAAAGCCATGAGTTATGTCGTTGGTGCCGGCCAGCCTTGTCTGTTCCTACCGGCTACCATGTCATGGTGGGCAGGTGGGCTTGTTTGTCAAAGCACCGGCGGTGGCAGTCGCTTGCTGATCGTCCAGCCTTGTGATGAGAGTGCAGGGGAGACAAGGGGACACACTGTGGAAGTGGTGGCAAGCTTGACCTGACACTGAATTGGCAGGACATCCAATACTATAAGGGTTATTGGGCATCCTCTGGCCCTCACGGCCGGCGAGGTCAACAGCGCACAGACCCCGGCCCGCGGCATGTGGAACAGGCCATTCCAGCCGTGCCATGGCCAAAGCCCTCCCTCGACAAAGTCGACTGTGGAAGACCCCTGGTGGCTTGTTACTGGGTACGTGGGCTGATGGCCAGTGTCGTCGGCTTGGTGCCGGAGGGTATGGCCAGACCCTGCTGATGCAGGCCTTCAAGGCTGGTCCGAAGATGGAGGCAGAAAGGCAGAAAGGGCAGAAAGGCAGAAAGGGCAGAAAGGCAGAAAGGGCAGAAAGGCAGAAAGGGCAGAAAGGCAGAAAGGGCGAAGACACCAAATACTAGCCCTGCTGGTGTTGGTGTTGGTGCCGGTGCTGGTGCCGGTGCCGACTATATAGTCTATACAGAAGTGAGAGGATAATACCTATGTGATATTGTCAATCTTAGGCACCAACTTAGGCATTCCCAGCCTTGCCCTTTACCCAGAAAGCTGGTATATCCACACCTATATACTCAGCCCTCTCCCCATACCCCTTTGATAGAGAACAGGGAAACATTTCAACCTTTGACAGATATCCTCAGTCTTTAGTATGGTACCCCTTTACAACAAAGGTGATGCCGCCCTATACTAGGTATTGTGCACTACAGTATCTGTACTCCACTCCACCCGAGGCTACAGTATCCTGATTCCTTAGTAAGCGGCCAAACCTGAGTGCTTTTGTCCCTATCGATAAGCACATCAGGCTCCGAATCCCCTATCCTATCGATAACCCCGGGTGCCAGATGTTTTCGAGTCCGGAGTACGGAGTACAGCATGATAGCATGACAGCATGACAGCATCACAGCCACAGCATTGCGGTAGCCAAAACCAATATGGAAACACCGTCCTAGTCACTATTGCGGCGGAACCATACAGATAGAATATCGAACAGAACATTCCAACAGTCGGGTCCCACGATCCCATGATCCAATACCTGAACTAAGCCACAACCCCCTCCCTCGCAGTGAAGACGACGTCCATCTTGCCCAGCGCAACCGTGAAGATATCCTCCATCCCGTCCTCCGGAGAACCAGTGTAGCCCGGGGCCCAGTCGACGTTGAATGTCGTGCTGAGTTGAGCAATCACGTCGCGGAGTTCCATGAGCGCCAGTTGTTTGCCGATGCAGCTGTATGGGCCTGTAGGTGCACATTAGTGTGTGGGAGCGATACTTGGACAGAACGGCTTGTCATGACTGAATGTGACTTTGAATCTAAATCTGAACCTGGTAGGAGGGAGAAGGTAAAAGGGAGAAGGTAAAAGGGAGAAGGTAAAAGGGAGAAGGTAAAAGGGAGAAGGTAAAAGGGAGAAGGTAAAAGGGAGAAGGTAAAAGGGAGAAGGTAAAAGGGAGAAGGTAAAAGGGAGAAGGTAAAAGGGAGAAGGTAAAAGGGAGAAGGTAAAAGGGAGAAGGTAAAAGGGAGAAGGTAAAAGGTACAAGGTAGGTACTAGCAGCAGCTAGAGCAGTGGTGCATAATAATCACCGGCCAGTGAGCAGATAATATCATAAATATCCGGCCCGTAGCGTAACGTATCGAATCACAATGGCAGAAGGAACGGAACCATCGACTCACCCAGTGAGAATGGCGCAAATGCTTCTTTGGCCTTGACCAGCTCCGGCTTGGAGGTCCATCGCTCGGGGATGAATTCTTCGGCTCGGGCGAATGCGGCTTCGGCTAGAAAGGAACAAGTCAGCAGTTGAACTGGTTGCTGTGTACATAATGCCATTCCAATCAGGGCAGCATTGACCGATGCCCTGAAAGGACTCGGGATGATCTGCAACAAAGACAGGGTGTCCTGGCCCTATCGTTCTCGATGCGCGGCATGAATGTTACATATACATGTATGTATACATGCATCGGGCATAGGGACCTCGGTAAATTGAGATCGAAATCGAAATGAAGATGAAATTGAAATTGAAATTCGCATCAACTCACATCGCCCAAGAGTATATGACGGCACACTGACAGTGACATCCCCCGGGATATAAACGCCATTGACGCTGATTCCCTCCGGCGGCGTTTTGCGATACAAGCCCGACGGCACCGGCGGCTGCAGTCTTAGCGTCTCGTTGATGACGGCGTTGAGGTACTCTGCGCCTTGGAGGTCTTTGAAATTGAACGTGCCGTCGTCCAGTCGGATCGGGTCGAGTTCGTCGCGGAGCCGCTTCAGATGGACGGGGTCTTTGATCATGTAGTAGAAGGCGTTGGTTAGAGTGGCGGCGGTGGTGTCACTAGATGGGAAGAGAGCACGGCAGATGTCAGTGTGGTGTTGTGGTTCTTGCATCAGTGATATCAGGAGACACTGTAATTTGCAGTGTCTGCGGTTCTGCGTCATACAACAGAACCAGAACCAGAACCAGAACCAGAATCGGAAACAGAACTAGAACCAGATACAGATACAGAACCAGAACCAGAACCAGAACTAGAACCAGAACCAGAACCAGAACTAGAACCAGAACCAGAAACCAAGAACTAGGAATCAGACCCAAACACTCCGCACACCAACTTACCTTCCAGCCACGATGATCAGCCTCGAATCGGCCTGGAGCCACAGCCGGGCTTCTTGGGGATTTTGCGCCTTGTTGGCCGAGTCGATGATGTAGGACATGACATCCGGTTCGGCCATGTTGATCTGTAGATAAAGAAAGAGGATTTTAGCACCACACTATTGACCAGTGATAGTGGTTGATGGATAATGAAGTGGGTTAGGGGTTAGGATTTGGAAATAGTTGATAGTTAGACAATGGAGTGAGTAGCCCCAAGTTGTTTTGGAGTGATAGTGATGGTGTTGTTGCTTGGAAGTAGTGGTATTGTTTGTTGTGAGTGGTATGATGGTGTTGTTGCTTGTGAGTGGTGGAGTGGTATTGTTTCTTGGGAGTGGTGCTGCATTACTCACCTTCTTCCTCTCCTCAACCTGAAGCTCACACCAGGCCAGGAACCTGTGGAACGTGCGCATGGCGAACGGCACCTCCTTCAACAGGATGGCTAGCCACGGGGCCGGGGTGAAGATGCCGACGGGCGACTGACCCTTGTGCACGAGCTGCAGGAAGAAATGCTCTTTGCCCGTGCTCAGCATGTCGAACGACTTCCCGAAAGCCAGGTCGCCCATGACGTCGAATGAGTAGTAGTTGAACCATTCGGTCGCGTTGAGAGGCTCACCCGTCTGGCGGGAGAGCGCGTCCACGAGCTGGTGGCTGTATTTCAGGATCCGACCTTCGTAGCTCCGGAGTGCTGGATGGATGGCTGGATCAGTAGGGCACCTACAGGGGGGAATGGAAGCGTATGACAGCAGAAAGGTGTAGAAAGTCGTGTATTGTCTTCTCTTCTTCTTACCCTTAGAATTGAATCCCAAATCCCAGATCTTTCGCCTTGCATCGTGGACCTGCTTGACTCGGATGGTGTGCATCGAATCAATCGGCTTGGCCATATCATACCAGTCGGACTTGGTACATTTGGACCCGGGGCCCAAGACCAGCGGCACCGCGGCTGGCACGGTGATGGAGAGCTCCGACGGGCCTGTTGACAGTCCAGTCAGTCAGTCGATGCTTGTCGTCAACGTCATGGTCGACACAACACAATACAGACACGGACGGCATCCCTTACCGGTCCTGACAATATCGCCATATTTCTGATGCCACGCGTGCCTGACCAGCCAGTTGTTTCTGCGTCCAGCAACCTGCGCTACGTGGTATAGTTTGGTCACCTTGGCCGGTGACGGACCAGGGAACCTCCTCAACCGATGGAAGAAGACCCGATAGACGACGATGCTGGCAAAGAGGGCCGCGTAGTAGCTGACCCAGGCGACCGCCGTGATCAGGACGGCTTCATGGGTCTCCAGCCCCAGATAATACTTCTCGCCTGCGATGGCGGCCACCGGCGAGGCGACGGCCAGGAAAAAAAGCGGCAAGACCTCCAGATGATGCTCGCCGCGGATGAAGTAGCCTAGGTGAGAAGCCACGCCGGCCAGAGCGGACGAGATCGCCACACTTTGAGGTGTTAGGGTCGGATGCACGCCTGCCATGATGCCCAGGAAGTGGTGGACGAGCAGGAGCAGGAGCAGTGTCAGTGTCAGGCTCAGTATCAGGCTCAGGCTCAGGAGCAGTCTCAGGGCTGAAAGGGTCACAAGGGCAGAAGGTCGAAGGGGACAGGCGAGTGGTTATACTGCAGCAGAACCATGGATCAACATGAACGGACGCGGTTGCAGTGTTTCCGGCTCTTCCTACTATGTATGTATGTCATTTCGAACTCACGGAGCCTGTTGACAATAACAAGAAGAAGGCGGGGCCCCGCGTTGCCGAAACATCAGCTCACTACAGTACCTCGCCAGAACTGCGGACATACAAGGTAGTACAGTATGTGGCCATGTTGGCTGGCTGTCCAACTGGTACGTCAGAGGCTGTCCTGTATACCTGCCTGAGGTATGCAGTCCTCGTACCCCGCAGAAACGAAATACTGCCGCGGGAGAGGTGAGAGAAACCAGGATGACTGGAGCACATGTAATACCAGGTACGAGAGGATTTGACCCGAGGCTGAAATCTTCAGCCAATTGAAAATCATACATACCTGGGAAGGTACCCTGTGTATCCTGTCCCGATTTATGCTCGCCCAGCGCAGTGTTACACCGGCCGATCATGCATCACGCATGTCTGGACATCACAGAGACAGAGAGACAGAGAGATGCGTGGCCACATCTTACGAGCAAATACCTGTCCATCATATGTTCTCTACCTAGGTCCGGAGGACGGAGTAATATGTGTAGGCGGGCTTGAAAATGGTCCGGATCCCGATCCCGAACATGCATATTTGTCTCCCCCATGCCACTGTATTTCTGCCGCGGGTGAATGTGGATTTGCGGGGAATGGTACAGTACACTGGCCCCATTTTTGGTGGTGGCCGTGGCACATGGCCGGCATGGGAGATGAGAGGTGGGACATGGGACATGGCGGCCATCTCGACCAGACCAGTGGATGTATACAGATACACTGACTGTACAGGAGGCAGGTGTCGGTGACTTCTGCACACAATCTATCCTCATCTTGAACTGCACAGCACAACACAGTACAACATAGTATAGGCAAACACAGACAAGCACTGGCACTGGCATTGACACTGCAACATGTCTGCGGACGTCCAACCAACACCAACATCGACTCGAGCCCTGGTCTCATACGAACCCACCACCGCCAGCCAGGTCGACTGGAGATTGGAAGACGTGTCGTTGCGTGAGCCCAAGGATGACGAGCTGGTGATTCGACTGGTGGCAACAGGCATCTGCCATACCGACCTCGTGTTCGGGTCGTTGCCCACACCGTTCACGACATACCCCAAAGTGCTGGGTCATGAAGGTGGGTAAATCCATATTCCAACTCATACTGTATATCATTGCCCCGTTACATCATCTTCTCCTCCTTTTGGACCCTACAGCAGGCGCATCTGCCAGAGAATCTTTCCGGCCTGTATCTTGACCTTTCTGACCCACTCAACAGGGGCGGGATACATCGAGCGGGCAGGTGCAAAGGTCGACGTCGGCAAACCCGGAGACGCCGTCTTGCTATCCTACTCCTCCTGTGCGACGTGTCGAGACTGCGTCGACCACCATCCAGCATATTGTGAGTCGTTCGCGGCCATAAACTACGAGACCGAGACCGACACTTTTGTCTCGAAGGAGGCTGCAACGCCTCTGGGGCTGGGTGGCCTCTTCTTCGGCCAGTCCAGCTTTGCCAACTACACGATTGTGAAGCAAGCTTCGGTGGTCAACGTCAGTTCCATCGTGCGCGACGAGTCTGAGTTGAAACTCTTCGCTCCGCTGGGCTGTGGATTCCAGACAGGAATGGGCGCCGTCGACGTGGTGGCCCAGGCGGGCCCTGGCGACGCCGTGGTTGTCTTGGGCGTTGGCGGTGTCGGCTTGTCCGCGATTGCGGTAAGATCAGATCAGACCAGACCAGACCGGCTTTCTCTTCACAAGCACACTTTCCCTTTTCACGTCCACTTCCATAAAAGGTCTCATGTCTAATGTTTTCTTCCTTCTTGCACGTCAATGACAATAACCCCTCCTCTCAAACTACCGAAAGACCCCAGCTCATACCATATAGGCTGCCAAGTTCAATCGTAGCCACACCATCATCGCCGTCGACCGCGTCAAGTCCAAGCTGCAGCTCGCGCTCGAACTCGGAGCCACACACGTCATCGAGAGCTCCGACGACACCGACCTGGTGGCGGAAGTCAAGGCTTTGACGCAAGGCGCCGGCGCCAGTATTGTCGTCGACACCACGGGCAACATGAAAGTCATCGAGGCCGGTCTGGCCCTGACGGCCAATCGCGGCCAGCTGATCATTATAGGCGTACCGCCGATGGACGCACAGCTCGGTGTCCATCTGGTGACGTTTATGCAGGTACGTACGGGACATTATGTATCTTTGGGCGTGCGGTGACTGAACCCGTCTGCTATTCAGACAGGCAAGATATTGCGAGGCTGTATCGAAGGCGACGTCAATCCGGCAGAGGTACAGTACCACGCATACACCTACTGATTTGGTGTCTTCCACACTAGTCTTCTATACTAATTCTGGGTGACCACATCACAGTACATTCCGGAGATGATCAAGCGATTTCGGGCTGGCCAATTCCCCATCGACAAGCTCGTCAACTTCTACCCTGTACGTGTATTTCTCTTTTCTTTCTTTCCTTTCCATTCCCTTACCCCTTTCCATTCCCTTTCCCTTTCTCTTTCTCTTTCCCTTTTCTTCCTTTCCGTAGGAGTTAAGACTGCCCAGTGTTTCTGCACCGGCCCACTCTGTGGTTTCTGTACGTGCACGTGCAGTCTGTTCTGACCCCAGACTCCTTAGGCCCAGGAGTTCCACAGAGCGTTGGCGGAGATGAAAGATGGACGAAGCGTCAAGCCCGTCTTGGTCTGGTGAATGGATTGGAATATACAGTCCAGAGTACAGTATTTCGGTGGCGAGGAGGACGAGGGAAGATCCCAGCACCAATTCAGACTTAGACATCAAGTCAATCCTAACAGCTTATTCATCCACGTAGCACACAGTCAAAGCAATCACTTCACTTCAATCCCAGAATTCGGTCGCAGTCAAAGTAGTTTATACCAATTCTATAGTAGGACTCAAGGTAGTCACTTGAATTCTAGAGTCAGAACATGTCCTCGAAGTGATAAGACCGTCTAATTAGAGTTTGGAGAGAGTTCCAAGTTAGAAAGTCACTTCAGACCTATACTATAGTACACATACTCAGAGCAGAGTGATACTTGTCGGGACTGGAGATCGGACTGTCCTCGATTGCTGGGGGCTCCGCTCCACTCAGCTAGCTGATCATCCATCCCGTCCAACCCTGGCAGAAATAAATGGTGGGGCATATACTGACTGTACTGTGCTGTATCTAGTAAAATGTCAAGGCTGGGAATCCCGTTCTGTTGAGGACAGGTTCTTCTCGGGCCTTAGCCCCGCTAATAGAGTAGACAAGACGAAGGACCATTTCACGCACAGTTTATTTTGATTGTGTCCCCATCTCGTCCATCCTACTTTACCTTTGGTCCTTGTATTCCTCTCAGCACGATCCACCCTACTCTATCTTCGGTCCTTCTATTTCTCTCAGCACGATCCACAATCTCTCCGTCGGCACCGCCGCCACCCACTCCTTCCTCTCGGGCAGCCTGACCGGCTGGAACCCCGTATCGTCTTCCATCTGCGTGATCGAGTACAGTGTCGTCCCACTGTGTCTGTCACCGTCGGGTAATTGACCCTGATGGGGCAACGTGATGGTGAAATGTTTCAAGATCGCAGAGAGTGATAAGTAGAGTTCATAGTATGAGAAGCTGGGAGCGAAGAGAGTGAGTAACGACGAACGACACTGACTTGACTGCACTGCGGTGGAAAAGGGGACCTGGGAAACAAGATGAAATTGTGGATGGCGAGGAAAGTAAGGAGGGGGCAGGGGAAGACAAGATAATGTAGGGTAGGGCAGGGAAGACCATATAGGTTAAGGCAAGATGCAAGATAGGGTAGGGCAATGCCGGCCAAGGTCCGTTGACACCAGATGCAAACAGAGGCATCGAGGTCAACGTAATTCTGACCATGACCCTGCCCCTGACCGTGATCGCCTAAATGAACGGTCTCTGCCAATCGTAACTGTGGTGCAACTGTGGTGTAGCTGTGCTGTGCTGTGACTGGACTGGACTGTGAATATAAAAAGTATAACTGTGACTCACTGTGCACCAATACAGACGTTGGCTCCCTTGGAAAACGGAATATAGTATTTATCTCGAAGAGGTTGGTTGTCGCTCAAGGCCGTCCCATCTGCCGTCAGCCAGCGGTACGGGTTGTAGTAGGTCGGGTTAGGGAATGCATTTTGGTCGCGCAGGTACCATATCGGCGATGATGTGACGGTTGTCTAAGAAAGGCCGGTGCGATACGGCGAAGGTTAGCGGGATGGTATATTGGTGCAACAGGAGTCAGGAGACAGGAGACAGAAGTCAGGAATCAGGAGACAGGAGACGGGAGTCAGGAATCAGGAGACAGAAGTCAAGAGTCAGGAGTCAGGGTAGGAGGGAGTCGGTGTGGAAGCAAAAGACGATGACTGGAACGATAACGACAGATCAAGAATTGCATGGACGACGCCATCATCGACAGACACACGTCCGACCACACAAACAAAACAATCACGCACACAACGCATTAATCGTGACTTACTCCGCCTGGCAAAAACACTCCTTCCAGCATCACTCCCTCTGGCGGCACGATGCGCGGTAGCATGGCAGCAGCGGCACCAGTCCACCGGATGCCCTCCTTAACCGAAGCTTTGAGCCGCGGCACCTCGTCCAGGCCTTTCAGGTCGGTGGGGAATCCCAGTGCCGACAGTTCTTGACGCAGCTTGTTCTGATACTGGGGGTTGTGAGCCAATGCCCACAGGATATGCGCCAGCGTGGCCGACGTCGTGTCTGTGCCAGGGCCTAGGTTCTCTCGAGCTTCCGACAGCGCCGTCTGGGGATGGAGACCGGATCGCACTAAAGTCGAGATCAGATTGGGGAAGGCCTTGGGTGACTTATCATTGTCGGCGTCGGTGTCGTTGTCGTTGCGCTTGGCCGAGGACAAGGCTGTCGCCAGCCCGCGGGATGCCCACTAGAGTAAATAGTCAGTCAGTGGGGTGTCCCGATGATATATATGTGTGTGTGTGTGTGTGTGTGTGTGTACAAGTCTCATCCCTTGCTCTGATCACGCTGACTAGGACTACCTTACCAGTTCCCATTCGCTCATGGCCGCAGCATACGTGGTTTGCCACCCGAACCTCTGGAACAACCATTGCTCGAAGGATTGCCAGATTGAAACGAGCCCCGGAAACGAAGTGAACTTTATTTGCTGTAGTTTAGCATCTGACTTCAGCTTGACGTGGCGTCTGCACTCACCACGGGCATCCAGGTCGCCTTCTCATCGTTCTTAAGCACCATGTTCCACGGTTCGCCGTTGGACCAGGCCCTAACTGCCCCGATTGATTCCCCAAAGCTGAACAAGGCTATAGTGGTTGTGAATCAATCAACTAACTGTCATTCCCCAGGGGACTAGGACCAATCAAAGACTGTCACTCACAAATGAGATCGGCTTCGAGGGCTCTGCAAGCTGGCACACACTCCAACGGTCTGTCTTGGTGCCGTTTCAAGGTTTGGACAAAGTCCCCCACCACATGGTTCATCAGGCCGCGTAAGTTGTCCATCCTACTTCGGTTGTATAATTGACCCATGAGTCGGCGACGTCGGGCATGTTCCTCAGGATCACTAGCAGCGTATGAGTATTGGTAAAATTGCCATGGGCAGAGGGATCTTGTCCTGATACCCTCTTCCAGGCCTAAGGTAGGTGTAGGAGTAGGTCCTAGGCTGTCACGTCACTTACGCGATGGAGAACAACGCCGGATGGCCTCCCTGCACGAATTCGCCATAGGTTCGGGGGTCCTTGATGAACTTCAAGTTGCTGCCCACCTTATGGACGGCATCGTAGACATCAATCGAGTAGAACGACACCTCTGTGGGTCCAATTCGCAGCAACGGACCTGCATGGTCTCAGTCAGTGCGAATGCCTGAAGAGGCGAGAGGCTAGATGCAGGGACAGTATGAGTTAGCACGTACCGTACTTTGCATGGAGACGAGGGAGTTCAAGCGTGATGTTCCCCAAATACTCCTGGGGAAAGGCCCAGAGAAGACGTGACAGGGGAGCCAGTGGCCCTGCATTGGGGACAGCAGCCAAGGGTGACAGATAGGCCTGCTTGACACGTAGGATGCCCTGCAGTGAGTCGTGATTGTGGTCAGATTAGAGCTGGACACTAAGGCTAGGGTGGAAAAGCTTCTTGCCTTGAAGAGGATGTACAGGACCGTTAGAGACAAGCATCCAAGAGCCGATAGGCTGATCAATTGGACAGCCATCACAAAGAAGAGATGCCACACGCACCACACACACACACACACACTTGGCTTTCTTGTCGCCTATGTTACAGCAGAATCTAGGGACGTGAGGATCGTGGGAGTGTTTGTGGGAGAACTAGAGATTCCGCCATTCATTCCCTGGTCCCGGTGTGTGTGCCTTTGCCTTTGCGCCATTGCGACATACACCAACAATATTAATATTAATCAAGCTTGATCGATAGTCTCACCCAGACTCGGTCTTCCGTTGTCGCCAGAGGGTAGCAATCCTCGGATGGCCGAGGGTTCCCCCTCAGTCATCTTTGATGGCGTGCTTGTGGTGGATTATTTCCTAATGCGCGAATACTTTTCTATGCTGCGACCCAACAACGTCCAGGGTACTTAGTAGCCACGGCGCCAGAATTGTGCCTTGCTATCATGATTGATTGTTTTTGCAGTTGAATCAATTCGCATTCGAAACACCTAGAGCCTCTCGCACAGCGGGATCATCATCAACCATGCCTTCGAATAAGTTGGTCGAAGATGAAGTTTCGAGCCCCGTGACGGGGGTGGAGGCGGAGGACGACGGCTTGAGCCGGAACAGCGATGATCAGTTTGTGGTATGTACCGTTGAATATCATGCATGCAGCATACAGCATACAGCATACTCCCTTCCTGCCCCTGTCTATTGGACTATGAGCCTGTTTAGCACGTCAAGGATGAAGGACACCACTGACCGCTCTCTATCACATTCTAGGCAGATCTGGGGTACACACCGGTAAGCCTAAGCCTAAGCCTTGCAACTACCGAGAACGAGAACACCCCCATAACGTCTCCTGCTCGGGAATCAGGTTCTGCATCGCACTTATAACACCTTCCACAACTTTTCAACAACCTTTGGTGAGTCGCAGCCTGATCCAATCCGATCTAATCCAATCCAATTCAATCCGTCGTGGACTGCGGTGCTGGTGCTGATTAACTCCCAGCTGCTCTGTGTTTTATCGGCGGCGTGCGTGTGACTTTTAGTACGGGCATTGCTGCAGGTGGAAATCTCGCATACTGGTATGTACTGTACAATCCATACACCGCCTAGTAACATATACACGATCTGTTCTTCAATCTTAGAGGGTTTACGGGTCTATATCCCTCAGCCCAGCCCAGCCCAGCCCAGCTCTTGACTGTATTCCCGGAACCGAACATACCCCTAACTAACTGCTCATTTACTCTCGTCTCCCAGGATCTCCTTCATCATCTCTTGCGTCTTCACATGGATCACTGCCGCAGCCATCGCTGAGATCTGTTCGTCACTCCCCCTAGCAGGTTCAATCTATCTCTGGGCCGCCGAATCCGGAGGCCCCAAGTATGGCAGACTGTTTGGCTTCATTGTTGCGTGGTGGAGTACGACGGCATGGACGACCTTCTGTGCGAGCAACAGCCAGGCTGCGGTCAACTATATGCTGTCGGTTCGTCTGCCCCTGTCTCTGTCTCTGCCCTTGCTTGGCCAGCAATATCGGCAATCGCATTACCTATCCCTGCTTGCACTCGCGCACCCTGCTCTGCTTTTGAATCAACACTGACACTGACTTGTTGCAGGAAATTGTCGTCTTCGACCTCGACTTCCCTTCCGATACCAGCAGCGTCAAATTCCGCGCCGTACAGTGGATATGCACCGAGATCTTTCTGGCACTGGCTGCCATAGCCAACCTCATTCCCCGTGAGTCGCCTCCGAGCCAAGCTAGCGTAACCATCCCGCACGTGAAGACTGACCGCGGTGTCCCGAGCAGCTCGCTATTTTCGATGGGTCTTTTACGCCTCGTCGCTGTTCGTCATGGTGGATTTTCTGATGAATTTGATCTGGCTACCCATCGGAACCAGTAAGACGTACGGGTTTCGCACGGCCAACGAAGCCTTCATGACTACATACAACGGGACCGGCGCTCCACCGGCTTGGAACTTTTGTCTGTCGTTCCTTGCCACCGCTGGCATCATGATTGGGTTTGATGCATCCGGACACGGTAGGTTCTCTTCAGCGCCGCATTAAATACGCCCAAGACAATTTCAGCTCCAATCTCCAAGTTCACGGGCTGACTCGAGCTTTGTGACAAGTACAGTGGCCGAAGAGACCAAGAACGCTCCCTTGGCAGCAGCGAGGGGCATTTTCTGGAGTACGGTCGCCACTGGCGTTGGAGGCTTTCTCTGCGTCATTCTTTTCCTGTTCTGTGTGGTGAGCACCGTTGCCCTTGGCTTGACAATTCTATCTGATCTTATCTGATCACCTCGACAGCCTGATGCCGACACGTTGTTCTCCTTTGGTGGCCCTCAACCTTTCGTGCCGCTTTATGCCGTGATTCTAGGCAAGGGAGGCCACATCCCCATGGTTATTGTCAACATCGTCTCTCTGGAACTGGTAAGTCAACACGTTTATCTATCCCTTTTACTCAGCGGATATGTCACTTTTATCTATTCCTTTTATTCGGCAGATATGTGATCAGAGAGGGAGGGGGGTTCTGTTGTGCCCATATAGGCTTGTTGTACTGTGTTGTGTCATCCTTCGTCGTATGCTAACCCCCAACGCACTCACAGAACACAGCCATTGCCATTCTAGCCGCCTCACGCCTCGTATTCGCCGTTGCTCGAGACGGGGTACTGCCCTTCTCCAGCTGGGTGGCACAGGTCTCCAACGGCCAGCCCAAAAATGCCGTCATTGTCGTGTGGGTGGTCGCCTCCATCGTCACCTGCAGTATCTTGCCCTCGGCCGTGGCTTTCACCTCTTTGGTCTCGGCGGCCGGCGTGCCCTCCAGCGCCGCCTATTGTTTGATCTGTTTTGGCCGAGTCTTCCTGACCCCCGACAAATTGAACGAGCCCAGATGGAGCCTGGGCAGATGGAGCAAGCCGTTCCAGGTCATCGGCATCGTCTGGAACTTGTGGGTGGTCGCCGTCTTATTCTCTCCTTGGGCGTTTCCAGTGAGCGCCGATACTTTGAACTGTGAGTTGCTCCGCGCGGTTCCGGGAACCGAGAGCCCGTTTTAATTGACACGTTTCTGAAATCGCTAACATCATGCCTGTTCAGACGCACCTGTCATCATGGCCATCGTGACCATCTTTGCAATTATCTCGTGGTTCTTTATTCGCTCGGATAAGTGGCTGCCCAGCGGGAAGATCGAGGAGGTTCTCGACGCGTCCGGCAAGGACCATCATCATCACCAACATACACATGTTCTCGAACAGCAGTGAGTCAGTCGATGAGCATGTCGATGTAGGAAATTTTTTCTTCTCTAGGTCGGTGTCAGCACCAGAGAGGAATGGGGATTGAGTTGGGTTCACCTTTCCAGGTGTTGGTGTCGACTTGACTTTCCAGCTATCAACAATAATTCACGTCCAACTGTATCTTCGCCATCTGGTCGACAATCTCGAGGCCAACCCAACCCAAACTGTGTTCGATTTACGGCATCCCTCTAGACACATGATGGAGGTGAGGGTGAGGATGATGGAACAACTATCATCGAACGCAAATATACAATATAGGGAACTGTGTGTAAAATTAAAGCTGGGAAGGTTCGGGTTACGTTACAGCGAGGGTAGAACAAAGATACTGTATATGTGTTAGATATAGATATTTGCCAGTAATGCCAGAGCCGGCCAGTCTGAACATAGACCTGGCCATTTTATTCTTGGGTTTCTCTTTGTTATACTTATTCTTCAGCTCGTCGCTCAAACCCAGTTTGTCAACCAGTATGTCAACAACCAGAAGCGCACTCCATACTAATTATGCAAACATGATGATTCAGATGCATCCCTAACCCTATCGACACTGAAGAAAAGAAAAGAAAAGCCTGCCGATTGCGGCTCCACGCTGAGGATATTCAAGTTAGGCCTTGCCCTTCACAGAAGGCCGGTATAGGCACGCCCGTATACTCAGGCCTCTCCCTATACCCCTTTGATAGAGAACATGGAACATTTAAACCTCTGACAGAGGAGCACTATGTCCATGGCGGCCGTGAGTACGGACTAACTACAGTTACGGCGAAGATCTGTAGACGGCCGAGTCCAATAATAATTACAAGGACAGACAAGAAATATTAAACAAGTAACACAACCACCAACCACCAATTAATCAAAAAACAAGGCAACGGCCACGAGCTCTAAGGAGCTATTATAACAGAGATCATTCGAAAATATATAAATAAAAACAAAAATCTTCAAAAAGAGCAAAAACAATCAACAGTCAGGATTCCCAAATGGTCACCCACTTCAGTACTAACTGACCGGCATGTGGCTTAAGTACGGCTGAGCGAACGGGAAGCCCTGTATTCCACATCCTATGGTCGATTGCGAAAGAAATTATGCTACTAAAATATATATCCATCCGTCCCTGTTAGGTAGGAGTTTGGCAGCCCCATGTCCATAATAGGGGTCACTGCTCCCCAAGTATGGAGTATCCGTATATTTGTATCCATCCGTACAACAAAGTCTACGCTTGACGTCGGCGGCTGTTTCAGACCCTACAACACAGCGGCCATCACCTCGGTGTGACTCACTAGGGCGAAGAATTGCGACACGATTGATTAGGGGCGGCGATTGTGGTCGACCGACATCGGTGAGGCTGGCTGTGCCTGTCTACTAGGGGTCCTCCTGAAGTTCATCTATCGACCATCTTCCTCTCAGGACTGCCTACATTACCCGCGAACTAAAAACTTATTTACTGAACACGGTTTCTATCCTAGAGAGTGAGCAAAGGCTGCTTTCACCTGGGCTTTTAATGTGCTTTTAGCTAAGCCTTATTGAGTACCCCTGAGGCATCACTGATCATCTTTTGAGCGATGGAGGTGCCATCGTGCCATCTTCAGCGGGCTGACGCACACTAGGCTGCACAACGGTGGAGCATAACAGATGTCCAGACGCACATCCGTTAGAGCGTATACGCGCCTACCTGGTAGGAGTGTCTTGCTCCCATACTTCGCGATGGCCGGATGATTTAGCATTACTAGTATTGATCTCTCGTGCTAGAAGGTGGTGTCGGCAGTGTTGCTTGCTGGTTTTGCACGTTCACAGATATACTGGGAACCGCAGCTGCACCAACACCGGCACCGCCCCAAAAAAGGGGGTGAGCAGCCCATTGCGATGCTCACCTTGCGAAACGTCGGCAATAGTTGCTGCAGACTGTCACTTCCACTTCCCCGTGTGCGGCATCGAACAATATCAATTTCTTGTCGAGGTACATGAGTACTTATTCTTCCCCAGTTACACTCCTGATACAGTTTACAGACACGCCTATTTCGGCTCACCAGCTCTTCAACTACTCCAACGGGCGTTTCCTCGTGAATGAGCAGTATGAGCTGTCAAGAAGACATATCACTTTCGACGTGGATAATCTTTGTGCCTTGATTTCCTCCCTCCCTTCCGTCCAGTCCCCAGTCTCCAGCATCGACAAGCAAGAAGGGGGCTTTAACAAAGCTCTGATCGTAACCACAGCAAATGACAAGCAGGTGGTTGTCAAGATACCGTTCCCGGCTCTGGTTCCAACAAGATATAGTGTTGAATCGGAAGTAGCAACACTGAAGTTCGGTATCGATTCCCAGATCTCTTTGCAGTACGTCTCTAACACACTATACTAACCTAGTTCGAGCTATGACTTCAATCCCTGTCCCGGATGTCCTTGCATGGAGCTCTGATCCTTCAAATCCCGTTGGTGCCGAATACATGATCCTCGAGAAATGCCCAGGACGTCAGCTTCATACTGTTTGGGGTGAAATGGACGAGTTGCGTCGGTTTGAGCTGGTCAAGACCATTGCCGATTTCGACGGTCAGTTAGCGTCCACTGAATTTCCCGTGAATGGTAGTTTATATCTACGCACCTTCGGACCGCAAAATTCAGTGGCTTTCAATACATCAAAAGACCCCCAAGGAGTTTTTTGCATCGGCCCGGTCTTTAATGATTCCTGGCTGGGAGGTATTAATTCAACAAGGGAAACGGAGATGGAAGCTGGACCTTGTGAGTTATGTATTGCGCTATTAGAACCTGTACTTCCGGTTAACAGCCTCAGGGTCCGACCTTTGTGCTTTCGGTTTGGCTCGAGCTCGCCAGGGCGCATGGCATGTGAAGAACACCGAGTACCTGGGTGCACGAGGCCCACATTTTGGCTCTCCAGACTCGCATCTACAACTTTTGGAAGTTGCTATAAAGTTCATCCCTGTTTTGGCTGCAACTCCTCTCTTGCAACGATATGGCCGACCCACTCTTTGGCACACGGATTTGCATATGGGAAACATGTTCGTTTCGGAAAAGGATCTCACCAAAATTGTCAGTGTCATTGATTGGCAATTTATCTCGATCCTACCAAGATTCACACAGGCACGGTGGCCAGAGTTTCTGACTCCGCCGGAAGGCTATGAGACAGGTCCGATTGAACCACAACTCCCGGCTGATTTCGAGGAAATGGACCCGGACGAACAAGCCTACGAGGTTTCACAGAAAGACCAAGCTTTACAAGCAAAATGTTATGAAGTCGCCCTTGGTCGATGCCACCGTGACTCATACCTGGCTCTTACCGGCATTCACGACACCATACGACGCTTATTTGTTCTGTGCGAACGGACCTACAAGGACGGCATAGTGCCGCTGAGAGATTGTCTTATTGAACTTTCTTGTAACTGGGAGCAAATTGGACTCACCGGAAGGCCCCCTCTGACGCTCTCGAAAGAGGAACTAGCGACGCACGAGGTTTAACTGGCTGAATATCAAGACTGGGCTAAGCTACGGAAGTATACGCAAGAAATTCTATGTTCAGACGATGATGGCTGGGTATCACCCGACTTGGATTTCAACAAGGTCCAGGCGCAGGAGAGAGCGCTCTTCGAGCTTTACCTCCAACGGCAAGCGCCAGGCACCTCGGCTGAAGAAGCGAGAAAGCTCTGGTTCTACAACCAAAGGCGTTAAGTGAGTCATTCCCAGTCTCGCGCTGCTTCCAAATGAAACATGTTTGCGGTAAAAATGTTGAAAGCTGCGGAGTCTCCAAGCGAGAAAGAGAATTATTTGATTACGCTTAGCGGGGTGCTCGCAAGGGAAAAGAGACATTTGAAAGTGAGTGATGAAGTCCAATCATGAATTCAAAGAACACTATTACCATGACACCGACCACGCCAATTATACATCTCATATCATCTGTCCTCCGACTCAGGCATGCACAAGATCCATCTCGCCTCATCTGCCCTCCAGTTCAAACATGTAAACTGTCCTCCTTCTCAGACATGGAGACCGTCCTCCACAAACTGCGTTGCCCCTTCGGTGGGCAGTTTCCACGACGGGCGGTCCTTGGTGAACTGCTCCATCGTCGGCCTCAACTTCGTCTCGTGGAGCGAGAAATCGTCGACGCTGCCGACGCGCAGGATGCTCATGCCGGGGAAAGCGGCGCCGACGCGGTACATGAGCGAGCCGCACGTGTTGCAGAAGTAGTTGGTCATGGTGTTGTCCTGGCCCGGGGTCTTGAAGAAGACGGTGCGCGACTGCCCGAACGTCTTGAGGTTCTCCTGGCCGCGCAGGTGCTTGAGGTGCGTGTCGTAGACGGTGAAGTTGGTCGCGTGGATCGACGCCGTCAGCTTGTGGCAGTCGGAGCAGTTGCAGACGAACGAGCCCACGAAGCCGGGGCCGTGCGTGGGAAAGGACAGTTGCACCGCGCCGCAGAAGCAGGTCGCGGTCGCTTCGTCTTCGGTCGACCAGCCGTCGGTGGCTAGGCCGGCCAGGGGGAAGTAGGGCTTGGTTTTGTCGATAGTGGTGGGAGTGGTGGTGGTAGTGGATGCCATTTCGGGAATCTTGTTTGGAAAGGGGTTCAAGAGTGGTCTGGACAATAGTATTGGGAACTAGGGATCTGTGGATGGGTGATAACCTGGTGAGTCGGGAGTTGTTGCTTGTGTTGGTGTTGGTGGTTGGTGGTTGTACTGATGTGATGCTACTGATGTTGATGTTGGTATCGGACTCACTTATATAGACAATGGAGGGTTCTTCACGACGTGACGGTCGTTAAAGTTCAATGTCAGCAAAAGATGACGACGATGATGTTCATCATCGATTTCAAATCAGGCCTCAGGCCTCTGTGCTAGCTTTCTAGCCGTCTACAGAGTAATAGAGACAACTGATAACGGAGTACGGTTACAGCGCCCTACGACACTCAACTTCTCTATGTGTGCTAGCTTTCGAGCCGTGTACAGAGTAATAGAGACGACTGATAACGGAGTACTGTACGGTTACAGCGCCCTACGACGCTTGACACTCGGTGGGAACGCCTGAGCGCCCTTATTAAGCACCGCTACTGTTGAGCAAGCAACTGGCTGGTGTAACACCAATTTAGGTCTAGCCCGGAAGCATATCTGATTTAGGTCTAGTCTGGGAGCCTCCTAAGCCTTCAATTGGCCCTTGAGGCCCCGCCGGCTTACTTATATCATTCCTCTCTGGCGCCCTTAAACCCCTAAGCCTCAAGTGCAACTCTCCCAGGCCGAAAAACCTCCGCAAAGCATGACGTATTGTAGATAGATACGTATACATACCTACGTACCTCCCTAATTCCGTATACATACGTACCTAACTCCGTAAACGTACAGTAGTGCTGTTTCCCTGGCTTCACTTCATACCTATCCGGGCCCTCCGAGCACTAAGTTGCGAACTTAATACTCAGTCGTAAGAGATGCCATCGAGTGGTGGTGTACAGTCGTAAGAGATGTCATCGAGTGGTGGTGTACCTCAACACGCTTACACCATCCACGTCCATCTTCTACCGAATGATGTAAGCGTAAACGTGGGTCCTTTCTTTATACCGACTCCTCGATTGCTACCTACCTGATAGACAACAATCCGATTCTAGCCCGCTCCGACCAAAAAAGAATGCAGGGTCTTGTGGCAGGAATGCCGATGCTATATGTCTCTAGGTGACTGCTCCCTAAGTACGGTGTACATTAGTGTATATCCGTACCACCAAGTCAACGCTTGACGTCGGCGGCTGTTTCAAGTCCTATGGTTCCCAATTCCTTCCATGGTTCCTTCTCGCTGTCATTGTCCGACGACCTTCTCGCCAGACGCGCCCTCGACGTCGACATGCTGCTCGTGGGTGGCAGTGGCAGTGGCATCGGCATCGGCACCCTGTCCATGACTTTAGCCTTGACAAGGGACGTGACTGTAGATCTGACCAGAGACGTGACTATTGAGTAAATGGTCATATCTGGAGGCACAGGGAAGCAACCAGGCCGCAGAAATTGACGGGGAGGCTGAGAATCCGAGCCGACGTCCATCGGAGAGGAGAGCCCCCTGCGAGAGAGAGAGAGTCAGCGGAACTCCCAAAAGATACCACTCAGGTATAAGACACGCCAGCAGCCATGGAAACATGTATGTATACTGACCCCAAGAAACACCCAGCAAAAATTGGACAGCCCAGCGGTCATCAAGAAGATGCGGTCCAAGTCGATCCTGATCGCTTGAATTCTTGCATCAGCGTCCGCTTCCCGCCATGCAGCTGCTGGAAGGACGGGAGATGGTAGAACAGGTAGAACAGGATTTGCATGACGGCCGCTACGCCCATCACCATCAGGTAGAGGTCTTTCCCCCCAGGGCTGAGGCTTGTCATTCTGATTAAGATTCCCTTGCATCTGGGGGCTTGTCATTCCGATTAGGATTCCCTTTTCTCTGGGGTGAGTTCTTGACTGACCAAAGGCCCCGTTCACAGGCAGCTCTCGAGGCGCGCCAGCAAGGCATTCGCGTCAACGCCATCTTTCCGGGCTTCCTGTGATGCCAATGGTTGAATCCAGCGTGAAAGACGAGAATGGCCGGCTCGAAAATGCGATGTGGACATACTTTGAAGCCCGACAGGGACGGAAAGCCGTCTTTGCCGAGATAGGCGACGCCGTGGTGCTCATGAGTCTGCCTCGAATGAGTTTGGTTAATGGACAGAATCTATTCTGTGACGGGTACGTGCTATTTTACTTCTCTTACGAACAAACGCTTTCTCTTCATGCAACGAAGGGGCGGAACGGCGAGGTGGATGTTGTTGTGCTGTGTTGTGTTGAACTCTGCTGACTTGCGTTGTTAAATAGGGGGTTCACCATCAATGAAGGGAATTTCTAATCAGGTCTCTGTTAAAGGTTGGAATGCTCCTGTTCTCTATTAAAGGTGTGTGGGTATAGGGGGAGCCCAGACTATATACCTAGGTGTGCCTGTACCTATACCAGCCTTCTGGTTAAGGGCATGGCTGGGAATGCCTGAGTTTGACAGATTCAGGACAAGGGAAAAGAGACTGCTACACAGTACGGTATGCTGTATCTTGGCCTCCGCTTCGGCTCCATCAGAGGTACTATGTACATGATACTGTAAATCGACTGCCAATTTATATCTATCATAAAGCGTCCAGAAATGTTTACTTAGATATAGTAGACACGATGGAGCTGCAGCGCTTGCTGTAGAACCGCCATACTCGATTGCCAGGGACCTTGGGTGGGCGTATATCAGTGATGGCCAAGTAATATACTAGTATATAACGACCTACCTCACTGTTGAGTACTACGTAGTTGTACGGTCAGCGTCAGGGTTGTTGTTGTTGTTATTGTTGTTGTTGTTGTTGGATGTCAATGTCCTGTTTCGTTGGAATCGAAGGTGGAGGTGGATGTTAATGTCCTGTTCCATTGGAATCGGAGGTGGATGTGGTGGAGGTGGTGTGGTCCTTATAATATGGCCGGGGCACATTATCATAATACGGCACGACGATGGAATCCTTGTCGTCGGTCTTGCCAACCATGCTCTGGGTGGCCAAGGTGACGGGGAATCTGGAGACGATGGCATTCAGCAGGGCCGGCCCCTTGGTCGCGGTGAGCAGGTTGACGGCGGCACGGAGGTCGTCGACGCCAGACCGGGCCGGCACCAGCACGCCCCTGCAGCCAAAGCCCTGGGCGACGATATCGTAGCGACAGTCGGGCGACAAGGAGCTCGCGACGCGGGCCGGGTCGTCGTCGGCGTACAGCAGATCCTGGCCGGCGACGCTCATGCCCCAGACATAGTTGTTCATGACGACGGTCAGCACGTTGAGCCCGTGGCGGGCGTACGTGTCCAGCTCCTGAATGTGGAACCCGGCGGAGCCGTCGCCTTGCACATTGACGACCAGGCGGTCCGGGTCGGCCAGGGCGGCGCCCAGACTGTAGCCCCAACCGTTGCCCAGAAAGCCCAAGTATCCGGTGGCGACGAGGCCGGCACTGGCGCGCGACTGCTCGAACAGGTCGATGGCCCACACGCCGGCTTCGCCGCCGTCGATGATGACAATCGACCCGGCCGGCAGGGCCTGGTAGATGGCTTGCATGGCGAAGAACGGATGGAGCCGTCCGTCGGGCTGCAGGGGCGCGTCGTCGGCGTACGGCGACGGCTGGGTCTTCAAGGCGTGCAGGTCGTCGAGCCAGCTTGCCGGCGGCCGAATCGGGGTTACAGCGGGTTGTCGTTGCAGTCGGTCCAGTAGGCCCGCGATGAACTTGGTCGCATCCGCCACAATGCCTAGGTCGACCGGGTGCGATTTGCCGATCTCGCCGGCATCAATGTCCACTTGAACCAGCTTGGAGCCGCTGTTGGCATGCGGGATGACGGCGCCCGATCGCCCGCCGAGGAGAAAGCCGGTGCGCGCCCCCAGCAGCAGCACCAGGTCCGGCTGTTTCTTCTGCAGGCTGGGCAGGCGGGCCAGCAGACCGGCGTGGCCGCCGCGGAACTGCGAGTCGTATGGCAGCGCCGGCACGTATTTCTGCGAGTAGAACACCACCGTGCCGGTGGCTTCTGCCAGCGAGAGGAGCGGACTGGACCCGTCAGGCGAGTCTCGGCTGGTGGTGCGCGCCGCTCCCGTGCCGACAATGATGACGGGTCGCTGGGCCGCCGCCCATAGCTGGATCAGCGAGTCGAGCGCCGCGGGATCCGGGTACGGCGACACGGCTGGAGGGCGCGTGATGGAGCCGTAGGAGATGGCCTCCTCGCGCGGTGGGTGGAAGAGCACGTCGATCGGGAAGTCCACCACCACGGGGCCGGGGATGCCGCCCGTGGCGGTGCGGTAGGCGTAGCTAACGATGCGGGGGATTTCTTCGACGTCTAGAAAATACGAGTAGCACGTCAGTGACTGGTGACTGGTGACTGGTGGTTGTGCTTCGGTCTGGTATAGTACATAGTATGGCATGGCAATAGAGAAAAGACAAAAAACAGGATCAACTGACTGGTGACGCGGTGCGCAAACTTGCTGATAGGCTTCGCCAGCACCACCTGGTCGTGGAAGCCTTGGAGACAGTTCGTCTCGGCGTCGCGCAGCGGCGGTGACGATGTGATGACGAAAATGGGGGAGCGGTCTGCAAACGCCGTGGCCAGGCCGGGGAGAGCGTTGCCAAAGCTGCGAGGAGGTCGTCAGCATGTCTGTAATTGGGATGATCATGGCTTGGGGGAAGGGAGGGGGAAGAGGGAAAAAGGATAAATGCCTATCCATCTGCCTGTCTGGTGTCTGTCTCCCTGCTTGCGTGTTTTTTATATAGATAGGAAATGACAGGACAGGACAGGATAGAATAGGACAGGATAGAATAGGACAGGATAGAATAGGACAGGATAGAATAGGACAGGATAGAATAGGACAGGATAGAATAGGAC